CGCACTCCTCGGGCTCCTTCGATCGCGACGCCCACTCCAAGGAGTGGAACACCGAGGTGCGGTAGTGGCTTGCGTTCAGGCTGTCGAGGTTGGAAGTGAGCCGGTCGGCGGACAGGACCTGCGTGGCGAAGAACTTGACCTCGTGGCGCATGTCCTTGCCGTCGGGGATCCTCACGGGCCGCTCGAGTTCTGCGTCGCCAAGGGTGGTGTTCATGACCTCGCCGATGAGGCGCCCGGAGATGCCGACGTGCCGCGTCTCGTGCGAGTAGACGAAGTTCTCCGCAGAGAACGCGACTTGCGACGGAAGCGCCTTCGTGGGGTCGTACTGGATCGACGTGAGGACCTCGTACGGCGAAACGTGCAGGGACATCTGCACGTCGAAGGCGTCCACGCGGGTGCCGTTGCACACGGGCACGACGTCGGCGGACTTGAGGTCCGGGGGCGCGAGGGTGATGTTGACCTTCCCCGTCCACCCAGCGCCGCCGAACCACACCCCGTCTCGCTTCCACAGCCCGGGGAGCCAGAACAGCGCCATGTGGTCGACGCTCGAGGTCGTCGGCGGCGCGGCGCTGAGCGGGTGCGGGCACGGGTGCGTCAGCGCGAACCGCGTCTCAACCACCTGCGCACCCAGCTTCCTGTGCCGCGCATCCGAGTCCTGCCCGATCGCGACCGTCATGTCGAGCGACGCAATCTCGGCCGCCGGACCGCGTTCAACGGGCGCAGACACGCAGAGCTCGTGCACGGTGAAGCGTCCGCCGTCGGTGTCGTCGAGCATGGGCTGCCGGAAGTTCGCCAGCAGCGTCACGTCCCGCAGGCAAGCCGTGACGTTTGTCCAAGACAGCGAGCCGCCGCGTGCCGTGAGCCCCCCGAGCTCGTACTCATCGAGCAGGTTCGGCAGCCCCGGGATGCCCACCTCGTAGATCGCGTCCCCAACCCACTCCGGAACGTCGGGCGCGCGTAGGACGTCGCGCAGGTACCTCGCGCCGCAGAGGGCGAAGTGCGACCCCGTGCTGTTGGCATCGTGCGGGCACAGGTCGCGAGCGAACGCGAACACGCTCCCGTGCGTGCCCTCCGAAGCTGGCGCGCCGACAAACACGGCGTCCCCCGTGACGGCCAGGGCGTGCCCAAAACCGTCACGAGCGCCGCTGCCCGCCGGCCTCACCAGCTCCTCGCGCAGCGACCAGGAGTCCTCGACGAAGTCGTACACGGACACAGTTCCCACGCCGAGGTCGTCGTCTGCTGCGTACGGGCCGTCTAGTCCAGCGCCGTGGTACGCAGACGCGACGAACAGCTGCGAGTGGTTGCTGTCGAACCGCATCTGCAGCCCGAACAGGTCCCCGGTTCCCGGCAAGTGCGAGCGCAGAATTCCGGCGGACTCGAACACGAAGTTGTTGTTGCGCTTGAAGAGGGCGATGCTGCCCTCACCCTGCGCCCCCGCGATCACGCCCGCGCCGAGCGCGGCAACGGCGAGGTAGTCCTCGTGGAGGGCCAGCGCGCTCCCGAAGCGCAGCTGTTCGCCCGCCGCCTGACCGTAGTCGGGGTGGCGCAGCTTCTGCGTGAAGCTCCAGGTCCTGTCGGTGTTCAGGGTGTAGATGGACACGGAGCCCCAGTCCCGGTTGACGTTGTAGTATCCTTCGGGGCCGTCGTCGTCGTCCTCGGGGGCCCCGACCGCGATCGTGCCGCGTTTGATGGCCACGCTAGTACCGAAGTTGTCGTACTTCTCGTTCTGCGCGCACCGGCAGCCGTTCGGCGCCACGAACGGCACGTAGCACTCGCACCCGTCGATCTCGACCACGGGGTACGGCGGAGTGCTCTTGGGGTTGAGGTCGCGGATGTACGGCGGGGCGTCCGTGCCCTGCAGGCGCTGCTCCTCTGTGAACGTCAGAGTCGAGTTGATGCGGAAAATGTACGCCGCCCCGGCGTCGTTCCGACGCGGAGCGCCGACCACCAGGTAGTCGCCGTCCATGTCGACTTGTCGTCCGAAGAACTCCTCGCGCAGCGGGGCCTTGGGCATCAGCTTGGACAGGAAGGTCCACGCCCCAGAGGGCGTCTCGTAAAAGGCGTACACCGCTCCGGGGTACGCGGCCTTGGTCGCGTTACCCCGCGGAGCGCTGACCGCCAGGATCTTCCCGGACAGCACCGAGCTTTGTCCGAAGAACTCGTCGGGAACAGCGCCCTGTGGCTCCACGACCTGCGTGACGCCCCACTCGTTCGCGCCCGCCTGCCGCCGCATGAACACGACCGCCCCGGACGCGTACGTCCCGTTGGCGCCGCGCCGTAGCGCGGCAGCTGCCGTCGCGCCCTGAGCCGCCACCGAGGTTCCATAGAACGACCCGTTGCCCAGCGGGAGGGTGGGGTCCACCCCGGCCACGGGCGTGGGCTGCAGCCGGTCGGGGCTGCCGTCGCCGTCACCGTCCGTTCCGTGCAGACACGCGCCGACGTGCGCCCCCGCCGGCCCGTGGACGCAGGTGGTGTTGACTGTCAGCGCAAAGACCCCCCCTGCAGCCGACTCGCGCGCGGGGGCTCCGACCAGGAACGACCCCGGGCGGTCGTAAGCCACCGATCCACCGAAAAAGTCGCCCGTCTGCACCGAGTCCGTCGACACGCTGCTCGCGGGCGTCCAGCTGGTGGCGTTGGTGCGCACAAACACCGTCACCGTCCCGCGCGTCGACGTCGTGCCCGGTTCGCCCACCGCGACGGCCTGCCCGTCCGGGGTGATGGCGAGACTGTGCCCGAACGACGCCGGGCTCGACGCGTCCGGCAGGGTCAGGACTGCGGTCTCGCGGAACACGCCGCCCACGTTGTTGAAGATGAACACCGCGCCCACGGCGGAAGAACCCAGCTGGTAGCCCAGCGCGCCCACCGCGAGCACGCCGTGCGCGAGCGCGACCGAGCTACCGAAGCGCAGCCCGCGGGTCTGCTGCGATGCCCGGAGCTTCTGCGCCTGCAGCCAGCCGCCCTGCGGCAGGCGCAGGAAGATGTAGGTGCTGCCCCACTCGTACGAGAGGTCCACGTGCCCCTGCGTGCCGTCGAGGTCGTCGCCGGGCGCCGTGACGGCCAGCGTGCCGCCGTCGATCGCCAGCCGCGACCCGAACGAGTCGCCCAGGGACGACTGCGTGCAGCTGCAGCAGCCCGGGGGAACGTCCGACCCGCCGCACGTGCACGAGCCCGACTCGCGGCGCATCCAGGCCAGCGTCTGCGCGCTCAGCTGACGCCGCTCGGACAGCATGCGCCGCGCGGCGACCACGTCGCAGCTGACGTACGTCGCGTCCCGCGCCCGCAGCACGTCGGTGGTCACGTACGTCCCGTTGGGCCCCACCGCCGACGCCACCAGGACGGCGCCCGTGCCGTTCGTCCCGGGCGCGCCGGCGAGTACCTGCCCGGGCGCGATGGCGACGGAGAACCCGAGGAGGTCGCCGGCGCGCGCGTCGGGCAGCTGCAGCCGTTGCGTCTGCTGGAAGGTGCCGTTCACGTCCTTGCTGAACACGTACACCGCGCCCGTGTCGTTGTACTCCGGGCCGTTGGCCAGCGGGGCGCCGACGGCCACGGTCGCGCCCGCGGCGGCCGCTGAGGACCCGAAGTGGTCGTGGGCCTTGCTGTCGCTGCCCCTGAGGACCTGCAGGGTCGCCCAGCCAGAGGCGTTGCGCGCAGCGACCACCGCGGCCCCTGAGCGCACGCCGCGCGCCGTGTCGGCTGCCGGGGCCCCGATGATGGCCTGAGCGTTCTCGGCATCGACGAACAGCGAGCGTCCGAAGAGCCCCGAGGCGTTGACTGGGGCGGCAACCACCGCCGCGCCCAGCAAGGAGCAGGGCGTCTGGTCCGTCAGACACGTCGCCTGCGGGCAAACAGGGTCATGCTCGTGTCAGCGGCGATCGAAGCGTGCGCGCGGAAGGTGCCGGGCCGGCTGCTCCGTTCCTTCCGCGCCTCGAGCTGCTCTCAGTTCAGCAGCAGGGGCGATGACGGCAGCGCAACGGAGTATTTGACGCTCCTCGTGGGCTGTTCGCAGGGGATCTGAACTGCATGTGGCGAACGCGCGCTCGGCGCGATCAATCCGCGCGTGCCAGCCGCGGGGTGACCAGGGTGGATCGGCACTTGGGCTCGCACCGATGCCAGTTTCCTGGCAGGCTGCTGTCCAGCGACAGCGACGAATTCGTCAGACACGGACTCCAGGCCACTCGCGACCGCCTGGTTGCGCCGACGCGCGCCCTCGGTGCGGCCAGCGTCGCTCCAAGAGCGCTGCCCGCCCAGCGACCGCTGCGTCAGCGGCGCAGCGCCCGTCGCGACGGCAACGCATGCCTGCGATAGGAGAACTACCACGATAGTCCATAGAAGCGTCCGCATGGTCCTCGGGCAGGTCGACAGACTAGCAGACGAGCACCATGGGCAAGAAACAGCTGCTTCCAGGGTGCCAGAGCCCGGGTGCGAAAATCCAGGCGTACCCACGGACAAATGCCGGTGGGACGCGATTCACACCGTATGAAACTATTGCTGGCGGGGCGGTTCGCGCGGCGCCGATGTGTGCGGGGCGCCGGAGTCGGTGCTGATCAGATCGCGGAGGCCTCCAGCCCCGGGGAAATCACGCACGAGACAGTCCGCATCCGAACTTGACGCGCCTCCACGAGGGCTTCCATAGATTGAGCTTCCGGGACACCTGTCCTGCATGTCGGGGAAGCGCCGCCCGCGTGCTGCCGACGCCCTGTGAGCAAGTCCACCACCCACCCGTGCCTCGACTGAATGAGCACGCCCAGGCATATTCCGCCGCCGAGTCCGCACCACCGGCGTATGTGAGCACTGTTCGCGTTCGGAGCTGAGTGTTGGCATGCAGGTCCAGATTCAATAGTTTCCTCTTGGCAGCCAATATGCATGTGGCCGTGGAGCTGAATGAGCGCCGGTCCGAGTGCGCAGCGCGCCGCGCCCACGGGCCACCGCCGTGCCCGCGCAGTCCAGCACGTCACGGGGCCGCGCCACCCTCCACCGCCGTGGTCACATACTTGGCTCGCCTACTCAAGGCCGCCGTAGTGCGCGATGAGGCCCAGGACGCCGCCCCCGAGCACCATGAGCGGCGCGGGCACCTTGAGGTACTCGACGCTGGCGAAGGAGATGATCATGATGCACACCGAGGCCTTCTTCCAGTCCATCAGGTCGTTCAGGTAAATCTTCAAAAACAGCGAGAACACCGCCGCGACCACGAGGCCGACCGCCGAGGCGTTCAGACCGGGCAGGGCGCGCCGGTAGACCGGCTGGCTGCGGAACTTGCCCCAGAACGGCAGCACGCCGTAGATGAGCATCAGGCCTGGGCCAAAGAGGCCGATCCAGCACACCGCGACGCCGGCGATGAACGGCATGCCGGCGCGGATCGCCATGACGGCGCCGAGGTACGCCGACAGGTTGAAGAGCGGCCCGGGCATCGCCTGCGCACCACCACAGAGCGCTTCGCACGTTGGGGCTAGGCGGCGGACGCAAGTGCACCGCCAGCGGCTCGAGCGAGGATTCGCGCACCTGCGCCAGGCCGAGACCGGCCAGGAACTGCTCGGTGGAGACCCAGGAGTCCGGGCAGTCGTTCGTCCCGTCGGGCTGCAGCGGGCAGTCGTCCTGCACCACTTCGTCGATCAGCATGGGCAGCACGACCTGCCCGCCGCCGAAGATGAGCGACCCGATGCGGTAGAACGCCTCGAACCAGTGGAGCGGCTTGATGTGGTCGTCGTCGTAGTCCGTCTGGCTGCGCGCCACGATCACGGAGACGAGCACGGCGAGCCACACCAGGATCAGCGCGCCGCCGCTCCACATCCCGAGACCCAGGCTCGTGACGTCGCCCTCGGCGTCCGCGCGGCGCATGTCCTTCTTGCGGTTCACGTACAGCGTCACGAGCCCGCCGAACGCGATGAGGGACGGGAACATCCATGGCTCGGGCATGTAGAAGGCCAGCACCGCCGAGATGGCGCACAGGGCGCGGAGGTCGATCGTGGGGCACAGCTTCATCGCCAGACTCACCGCCGCGCCGGCGACCAGGGCCACGCCCGTCGCGCCGAAGCCTTGTGCCATGGCCCGCAGCCATGCGTCGGGGGACTGCGAGGGGGGGGCTCGTCGGCGGGGCTCAGGCGGGGCCGCGGCGGCCGCGCTCGGTGGGGCACGCGTTCGCGGCGGGGGTCGCACCGCGAGGAACTCGGCCGCACCGGCGCCGACGACGGTCATGATGATGAGGCCTGGGTACTGGAAGAGGATGCCCGAGAGGAGGCCGCCCGGGATGCCCTTGGACACGACGCCGATGGCGAATGACATCTGCGTCGAGGTGGGTCCCGGGAGGCACTGTCCGAGCGCGAGGAGTTCGGTGAACACCCCCAGGGACATCCACTTGAGGTTCTCGACAAAGAGCTTCTGGAAGATGGCGATGTGCGCCGCGGGGCCGCCGAACGCGGTCCAGCCGAGAAGCACGAACCGCTTGAAGATGTCCTTGTACGTCACCTGCGGGGGCCCAGCGCCTGGCGACTGTCACAGGCGCAAGCAACAACACGGTGCAGCGCGGCGAGGGTCCATGCCGGCGTCCCGCCCGGGGGCCGCTCGCACCTCGGCGATGAGGCCCTTCTGGACCAGCTCCTCCTTGTCCATGTGCTCGACCCCGTCGCCGGCCTTGGTGGCGTCGTCGCTGCCCCCCGCCTCCATCGAGGCCTTCCCGCTGGCCGGGTCCTTGTCGACCACGGCGCTCTCGCCCATCGGCCTCTCGCTCTTGTTATCCTCGTCAGAAACCGAATGCACGCGACTACCCGGCATTCCTGTGGCGCCCCACAGCTGTGTCGCAAGTCTGCCAGTGACGTGTGCGGCCGCTCCGTGTGCGCGGTCCCCGCGGTCGAACGACGTGGCGCGTAGGCGGACTGCGGGCATCGGGGGGGGCGGGCGTTCATGGCTCTCGAGACATTGTTGATGCGAGCGCGGGGCGGCTGGTTGCGCGCAACCTGAGCATCAGCACTTGTTACTGGGCGGCGCGCTGAGCACGTCCTCGTGGGGAATATCCGACGATGAACGCCGGAACCTCGATGCCAACATGCATCTTAACGGGCGTGGAAGGTCGAAACGCCAGCACGGGCAGCATCGACGTTCCAACCCGACCCCGGGCAGCGCGGCCAGCGAGGCCAGCGCGCGGCGGCGGTGCGGCAGCCACGGCGGAGTGCGCCCGCGGCACAGGCCCGGAGCCGGCGGCGATGCCGACGCGGCACTTTCCCGAGAGCCTGCCACTGTCTGTTCGCGGCACACCGCCCTGCCGAGCGCCGACGCAACGTGCATGGCCCAGGTGTTGCCTCCGGCACACGCGCGAAATTGCAGGGGCATCTGCGTTTCCGCGCGCGCCTTGCCGGAAAGGCCGCTCTGGTGTGCAGGTCACCCGCACACCCTGCCGGAAATTCTTCCGGGCGGTGCAGCGATCGGCCCGGGTTGCGTGGGAGGGACGCACCTGGTGGCGAGCTGCGCGCGCTCCAACCCGCTCGAACCCCCTGTTTCGACGCTGGCGCCCAGAGCTGCCGCCCCGCGGCGCGCGGCCGAGCCCTTGTCCGCGCCAGCACCGCACCCCGCAGGCGCCGCGGGAGGCCCCCAGGACCCGCACCCCCCTCGTCCCCGTGACGCCGCACGTTCCTGGACGGCGTGCGGGCCTTGGGCCGCCCCCGGCGCGTGCACCCCGCAGTAACTATTGCGTTGCTAGGGCGGAAGGCAGCTATCACCATGGCTTGTGCGGGGACACTGCACCTGGGCGCCCCATGCGCGGTGGGCAGGCTGTCGCGGCGGCACCAGGTGCGTCGGATGACTCCGGGCCCCGCGACGCATCGCATCTGCTCTGTACACATCGGGGCCCTCGCGATCACGCGCATGTGCGGGCGTTCAGCGCGGCGCCCCGCCTCGACCCGTGTCGAGATCGCGCCCCGTCGAGCGGGAGCCGCCTGCGCGCCGCCGCGGTCCGTGGACAGCACCAGCGCACGGAGTTGTTTCTCCCCCACGCCCTCTGCGGCAGACTGTGCGTCGTCTGCGCGAGGGCACTGCGAATCCAGCGGCCTTGCCTCTGCTGCTGCCACCACTAGCTTGCCATCTCCGACCGCCGGCGTCCCGTGGCTCAGCCGCCGGTGCACGCGCCCCGCATCTCCCTCTCCCCCTTCACGAGGTGCCGTGCGGGGCCCGCTTGTCCAGTGCGGGCGCAATTGTGCGCCTGCCGGGGCGAAACCCTGCGCAGCGTCAATGGCACGGTCGCCCGCCAACGCGGGCCGATCCTTCGCGCGCAACGACGACGATCCTTGCAGGCAGCTGGCCCTCAGCGGCATGTCGTCGTGGCCGCCGCGCAAAGGTCATCGGTGACGGGGCGGGCGGCGTCGGTGGAGGTGGAGGCGCCATCTCGCCCAGCGGAGCGTGCCGAACGGGCCAAGGTGAGCGGTCCGCCGCGCCGGCTGCGCGAACCAGCCGCACGCTCTCCTTGCATGTCGTGGCCACAGCGCGCTGCGGCGCACCGCGGCCGCTCCCCGCGCTGGCTCGATCTGTGCCCACTCCCTTGTCGCCGGCGTGCTCGCGCAGGAGGCGCAGACGTTCGACCACAAGGCCCCGGGCGACCCGTGGCAGGACGAGCCGTGGGCGACGATGAAGTGGACGGTGTACCGCGGCGTGGCGTACGACCTGACGGACTACCTGGCCAACTCCAAGCACCCCGGGGGGTCCTGGCTGCTGCGCCTCGCCATCGGCCGCGACTGCACCGCCCTGTTCGAGTCCTACCACCTCCGGCCGGACGTCGCCGCCGCGCACCTCGCGCGCCTCCCGAAGATCGAGGACTTCCCCATCCACACCGTGCCCGTCGCGCCCTACCCGAACGACTCGGACCTGTACAACTCCATCCGCGAGCGCGTCCGCAACGAGCTCTTCGACGGCGCCGCGGACGGCCGGCACCGCACGGGCTCGGAGGGCGCGGCGGCGGTCATCCTGGGCTACGCGGCGGTGGCGTACGCGGCGTACGCGGCGGCGCCCAACGTGCTGACGGGCGGGCTGCTGGGCCTGGCCGGCGCGTGGATCGGGCTGACGATCCAGCACTGCGGGAACCACGGCGCGATGTCCAAGTCGCCGCTGGTGAACAACCTGATGGGTCTGACGGACGACCTGATTGGCGGGTCGTCCCTGATGTGGCGGTACCACCACCAGGTGTCGCACCACATCCACTGCAACGACGACGCGCTGGACGAGGACGTGTTCTCCGCCCTCCCGTTCCTCCGCTTCGACCCGCGCCTCCCGCGCGAGTGGTTCCACAAGTACCAGCACATCTACATGTGGGCCACCTTCCCCTTCCTCCAGCTCGTCTTCCAGATCGGCGACTGGCAGGCGCTCTTCACCAACCGCACCAAGGGCGCCACGCTCTACGGCGTCTCCGCGCTCGAGCGGGCCACGGTCGTCGCGGGCAAGCTGGCGCACTACGGGCTCATCTTCGGGCTGCCGTGGGTGATGCACGGCCCGATGCAGACGCTCGTGGCCTCCGCGTGCTACACGGCCGTGCAGGGCATCGTGCTGGCCGCCACGTTCGCGGTGTCCCACAACCTCGAGGAGAACAAGCCCGTGCAGGGCGGGTCCGCGTCCACGGAGAACCTGTACCAGCCCGTGGACTCGCGCGACTGGGCCGAGCAGCAGGTGCTCACGTCCTCCAACTGGGGCGGCGTCGTCGGCAACTTCTTCACCGGCGGCCTCAACCTCCAGATCGAGCACCACCTGTTCCCAGCCATCTCCTTCATGCACTACCCGGCCATCGCGAAGATCGTCCGCGAGGAGTGCGAGGCGCGCGGTATCAACTACGTGCACTACGACACGCTGCCGGAGATCATCGGGCGGTTCTCCAACTACATGCGCGACGTCGGCTCCTACGACATGCCCGCCACCTTCGCCTCGCTCACCCCGGGCGAAGTCGAGAGCCGCCGGGCAGCTCTCGCGCGCCTGTAGACTGTCGTGCCGCCCGTCTCCCTGTACGCCCGTAACCGCTCGGACTCCACCTCCGCATGATCCCACAGCCCACCCCTCACGCCCACCGAGGGCGTCGACATCAGCACATCACGATGTCCGTCCCCTCAACCATTCCCTGGTCTACGTGTGAACACTTCACACACCAACCACGCGCCTCACCTCCCTGGCCAGCGCGGCCAGGGGCGTCGCACGATCAATGCACTCCTCAAGGCTACTGCCACGTGGCAGGACGCGCAGCACTCGCGGATCCTCGAGCGCGGCTCCGTTGCGGTGGACCACGCGCTGCAGCAAGCCAGCTCTGCACTGTCTGCGGTCCCGTCGCACGCCGCCAGGGTGCATCATGCTGAGTGCTCAACTCGACGTCACACACGCGTGGCGGACCTGCCCCACAGCACCCGCGCCGAGTCGGGCCCCAGCCCAGGAAACCGCGCGCGATCCGGTCGCGACAGCCTCGGCTCCGTCGTGCTCGCATCACATCCCTTCGCCGCGCCGCGCCTGTCCGACCTGCGGCATGTCCTCCCCCCCGCGCGGTCGAGCCAGACGGCGCCGCTAAGGGAGGCCCTGCGGGTTTTGCGCTTGCTTCACCGCCCACAGCTCGCGCTGCAGCACCTCCTCCGGGACCGGGCACTTGGTGCGGAAGGCACTCTCCTGAGCTCTGCATCGGAGCCCGACAAACGACGCCCCTTTAGACCCGCGCGTCAACGACTGTGCATGGCGGCGCGCGTGGAGAGATGGAGCGCGTGCAAGGCCCGCCGCAGGGTGCGTGCTGGCACGCTAGGGGTGCGACACGATCACTGCGACGCGCCGAGAGCAGGCTTGACGACGCGGCACCCATGAGGTGTGGTCGGGGCATGTGGGTGGCGTTGAATTCGGTGTGGCACAGGCTGTCAGAAGCGCAGGCGCGGAGGTGGGTCGGTGTGTGTGCATACTTGCAGTTCTTCAGGTTGCAAGATTGGTAATTCAGACACTTGGTGAAGTCCTGCCACTCGGTCCCACAATTTTCTTTGAGATCTTTCACGCTGCGTCGCGGGAAGGGTCGGGGCCGGAGCGTCGTCAGCAATTGCCAAGGCAGTTTTCGACCAGACAGGCGCGTCACGGCCTTCACGTGCACGATTGGACGCGGCCCCGATGCAACAAATCATGTCAGGTTCGTGAGACGGCGCAAGACCGTGCTCGCAGGGACCCTCCAGGCAGGACTGGGGGGCGCCACAGGCTACCAAGGGCAAGATGGGTTCCCGCGACAGTGCGCGTGGGCGTGCGACACCATGCTCGCGCGTGCCCGCATGTTGACGTCAACGTCCATGTCGTGGGCCTGGGAACGACGCGAGTGCGCCGCATCGGAGGCCGCGGGTGCACTTGGGTTGTGCGGAAACCAGTGTGCGGTCGCAACGAGCTGGACATGCGGCGCGTGGATCTTCAGGTGGCACAGCGGCACGCACACAGCGGAGCAAGTGCAGGGCGCGCGGGGGAAATCCGCCTGCGTGCGCCATGCAGCGAAAGCAGCAAGGAATGCTCACGGTGCTGTCGTGCATCGGCAACGTCGGTGGTCCGGGGCACCTACAGTCCATGTACACACAACGACAGAGCTTCACCCTCCTTCAGACACGCGCCGGGGTGCCGATCATTCTTCTTGCAGCGCACGTATGCCTTGGTAACCTCCTTACACTTCCATGAGATGTGCTGCCAAGCGGCGTAGAGGTTCTCGCTCGGCTCTGGGACCACCGGATGACCGAAAGGCAAAGCTGCCTTCTCGCCGTCCCCACCGGCCATGGCCCTACGGCAACCTTGAGACTGCACAGGTGAAGGGCGGTGGGAAAAGTGCTTCCGAACCGCAACTCAACACCGACCTCCGGCCTGCTCGTCCGACGGATGCTTCATCCCTTTACAGTGCATTCGTTTCGCCGCCTCCTCCGCCCTCGGGCCCCCGCAGCGCTGCGCGCGCGACCCCTCGGCCTGACGTATGGTGGCACGCCGCGCTATTGCCGCCGCGCGTCGCCGCAGCACGCCCTTTTCCGTGGCAGGCGGTTTCGCTCGATAAGTGGGGTCTGCGGGCGAAGATGGCTGAGAAGAGCGTGACCATCCGGACGCGCAAGTTCATGACGAACGCGCTCCTGCAGCGCAAGCAGTTCGTGAGTGCCCGTGGCCCGCATGATGCGCGCGGTGCGGCGATGTGCTATCGAGAGGAACCTCTGGGGGGCGCGGAAACGCCGCGCTCGCCCCCGCCGCGGGTGCTTGAGGGATGCGCAGCAGTCGCAAGCATGCGTGTGCGCGGCGCGGGGGCCTTGAGGTGCCGGGGGGCGGGCGTGGGGCACCTCTCGGTCCAGAGGATGCGCCGTGCTGCAGCGAGCTTCGCGCTCGCCGCCCCGGGCGGCGCCTGGGCACCGTCCTGGTGGGGCCAGACTGGTGGGCGCGCGCGGCTCTGACGCGGGTGCACCGTTTCCCGCTGCAGGTCCTGGACGTGGTGCACCCTGGCAAGGCCAACGTGTCGAAGGAGGACATCCGGGAGCGCCTGGTGAAGATGTACGACGTGAAGGACGTGAACACGGTGCAGGTGTTTGGGATGAGGACTTCGTTCGGTGGTGGGAAGTCCACGGGCTTCGGTTTGATCTACGACACGGTGGATGCCGCGAAGAAGTTTGAGCCGATCTACAGGCTGGCGCGGGTGAGTCCACGGGCCGCGCGCGGCTCGACCTCCTGGCGATGCTGTGTGCTGCGCGCCCCGGCGCGGCGCCGTGGGGGCGTGGCGGGGCGCGGGGACGTCTCCGCGAGGACACATCGCTCGGGCGCAAGCGTCGGCAGCACGTGTCGCCTTTCCCGCGCCGCGCGGGGGCCGGTAGCGAGGCTGCTGGTCGGCGGCCGCGGCAGCGGTGCGGGCTGCGGGGGACGCAGCGACGCGCGGGGCTTGCGCGCGGCTGGCCGAGCGCGCTTGCATGCGGCGCGAGACGCGAGGGCGCACGGCATCGTGTCATGCACTGCAGGTGGGGCTGAAGGAGCACAAGCGCACGGCCCGCAAGCAGAAGAAGGAGCGGAAGAACAAGATGAAGGCGGTTCGCGGCGTCAAGCGGTCGTAGGCGCACCGCGGAGGGCGCGGAGCGCAGCTGCTCCACGCCTGGTGGCCCGGCTGTGAGTTCACGTCGTCGTCAACCTGGAGGCAGTCGTGGCAGATTTTTCTGCACATCAGTCGAACCGCCGGCAGCTGCATCGTTTTCAGGACTGTCACACGCGCTGCCGCAGGACACGCTGCGGTGAGGGACCGCGGCAGCTTTCCCCCCCCCCTTAGGTGGTGGCATCTGGCTGCAGCCTCTGGTGCCCACCGCAAACCGCCACTTTCACCACATGCTTCCGAAGGGTTTTTGCGTTAGCTGCCCCCGTAGTAGCCTGGGCCGCCTGTCTTCCGCGCGGCTCGGACGTAGCCACGCGCAGCCGAGTCACCGCGACACTGTTGCACAAAGCTGCTGCGCATGCGTGCCCCACGGAATTCGGCATGCCGGGGCGCGGACCGGCACCCACGCGCCCCTGTGCAGGTTCTGGCTCGACGCAGTAGTGCTTGGGGCGCCAGGCGAGCTCAGTGGCATCTCAATATCACAGGTGTACTGTGCTGGGCAACTCATTACCGCGGCCAGCACATGTTTTTGCTGGGCTGCAATCTGAGTGGACCGGATGCTGAGCGTCGTCGGATAACGGGCGGCTGGGCCCAGTAGTGGTCGTTCGACCAGGCGGCATCGTGTACCAGATCCCCTTGCTGCGCTCTGGGCCCGGTGACCGTCGGGGCTCTTCAGCGTGGGTCGACCAGCACGTACGATGGCAAGGGGCTGTGCCGTGCGTAGGCGAAAATCATGCGAGACGTGTGCAGCGCGTGATACTCCTGGAAGTCTGTCGCGTTGACGTGGGTCACATCCGGACGGCCTTGAGGCGCCCTCCGCGGTGCGCCTACGACCGCTTGACGCCGCGAACCGCCTTCATCTTGTTCTTCCGCTCCTTCTTCTGCTTGCGGGCCGTGCGCTTGTGCTCCTTCAGCCCCACCTGCAGTGCATGACACGATGCCGTGCGCCCTCGCGTCTCGAGGCGCCGCATGCACGCGCGCTCGGCCAGCCGCGCGCAAGCCCCGCGCGTCGCTGCGTCGCCCGCAGCCCGCACCGCTGCCGCGGCCGCCGACCAGCAGCCTCGCTACCGGCCCCCGCGCGGCGCGGGAAAGGCGACACGTGCTGCCGACGCTTGCGCCCGAGCAGCATGTCCTCGCGGAGACGCCCCCGCGCCCCGCCACGCCCCCACGGCGCCGCGCCGGGGCGCGCAGCACACAGCATCGCCAGGAGGTCGAGCCGCGCGCGGCCCGTGGACTCACCCGCGCCAGCCTGTAGATCGGCTCAAACTTCTTCGCGGCATCCACCGTGTCGTAGATCAAACCGAAGCCCGTGGACTTCCCACCACCGAACGAAGTCCTCATCCCAAACACCTGCACCGTGTTCACGTCCTTCACGTCGTACATCTTCACCAGGCGCTCCCGGATGTCCTCCTTCGACACGTTGGCCTTGCCAGGGTGCACCACGTCCAGGACCTGCAGCGGGAAACGGTGCACCCGCGTCAGAGCCGCGCGCGCCCACCAGTCTGGCCCCACCAGGACGGTGCCCAGGCGCCGCCCGGGGCGGCGAGCGCGAAGCTCGCTGCAGCACGGCGCATCCTCTGGACCGAGAGGTGCCCCACGCCCGCCCCCCGGCACCTCAAGGCCCCCGCGCCGCGCACACGCATGCTTGCGACTGCTGCGCATCCCTCAAGCACCCGCGGCGGGGGCGAGCGCGGCGTTTCCGCGCCCCCCAGAGGTTCCTCTCGATAGCACATCGCCGCACCGCGCGCATCATGCGGGCCACGGGCACTCACGAACTGCTTGCGCTGCAGGAGCGCGTTCGTCATGAACTTGCGCGTCCGGATGGTCACGCTCTTCTCAGCCATCTTCGCCCGCAGACCCCACTTATCGAGCGAAGCCGCCTGCCACGGAAAAGGGCGTGCTGCGGCGACGCGCGGCGGCAATAGCGCGGCGTGCCACCATACGTCAGGCCGAGGGGTCGCGCGCGCAGCGCTGCGGGGGCCCGAGGGCGGAGGAGGCGGCGAAACGAATGCACTACAAAGGGATGAAGCATCCGTCGGCGAATAAGGACTGTCAAGCGTGCGACCTCGAAGCGCAGTGCCAGATGCGAGCCACGTGCCCGCAGCTTTTCATGGCACGGCGCCGCGCCGGTGCTGCCCGTCCTGCCACGATGTCTGGGCGGGCTGGCTGCGGCAGGAGGGCGCGCTGACGTCGCGAGGGCGTTGCGAATTGACGTGCTCTACGCTCACACGGACTCCCGTTTCAGCGCCATCGCAGCTGCGCCGGAGGTCGGCGCGAGCGCCCTCCCCTTCCCCCCGTCAGAGGCTCAACGTCCAGCTCGAATTGAGCGAGCGAGAAGCGTAGCGTCGACGGATGGACCGGGTGACAATTGTGGACAATTGGACACGCGCTGCCACCTGGCGTTCACGCGCCCCACGTCGCTGTGATGTGGAAGTGGGCAGCCAAGTACGGCGAACGGCTGTGAGCGCCCCCTGGACCGTGGCATGCACGTCGCATGGCACGCGCTGATAACAGCATGTCGCATGAGAGTCAGACGCATGATTTTTGCCCAGCACTAGCGCCTGCGTGGCCGAACGCAAAAGGGTTCGGCGCATCGAAGCCCGGGCTCCAGACGGCGGGCGTCAGTCGGCAGAAGCGCCCAGGCTGGTGTACCAGCGGCCGATCCATGTCAGCCTGCTGCTTGTTCCCGCTGACAGACAGACAGAGAGTTACACTCCGGAGACGGTTCCCCGGTCGGCCGGTGCGGCGCGAGCAGAGGCCGAAGCCCCCACCCATGTGCGCCTGTGGCCTTTAAAGGCGCGTCTCAGGATCCGACGCGGAAAGCCTAGGACGGGGCGCCCTCACCCCGCCGAAGGACCGGCGCTGGTCGCCGGGGTGGAAGGGGTGGCCGAGGGCTGGCACGACTTCGTATTTTATGGGAGTGCAGGCAGGGTGTGCCAACCCAGGACCACCACCACATGACAGGGGCTTGGGTGTGGCCGGCGCGCGTCGACGGTGTTGCAGGTCGCTGCGGTTGAAGATGCTTTCCTCGACCCAGTCCGCGACGCTCACTAGAGCAGTTTCCGCAGGAGCCGCCCCCGATGGGACTAGCCACTGTTGCAGGCCAGTGTGTCTGTTCGACCGTCGACGACAGGACGGGGGGCAACGCGGTCTGAAGACGCACCCGTGGTCGATCAATCTGGTAGCCCGTCGGTGCGGGCCAACGTGGGAACCTGATCAGGATGACGGGTCGCGATGTCGTCAGGGAGGTGTGTGTCGCCATATGTCAGCACGGCCGCGGGCCCCGGGGGCCGGCCCGGACACCGACAAGCGCACCTCACCGACACGCACGCTGCCATTCTCCGCGCACACAGCGCCATGTCGCCGCGCAGGTACCGCCGAACAGCTTGGGTTCGCAGTGCCCCACACTCCTGAACAGGGGTTGGAATCTCATTGTAGCGGTGCAGTGCGGCGGGGCGCCAGTCAGCGCTTGCAGCCAGGGCGTCGTCCAGGGCCCCATACGAGCCTGTACGGCAGGGCGAGGGGTGGTTGTGCTACTGGACGCGACGATGGGCGTGAAGGCAAAGCTCTCAAAGCCATGGAGGCTTGGCGTCGAGTGCGCACCCGTACCGAACGTCATGTCAGAGTGCCGCCTGGCAGCCAAGCTGATGTTCGTGCCGGCTGGCGGCTCAGGCTGCCTGGGGCGGCATGCTGCGTGCAGCAGCGAGCTCGAACCAGCCGGCTCTGTTGAACCTGCTCGTAGCGCTGTGTGTCCGTTGCGCGCCTGACGATGGCGCGAATATCGCTTGCTGTCGCCGAACGTGCGATTCGGGCGACGAATGGCGTGTTTCATCCACGGCATCAGAGCGTTCCGGGGTGGTCACCACCAGCAACTGCCTTAGGCGCGCGTCGCCGCTTGGGCCTCATAAAGCGGCCACCCTGCCCCCGAACTCCGGCTCCGCAGTACGGTGAGATGGTGCGATTTCTACCTGCTCTCGGTGGACGACGAGGACACGCGCTCCTTCCTCGGCGGAGTGATGGCAATTGCGTCCGTGCTGGTCATGCTCTGGTTCTACGCACAGGTGCGCAAAAACTCGCGCATTTGCCCGTGAGGACGGCACACCGACACCCCTGAATCGCACCATGCTCCGGCCCCCCCATGGAGCCGCGGTGTTGCCCACAGACACCATGCCAACGCACGACGATTGACCTGCGTTCCTGCCCTCGCAGTGGATTCCGGAGATGCAACGCATAACAACAACATCAGCTATTGTGGTAGGTCTCAGGTCACGATGTCGCACTGCCGCAGCAACCTGACTGCCACCCCAGCGGGCCCTACTCCGCAGTCGCTGGTACAGGCAGGCCGCTGGCTCAGCGTTCAACGCTTGTCTTCATCGCAGCAGCTCGCGGCACGCACCCACAGTCTGGCCACATGCCGCCGCAGTGGCGGTCAGCCACTACGCGCTCGCGGCCGTTCCGAAAAGCGGTTGCCCCTCACTTGTGCATGGGTCCGCTTCTGAGCGTGGCACGACGGTGCCCATGCCGCGTGAGGCGAAGCCCGGGCGGTGGCAGCCACCCGGCATGCTGGGCATGGCTCCGAAGCAGATGCAAGGCTTTGAGTTGCGCAAGGGGTGTCCTTGGGCACATCCCCCTAGCGCTGACGACTGATGTCCCGATGACGTGCTCGCAGGTGGTCGACCCGGCGCGCGGGGTCCAGACGCCGATGGAGTGTCTGTGGCGACACGGATGCGTGGCCGTCGATCTCCAGAGCGGACAGCCCGTCGCGGCGCGGCAAATGGAGCACGGGGAAACAGTCATGGCAACGCTGCGATTTTTCAAGAGCTCAGGCAAGCAGAGCGTGTATCGTGCGAAAGCGCTCGCCGGCGTCGCGAGGTCGCTGTTTGCGTGCGTGGCTGGCAAGTGTTCTTCGACCCACCACCTGCTGGGGGGCTCAACACTGCCGTGCTTCGATGTGCCCGCAGGTGACGGCTTGGTCGTCGTTCCGCGCCGCGTGATGCAGCAGAAGCAAATATGCGACGGTGGCTCCCGTCCGCTGCACTACTGGCAGGACCGCCTCGCCCCAGCCTGCACGACTGGGTGCATGGACTACTGCGTGCCGGAGCCGCTCACGGAGCGTCGACAGCCCGTCGTGAGCCTGTCGGGCGTGACCGTCTTCGAGGGTGAGCGGCCAGAGATCGCCATGTTCGACACAGAGCGCATATCCGGGCGCGTGGACCGCAGCGCCGTGGTGACGCGCAACATGGAGGCGTTCAAGACCGCCGCGCTCGTGCGGGCGCTCAATATCACGAGCGTCGAGACGAAGACGCTGTCGATCAACGCCACCTTCCCCACGGCGTACCCCACGTGGCGGCCCAACAACCCCTTCAACGTCTACAACGTGGACGTCGACCACACCACCACGCTGTGGTCCACGGGCTTCCGGCCGCCGAACCGCACGCCGAACGTGACGTGCGTGGGCCCCGTCTTCTCCCCGACGTTCCCTGACAGCGCGGTGCAGACCAGCAAGTGCCCGACGGAGCACCCCGCCGCGCAGGTCGGCGCGCACGGCACGGCGGACTTCTCCCAGGTGACGACCCCGCTGATGACGGCGTCCGGGACGTCGCCGAAGATCCCGTACGGCAATTTCACGGACGCGGACCTGGTGTTTTTCCACGACGACATGGACAACGAGTTCGACATGTCGGACACGTACGACGAGAGCAGCGTGCGGTTCGTGGTGATCGGCGGGGCCACATCCCTCGTGACGGAGCAGGAGTCGCTGCGGATGTCGTGGCTGGACATCTTCCTCGAACTGGGCGCGCTGTGGGGCATTGTCGAGCTTGTCTGCGGGTTCCTGGTCAAGGAGTTCGAGGGCTGGATGCGCAGCGAGATCGATCACACACGCAGGCAGCTGCGGACCGCGCGGCTGCTCCAGCGCGCCGCATACGCGAACGAGGTCGCCGGGTCGGCACGCACGTCGCTGAACGCGGACCTCGATGACGACGGGGACTCCGGAGGCGAGAAGGACCTGGAGAAGGGGGCGCAGCACCCGGTGCACGCGGGGAAGCTTCACACAGGCCCAGCGGCGTACGACAGTGACCCCGCTGGTGTGGACAGTGCACAGGATCGGGCAGAGAGGGTCAGGAGGGCGCACGCTCGCAAGTCCGCGCTCGGGTTCACGAAGATCGCCCCCGTGGACGACCACGTGCACGGGTTCCGGTCTATGCGCGAGGAGGCGGGGTCGCGCGGGGCTCGAAGTACGTCCTTGACAGGGATGAGGCTGAGTGATGCGCAGCCGGCTCGCGGTTTCGGCGAGGGCCGCGAAACGGAGCCGATCGGAGAGGAGCAGGAGGGTGGCGACATATTCGAGGATGTACATACGTTCGGCGCCGCCCGAGCAACGCGGCCACAACAACAGGAGTCAATAGCAATGCGGCGGGAGAGCAACAAGCCGACTGTCTCGCGACGGAGGCTGTTGCAAGCCACAAGTTTCAGGCAGCAGAAGTATATTACTTTCCTGCGGTCGCGTGCGGAGCCTCCCGGGACAGGACACCATGACGCCTGGCCAGGTCTGGCTCCACCAGAGCCCATCAGAGGTCGCGGCAAGGTTGCGCCGAGTCCTACCGCCGCAAGCTTCACGAACGACCTGGCCTCCCCGCAGCCACCACGAGACAGAGTGCTGGCGAAGCACTGGAGCGAGCGCGTGAAGTTCAGCATTGCTGCGGAGATTGAGAAGATTCCACTGGGGTCGAGCCGCGAAGAGGCCGCGAACTCCACGAGGGAGGCGGCGCTCTTGTCGAGCGCCGTGAGCGAGGCGCAGCGCCGGCAGTCGATGCCAGGCCTCGGACTGCCGCCGTCTGCGTGGCAGAAGGTGTGCGACCTGCTGGGCGAGAGAAACGCCAGGTTGATCAAGAGGGGGGAGCTGCTCGCGGACAACCTGCGGCGGACCATCATCTTCGAAGCGATGTGGAGGATATTCATCGCGATGGTGATCCCGGCGCTCGTGCTGCTCGTGTTGCTGGTTGGCACACCAACTCTTGGAGAGGTGTGGTTGCGGAGGCTCAAGGACGAGGACAAGGGCGGCGGCCCACCGGTCGCAGCGACGGACATGATTCTGACATCTTCGCGGATCAACGTGACGCTCGACAGCGACATCGACTGGGCGACGTACAGCGAGCCTCGCGCCCCCGAGCTCACATCAACCTGGGCGCCAGAGACGGCTCCCGCGGCGCTCGCAGCACCTGCGTCGCACACTACAACCAGCGTACACCCTTCATGGACCCCGTTGGTCGTCAAGGGGCGCCCGGACGGCTCGGAGGTGGGCGCGTTCTCGGACCCGTCCGGGAACCTACACGTGGGGGTGCTGCCAAAGAATCGCAGGGCTGGTCGCTCGGCGCTGGCCACAAGCGGCGCATCAGCCGCGCCGCTCATCGGCAATTCGACGCTCGTTTCCGCGAAGGTCGCGTCGGCCGTCATGGACGTGGACTCTCTTGGGAGGGTAGTCGTGGGCTTCGTGCGCGATGCGGCCGGCTTCCCAGGGGTGGTGCAGCGGCAGGTGATCTCCTCGGGCCTGAACCATACCTGGGAGATTCTCACGGGCCTGACGACCCCTCAAGGAGCGACTCGGGACGACGCCATCGCGCTGAAAGCACTCACAGGTGGCACGCTTGCGTTTGGACGCTGCCTCCCCGAGCTGTGCGCGCTGAGCCTGTACGACCGGGGCTGGCTGCTCATGGGAGGGAGGCTGCCCGCAGCAGCCAGGATGGACATCCTCGCCACGCCTTCCGGCGCGCCGTCGGTGGTGTTGCACCAAACACCGGCCACGACACAGAGACGCCTTCTGAGCAACAAGCGCCTTCTGGGCGCGCTGCTCGACGGCGAGCACGCAGCCGGGACGCCATCTCCCGAGGCGACGCGCACCGTGAGCTACCACGGGTACGGCGCGAGGTGGGAGGGCCACGTATACGACCTGTTCCCCGAGTTCGCGTGGGAGGACGGGCACGCAGGGCCGGTCAGCACGCCCGTGGTGCGCGGCAGCGCGTCGACGCGCGGGTTCGTTCCCGACGCGGACGAGGCGGGCGACGGCAGCGACGAGGCAGTGGCCAGTCGTGCTGCAGCAACACCGACATCATCGGTCCTCGACTGGGCCGGCGGGAGCTTCGAGCAGCTGCCAGCTGCGACCGTGCAGTGCAGCATATCACCCGTGGTGTTGAAGGATGAGGTCGGGAAGAGCGTCATGGTTTGCCCGCAAAGCACCCTCGTCAGGGACCCCGCGTCGCCTGTATCGGGCGGCTTCATTGTTCTCAAGTATGTACCTTCCACGAGCACCTGGGAGGTCGACACGTCCCTGACGCCGACCGAAATATCTTCGGTGCAGTGTACGGCGATTGCGGCCGTGTCCGTTGGCGAGGGTCAGATGGTGGTGTCCTGCGAGACGTCGTCAACACCGATCCTCCTGGTGCAGACCCCCGGGAAACGCTGGCAGTTCCTCTACCCGCCGGTTCATGCGATCGACTCGCTTCGGCTGTACGCAGCGTCGTACAAGGAAAGCGGGGACCACATCACGATCCACGTGTCTTATCGCAACAAGGCAGACAACTCCTTCGAGACGACGAACATCCGCGTCAACACGGCCGCCCAGTCCATCCACGATGCCGCGGCTCTCGCTGTCGGATCTTCGGGCTTGCCCAGCGTTCAGACCGCTGCAGCTACAGCGCAACCTGCTGCCTTTGCCTCGACCCTCTCCCTTCCGAGGTGGCACGAGTACAGCGACTCCTTGGCCCACCTGCGCAACCTGGGGGATCTGAGGATCTCAGCGCACCACGGCACGGGCGCTCTCAGGGCGGTGGGGGTCGGAAACGGCAAAGCCCTGATCCTGATCCGGCGCGACGCACACTCGGAGTGCAGTGCCGGCGTCGATTGCGCTGCTGAAACTCTGTCGCCGGCGCCCACTGCTCATTCCAACAGCACTGTGGTGCCAGACCCGGCTGTTCGGTCCGAATCGCACGCTGATGCGCGAGCCGCCCTTGGCGAACTCAATTTCAACAAGACGCAACCACGTGATTGGTTGGACGTGACGCGGGCGCCTGGCTTCACCGAGGCCGCGGACCTCCAGCCGATGTTCGTGGAACGCCGCAACGCGACCTACGACGTGGCGGCCACTGCAATCAAAGCTATCGAGACACCTCGAGGAATGCTCGTGGCAGTGGGGACCAGCAAAGGCACGGTGACGCTGCTCGAGTGGGATCAATCGGTGCAAAACCTCACGGAGCGCAGCCCGTGGACACGGGTGTGGGGACCGCTGCAGTTCCCGCACCGCCTCTCACACGAGCAGCTCGAGTTGGACGTGACGTCGGGGCGCATGTCAACCGTCAACACGTCTGTGGCGCAGTTCGTGGTAATCGACAACTCCCAGACACCGTTCGCGTTCGACATCGTCGACAACCGGCGTCAAAATGGCGGCATCTTCCTCGCTGTGTCGACCCGCAGCAACGTGTGCGAGGCCTCGTGCAGCGATCCGCGGGTGTGCGTTGCGCGCGCGTGCGTGCACACGTACCTCTACCACGACGGGCGAATGGAGTTCAAGACTCCGACGCCGTACCGCGCGCCGCTGAAAAACATCGTCCAGATATCCTCGGTCCTGGGTGACACGCTTTACGAGCTGCCCGCGTCGTCCTGCGAGCCCAAGTTCGGCCATCCGCACATCGTGCAGGACCGCCAGGCGATCGGCATCCTGATGAACACTGGCCAGATGTGGCGTTTCACCGACGGCATGTGGACTCCAACGGAAATCTTTTCCGAGGTGTGCCCGCTCCCGGGCATCGCAAGGGACCCGCGCGGCGGCACGTGGGTGACTTTGCCCAACAAGGACGTTCCTTCTATCGAGAACCGCTACGCGGGGTTCCCGCCGGAAATCATCATCGTCCTTCAGGAGTTGAACATCATCAACGAGAGGGATCTGGCCGCCTCCGGGTTGCTCGGGGAAGGCCCGGACCGCGTCCTGCTGAACAGGGTGACTGCTGCGGGGGAGAAGGTCGAGGAGGCTTCGTTGCAGCTTCCCCTCGCGCGGTACGGTTTCTGCCTGACGCAGTCCCTTGCCTTTGCCATTGATGGCAGGCCAGGAGTCGTTTGCGAGGAATCGGGTTCCAATTCGTCGGCCCTGTACCTCGCCGCTAGCGCGCTGCGACCGAACGACACGACGTACACTCGATTCGTCGCCCCGGCGCTGGGCGCAACGCGGCTCGAGGTTGACTTCATCGCTGCCGGCAAGCAGGCACAGAAGATCATCATGATGTACGCGGCGCCGCGGCCGGGTGACGCTGCGGAAATCGACCTCTTCCTGAAGCGATTCGACTCGGTGACGGAGCCCCTGCACGACCTGCCGCGCAATGGAACTCGTGGGACGTTCGAACGCAGCACTGGGCTGGGCTGGACGTCGTTCCCCTTGCCGAACTCGCGCGGCCAGCGTCGCCTGCAGGCGGACTCTGCTCGCATGAGCCAGCCAGGGATCGATCGCGCGGCTTTCGACGTCGACCGCACCGTCGACCCTGGCACGGTGTGGCTGGTGCACGGAGCAGAGGTGCGCACGCCGCGCGGGGTGGTCGTGGCGCCGATCGTGGAGCGCAAGCGGCCGACGGGCAGCGGCTGGGAAGTCGTGCTGGGTCCGGAGTCGTACAGCGAGGAGGCGAAGACCGCGGAGGCGATTCTGAACGATCTGTTCAAGGGCACGCTGCGGCGCCTGGGCGCCTTTCTGCCCCTCCACGCGCAGCTCGTCAATGCACCGGACACCTCACGGGCCGGCCGCAGGTTCGTCCGACAGTACCTGATGGTGACGTACCTCACGGGGCGCGCGGACAGCGACGACGATGCCAAGAACATGGCGCAGCAGATCCTGTCCATCAAACTCGAGTACCCGGTGTGGAGGGACGGTCGGATAGCCGTTTCCGAGGTCGAGCCCACGCTCGGGTCGGGCTGCTACGACACACTGCGGTCGGACACCATTCGCGGCCTCGGCACGATGGATGCGGACTTCGGGTGGTTCGAGGTTGGGCAGCGTCCAGCCTATGGGCCGAACGGCGAGGTGATAATGAATTTCTGCCTGTTCGCGCCGACTCCGAACTTCCTATACGGCAGCCGCGCCGCGTCGACGTGCGCCCTGTACTACGCCAAGCACTTGTGCGACGTCCCGTTCTTCTTGGAAGGGCAGTGGGTCCCGCGGTACGACTATGGCGAACTGCTGAACCGCCGCGTCGTCAGCAAGGTCGCAGCAACGAACGTTACCATTCCCGGGATCGAGGGCCAGGTGCCACTTCGCGAGGCATGGGAGATGGTCACGGCGAAGTCCTTCACCCTGACGGAGGACCTGGCCCGCAGCTACTACTCCCCGAAGTTCGCCGACTTCCGAGGGAATGACATGGTGGCCGTCGAGGCCGCGGCTCACCGCGTCGCTGAAGGTCTGGCCGGGTTCGAAGCGTTTGACGACTTCTTCACGGACCCGGAAGGGAACGCCTTCAACGTCACGTTTGACTGGCCGACTTTCAAGCTGGGTTACGGCGCTCCCATCACATCGACGTACGTCACGAGGGCAGAGATCGACATCCCCGAGGACGTGAACATCACGTCAGTGGACGTCATCGTCTACCTGTCGCACCGCAGCCCGAACGATCTTCGCATCACCCTCGCCAACTCCGTCACCAAGGACACTGTCGCCTGCCTGGTCGAAGCTCGCGAGCGCTTCCGCGGCCAGCAGGAAGGCTACTTCGGGACGCGATTCACGTCCGACCCTCGTATCACCAGCTCGGTGCCAGGTGCTTCGCGGATGCTCCCGATATTCTTCTCCTACCAGACGCTGCTCGAGTTCTTGGGGGAGTGCGTGAACTGGTTCGACGGATCGTACTCGTGCATGACTGCTTTCGGCGACTGGTTCTACGGGCTCGAGACCTTCCACCACGGCTCATTCAGGCCGATGGGCGCCCAGTGCCCGTCCGGTGGTGTTGGCCTTGACGCCTTTCATGGCACGTCGTCGAGGGGAAAGTGGGTTCTGAGCGTTGACGATCAGGTTGAGGGCACGGATGGCGTTTTCTTGCAGTGGGGCCTGCGCATTGTTGGCAGCGACGGCACGGTCATCTACAAGTTCGCCAGCCACCACGACGCCTACGGCGAATACACAACCACGATGGGCGGCGACTTGCAGCCGGTGCTGGGCCGCCATGTGGCCCCGGAGATGTGCCCAGGCCCGGAGCTGAATCGCTGCGACCAGCACCGTGGCATTCCGCTGCTTTGGCAGGCCCTGACGACGGCGCGGCCGGTGGATGAGGCCGGCGATGTCAGCGCTGCTATCGGCTTGCATGGTCGCGTTCTGGCGTCCCTGGGCGGGGACAAGTACGGCACGTGGGACGGCGAAATGACGTCCTTCCGCCAATTCTCCACCCACAACCCGCTGCAGGTCGGCAACGTCACGTACGGCATCCAGGGCGCCGCATCTGCCACCGCAAACGTTCAGACTGACAGACACGGCGCGATGTGGGACGTTTCGGAGGCATGCGTCGACCGCCCCGCCTCGAGCAAGCTGCCCCCCCGGTGTTCCATGTCCATCTTCAAGATGGACACGAATCGCACCGGACTCGTGTCCGAAGACGGCGAACGATTCGTGTGGAAACTCGTCGCGCGATTCACGCACGGCGTGCCCCCTGAGCCCGGCAGCACGGGTCCGCGGGCGAGCATTTGCAGGCCACAGCTGCTGTTTGGCAGGTCGCCGTACCCCGTCGTGCTGTGCACAGACCCGAGGCCGGCCGCCGTCTTCATCCCGTTTCAGCGAGGCGGGACCCCGCGTGCCGTACCGCCCGACGGCGACGTGCAGGAGGGCGTTGCACAGTACCAGCACGTCTCCCTGCACACTCCTCCTTGCGCCCAGGTCGTCCCTCGCGACGGCGGCGCGAGGCGCGACTTCCTGCTTTCCAAAGCGACGGCTTTGCAAGGCACGATCGATGCGTCTGGCCCGCACGCAGACCGGCTGATGGTGCTGCTCTCCACACACCTCGTCGCTGACGAGTTCTTGAGTGGCGTTGACGGCGCCGTCGCGGTGCCTTCGCAGGCGATTCTGACGCTTGACATATCGTTCGGCTCTGACGGCCGTGATCCCGGCGACATGCCTCGCGCGCCGAGCACGCTGAAGGAGGCTGCCGTTGCAGTCAATCTCCCAACATGGTCCTCACTGCGCTCAGAAAAGACGTTCACGTCGAGGCCGGATCTCGCCGAGGACCTTGAGGGGCTGGCTCGGCACCTGAGCAAAGCGGTGTATCTCGGGGGCAGCATGCAACGTTACGTTGTCGGGTACCGCGACTCGGATGTCATTCCGCGACTGAAAATACGAGCGTACCTAGGCGCCAACCAAGTCGGGACAGACGGGCCGTGGATCAAGTACCTCGACGACATGGACAGCTTTCGCCAGAAGCCCCTGGCGTGGGACGCGCACCTGACGAAGTCGCCTGACGACGCGGAGTGGCTGTTGCTTCCGATGATCCTGGAGAAGAGTGCGTCACAGGCCTCGCTCGAACTGCACCAGTATCGCCTCACGGGTGAGCAGGATCCGCTGGGCGTCACCGGCACGGACTACGGGGCAACGAAACGCTCTTACCGCGTCCTGATTCTGGACGACACGCTCTTCACGAGCGACCATCGAAAGGCGGCGTCGAACCTCGGTGTGGCGGCGCTCGTGCGCTCGAACGATCCGCTTACAGGGGTGCTCGTGGCCTACACTGGCCCAGCTGCGGACCAGGTATTCCCGTTGATGGCGCGTGTGTTCATGCTGCCCAATGAGGACCAGGACTGGTACGACCCAAGTTCTCTTGGCTTCAAAACGTTCATCGCGCGGCTGAACCCGACGTCGAGCCAGATCAGCGAGGTCGATGACAGTGCCTGCCTGAACACCGCGCAATGCCGGCCGATGCGCAGCGGTCTCAGTTGCGAGTGGCAGCTGCTCTCCAACGACATCAGCGACCACATCGCGAACCAGGCCCGCGCTCAAGTCGCGCTTCTCGGGCCGGACGCAAAGGGTCGCATCTTCTTCGTCGGTCCCCAGGAGGTGCGCGTGTTGGGCAAGTACACCGATCTCGGATGTGGATTCAGCGAGCCGACTGAGCGTCTCCACTGGGTGCCTGTCACGCGCGTTGGCACTCGCTTCGTCCGAACGAAGCAGGGTGGCGAGGTCCTGTTGTCGAATCCGTTGTGGTCGGATGACAATCCTCTGCACACGTGGTACTACTCCCAGGGGTTCATCCACGAGGGCATCCTTCATCTCGCGGTCGCGTATCGCGACGAGTCTGACGCATTCGGCCACCCGGTTCGGACCAAGCTCTTGCGCTTGAGCTCTATCACGGAGGGCCAGAACGCCGAAGGTCGGCAGGCCTCCCGTGAGGGCACCACAATCAAGCCGCGTCTTGCCTTCTATACAAGTGCGTGGGAGGAAATTGGGCCTGTCGACCCGTGCGATGGCAGGTTCTGCGGCGCCAAGATGGGGCACGACGAGGTCACAGGAGAAGCGACGAACCCGGAGGACCTCGAATACCGCTTCGCACCGTTCACAATAAGTGAGGGCTTCCTGACGGGGATCTGCTGCGGCCGTGCATGGGTGCGCGACCTGTCCGGCATCGTTTGGCCCTCCGAGATCGCAGCCGCCTCTCGCGAGGCTTCGGCTCGACGCACACTGGCATCGCGTGGCAACATGGTTGCTCCCGGACTCACGAGGGCGAGCTTCTCTTCACGGGGCGGGGCCTCTGGCGATGACGATGCTCCAGGACTTCGCAGGTGGACGCCCGAGAGGCTTAAGGCGAAGGTGAATGCGGGGCGACGAACGGTGGCCAGGTCCACACGTCGCGCGGCGACTGCCGCGTTCAACGTCACGTGCAACGGAACCGCCGTGAACGGCACTTGCGGCGCCCCTCCCATCAACGGCACGTCCACGGTCGTCGGGCGGGAATCGAACAATGACCCCCTGGCCAACAGTAAGCTGGTCGTCTACGTGCCGCCGGTCCACACGGCGATCCTGCAGGGCGCCGCGATGCTGAAGACTCGGAAGTTCTGCGACAAGTTCCCGAGGCCCCCGCCCACCGCAGACCCGCTTCTGGGGGGCCTGTTCCAACCTGGCTACAACGCTCGCGGGACCTACCAGGCCCCCCCGATCGACTTCTCGCAGTGCGACGAGTGCGGTATGCAGGCGTACATGCTGCTGGTGGAGGAGTTCTACCAGCAGCGCACCGGTGCGGAGGAGGGCGACTATGAGGACGCGCTGCTGTCGAACTGGTACCTTGACTGGGTGCGCGAAGACAAGGTGCTCAGGGACGTCCCGTGCGCCGACGAGGACCTCGACGTGCGCACGCGGTGGGAGATCGAGTGCGACCCCACGCGCGAGGACTGCTCGCGGGCGTCGACGCGCGCCGCGGTCTCGCTGACCAACAAGGGCCTCCCCGACTTTGGAAGGAGCTGCGCCCCGGGTGTCTGCACGTTCATCGCCGACCACGCACGCGGCAACGTGCGCATCGCCGACGTCGACACCACGGAGGACGCGCTGCTCGTCGACGACGATTGCCGCGTTGTGGACGTGAGCGTCGAGGTGGACATCGAACACAGCAACGTGCGGGACCTCGAGATCGCGCTCGTGGCCCCGTGGGGCGCCTCGGTGGTGCTTCAAGACGAGACGCGCTTGCCCGAGGAGCTTGTGCAGCTGCCCTCGTACGACCGCACCATCTTCTCGGACCAGGCGACGGCTTCCACTCGCGACGCCGACTTCGGGGCGAATTTCAACCTGGCGTTCCGCGGAGTGTTCCAGCCTCTGCAGCCCCTCGGTCTCCTCATCGCAGCAGCGTCGGGGTCCGCGTCTGGACTGGGCGCCGACGTGTCGGCGCGCAAGGTGAGGAGCCTGCTACGGACACTCTCGGACGGCGGCGGACTTCCGAATGCACGCGGCGAGTGGAAGCTTCGCGTGGTGGACAGGGCGAGCGGGAGCGAGGGAGTCATCGAGGGCTGGAAACTGGAACTCAAGTGTGCCGCACTGAGTTGCCCCGGCACGACCGCGAACGACACTTGCACGTTCGAGCGCCGGGGCCTCTCGACGCCGATCGCCGAGGCGACGGTCCTTAGCCCCACGTACACGCCAGACGCCATCTACATCCACAACACGCAGTGCCGCGTGTCCGACATCGAGGTCGTGGTCGACATCACGCATGACTACATGGGCGACTTGCATCTCTGGCTTGCGTACTTCAGGCTGGAGCCCGGCCACGTGCCGCGCTACGTGCGTCTGTCGCGGGCGCGGGGAGGTGCAGGGAACGGCTACTTTGGCGTGGTATTCGACGACCAGGCCGCGAGCTCCATCGCTGGGCTCGGAGACGTGCTCGATCAGTTGACCGGCGCGTTCAAGCCCGAGGACGCGTTCAACTTTTTCAGGGGTGAGCCGGCGCAGGGGACGTGGTCGCTCATCGGCGCCGACTTCGCGCCGTCTGACGTGGGCGAGATCAACGCCTGGCAGCTGCGCTTGCACTGCGGCGGCCCCAGCAAGCCCGAGTTCGACCTGACGGGCAATGCCGCAGAGATTGAGGCGTTCCGCAGGGAATACCACGCGTTCCGGGCAGCAGTCGGCGATGGTGTCGACATCCCCGACTACCCCGGCGAGGGCCGGCACGTCGCGGAGGCGCTGAACCTTGATGTCGGGTCTGACGTCTTCCAGGTCGAGGGCGGCACGTGCACGATCAAGCGGTTCGCAGCCCTGGTGGACGTGTCGCACTCCTTCATCAGCGACGTGAGGGTGTGGCTGGAGACCCCGTCCGGCCTGAGCCTGGACATTGCATCGAACGTTGGAAACGACGGACAGGGCTTCCGGCCAGTGCTGTTCACGGATTTCGCCGACGTGCCCATCGGCGATGCGGTTCCCACGCCCGAAGGCTCTGTCGCGGGCGTGTACAGGCCCTTCGCCTCGTTCGCCATGGTGACGGGCGAAACGGCCGTTGGCCGATGGGTGCTCCGGATCGGTGATTACGCAAGGTTTGATGTCGGGCGGCTCAACAATTTCGAGCTGATGGTAGATTGCGAGGAGACGCCAGCGATCTTCAGGGCCTCGTTGCCGCCTCTCGGGGCAGCGATCCCCGCGCTCAGCCCAGGCGAGCAACAGGGAGATGCAGCGGCACAGAAGCACATGAAGGTGTCCATCGTTGTGCCGCCTGAAGCCTTCAATCGGACCTGCTTCGTGGCGAATGTTCGTATGCGGCTGACGATCGATCACCCGGGTCTGGAGAACATCACTGTCGCCGTGCGAAAGGACCCTCCGATCGTGCGCGCAGACGGCAATTCGTCGGGGGCCGCTCCCACCTCGACCCCGGGATCATCAAGGCCTGCGGAAGCGGGAGGCGCGTCGATGCGCCTGTTGCTCAGCGCGCCCCCGGCAAACGGCACGAACTCGGCAAGTCCCACTTCGCCAGCTGCCACAAATGCATCCCTCGCGGGGCATTCTGTCTCAGCGAAGTACATGCAGCGCGCCGCCGTGAAGGGCACAGCCATACTGTTCCAGGGCTCACCTGACGGTGCGGGCTACGGCGGGCTTTCTGATGTGGTTTTCTCCGACGTAGCGAACAGGGGCATCGACGCGCCTCAGGAGGACGCGAACATGATCACTGGCGTGTACGCTCCCGTGACAGAACTTGGAGAAACCTTCCGAAACTTCCCAGGTCGCGGGGTCTGGGAGCTGATCATCTCGAGCAGCAGCACCCTGCTAGGACGCGTCGTTGCGGCGGACTTACTGCTTCAATGCCGAGACGAGCTGCGTGCCCAGGAGTCTGAAGCACCCCCGGGTGTCGTCACGAGCTCCGCAGTCGACCTCCCGAAGCCCATCCCGGATATGGTGTCGTCGGCGGGGTTCAGCAGCATCACGGTGTCGGAGGGCCTGCTGGACCCCGCGTGGAACGGCTCCTGCACGGTGCACGACGTCTCTGTTCACGTCGTGCTCTGGCACTCGTACCTCACGGACCTGCGCATGAGCCTCAGCGCGCCGGATGGCACGACCGCCTCGCTGTTCACGCACATCGCGAATGGCTTCCATGGCGTCGCGGACTTGCACCTCAACTCATCTGCGTCGAGCGCGTCGATCCAGGACGTGCAACGAACGGGGTTGACGGGCACATTCCGTCCGGAACGGTCTTTCAGCGCGTTCTTCGGCGCGGATGCGCTCGGAGGCAATTGGTCGATCAACGTGTACGATGACGCATCGGGAGACGCAGGCATCTTGAAAGCGTTCACCCTGCGGATCACGTGCTCCGAGGGCATCATTGTGGACGATGCTCGAGATGGATCGGCCACTTCTCCCGTGCCGACACCTGCAGCTGGGACAACGACGGGGGCTACTGTCCCATTCACGGGCAGGCTCCCTGTAGCAGTACCAGACTTCGACGAGCACGGTGTCGACCTTCGCATCGTGACTGAAGCGAGCACATTTGGCGGTAGCGGCTGCGTGATCGACGCCGTGGAAATCCAGCTCCTGATCGCCCACACGTACTTTTCGGATTTGCGGGCAGTGCTGGTGTCGCCTAGCGGCACTGAGGTCACCTTGTTCAGCGAGATGAGGTACAGCGGACGGGGTTCATACCTCGTGACGCTACGCGACGGGGCCTCGAGCCGGCTGCAGGACGCAGCCCGCATCTCGACTGGCGCCTACAGGCCTTCGACGCCGTTCGCGGCCTTCGCTGGGGAGCGCGGCACAGGCGCGTGGCGGATCAATATCGCCGATGTAGTACAAGCGGACGTGGGATCGGTCAGCGCGTTCATATTGAAGATCGACTGCCTGGACGGTGGTCCGACGCCACTATCGGGGACGACGGTGCCGCCCACGGCAAGCTCTGCTGCTGCAGCGCCGACGCTGCCTTCTTCTGGAGCAGTCGGCGCTTCTGGGGGGCTGCTGACCTTCTCTGGCAGTCTCCCCGTGCGTATCCCGGACCTTTCCGGGGTCGAGCTCAGCATCGAAACTTCTCCAAGTACGTTTGGCGGTAACGGCTGCACGTTGAGCGAATCGGCTGTTACCGTTGAGTTGACGCTCACGCACGAGTTCTGGAATGATCTGACAGCAGTTCTGACATCTCCAGCTGGCACGAATGTCGTTCTTTTCAGTCGCATGCCATTCAACGGCCAAGGGACGTCCTCGGTGACGCTGCGCGACGGAGCGGCGAGCCGGTTGCAGGACCAGACCAGCCTGCCAGCGGGGGCGTACAGTCCGGTGGGGTCGCTCGCGAGCCTGGCCGGCGAGAGCGCGTTGGGTGGGGCCTTCAGGCTACGGATGATGGATGTTGCCAGGGCGGACGTGGGGCGCGTTGATGCATTTGGCGTGCGTGTGGTTTGTTCGATCGCTGCAACGTCTGCGCCGGGCATCACGCCGTCTTTTACCGACACGGCGGCGCCAACGACGCAGCAGCCGGCATCTCCCGGACCACTGACGTACTCCGCCGCGGCAACAACACTGCCCTCGTCTGGCGGCCTGCTGGTCTTCAACGGCCCGCTTCCGGTTTCGATTCCCGACGACGATAGCACGGGCATCAGTCTTGGTATCACAACTACGGCGAGCACTTACGGCGACGTTGGCTGCGTGGTGGAGGCGGTCGAGGTGGTTTTCTCGCTTTCGCACAGCTTCTGGGCTGATTTGGCGGCTATTCTGACCGGCCCTGACGGCAGGCAGGTGCGACTGTTCTCTCGGATCGGGTATTCAAGGGGCGGGACGTCCACGGTGACGCTGCGCGACGGGGCGGCCAGCCGGCTGCAGGATCAGCGAAGCCTTCCCGCGGGGTCGTATCGCGCGATGGATTCGCTGCGAGGTCTCGCGGGAGGGACAGCGGAAGGGACCTGGACGATGCGCGTGATGGATCTGGCCTCTGCGGACGTCGGGCAAGTCATGGCGTTCAGCCTCCGCGTCACGTGTCAGCAGGGGGGCGCGACGGCGCCTGCGCGGACAACGACCACGCCAGCAGCATCGACCACGCCGCCAGCGACCCGAAATATAACAGTGAATACGACGCTGACGCCTGCAGCGACGGCGTCAACGACGACTGTGGTATCCGCGACTCCAGTGGCAGTGCAAACCTCATATTCTGGCAATCTTCCCGCTAGTATCCCGGACGATGATAGTACGGGCATCAGTCTTGGTATCACAACTACGGCGAGCACTTACGGCGACGTTGGCTGCGTGGTGGGGGCGGTCGAGGTGGATTTGGCGCTTTCGCACAGCTTCTGGGCTGATTTGGCGGCTATTCTGACCGCCCCTGACGGCAGGCAGGTGCGACTGTTCTCTCGGATCGGGTATTCAAGGGGCGGGACGTCCACGGTGACGCTGCGCGACGGGGCGGCCAGCCGGCTGCAGGATCAGCGAAGCCTTCCCGCGGGGTCGTATCGCGCGATGGATTCGCTGCGAGGTCTCGCGGGAGGGACAGCGGAAGGGACCTGGACGATGCGCGTGATGGATTTGGCCTCTGCGGACGTCGGGCAAGTCATGGCGTTCAGCATACGCGTCACGTGTCAGCAGGGGGGCGCGACGGCGCCTGCGCGGACAACGACGACGACGGCAGCATCGACCACGCCAGCAGCAACAACCACGGGTCCCCCGGCAACAGTTGCCCCGACGCCGACGGCTGCACCCGCGACCACAGTGGCGCCACCCGCAACGACAGCAGCGGCTCCCACCACGACCGCCGCCGCGGCAACAGCACTGCCCTCGTCTGGCGGCCTGCTGGTCTATACTGGCCCGCTTCCAGTTTCGATTCCCGACGACGATAGCACCGGTGTTGTCCTCGACATCTCGACGGCAGCGAGTACGTTCGATGGCGGGAGCTGCGTGGTGGACGACGTCGCCATTGATTTCACGCTTTCGCATACTTACTTCAATGACATCGTGGCCGTCTTGACCTCACCGGCCGGCACGTCCGTGCTGCTCTTCAGTCGAATGAGATTCAATGGTCAAGGAACGTCCTCGGTGACGCTGCGCGACGGGGCGGCCAGCCGGCTGCAGGATGAACAGAGCAAGCCTGCGGGGCCGTACCGTGCTGTTACGTCGCTCAGAGCAGCCCTTGGTGGGGAGAGCGCGGTGGGGGGCGCCTTCAGACTTCGCGTGATTGATGCGGCCTCTGCTGACGTTGGCCAGATTCATGCATTCCGCGTACGTGTTGCCTGCCAGATCGCTGCGACGACGACAGCGGCGCCTACCACCACGGCGGCACCGACCACGACGGCGGCGCCTACCACCATGGCGGCACCGACCACGACGGCGGCACCGACCACGACGGCGGCGCCCACCACGACGGCGGCGCCCACAACGACGGCAGCACCGACCACGACGGCGGCGCCTACCACGACGGCGGCGCCCACAACGACGGCAGCACCGACCACGACGGCAGCACCCACCACGACGGCGGCGCCCACAACGACGGCAGCACCGACCACGACGGCAGCACCGACCACGACGGCGGCGCCCACAACGACGGCAGCACCGACCACGACGGCAGCACCCACCACGACGGCAGCACCGACTACCACGGCAGCACCGACCACGACGGCGGCGCCCACAACGACGGCAGCACCGACCACGACGGCAGCACCGACACCGCCCCCAATCTCGGTTGCAGACGTGGCGTACTCGGGGACTCTGCCGCGTGCAATTCCCGACAACGCGGTCACGTATCTGAGCATTTTTACATCAGTCAACGACTTTAATGGGAGACGCTGCGCCGTAGACGTGGTCAGAGTCTCGCTGACGATTAAACATGCGCGCTGGAAGGACCTCTCGCTCACCCTGAGGTCGCCAGACAACACCCAGGTTCGCCTGCATCAGGCCGGGGGCGTAGACTACGCAGGCGGTGGCGAGGGCGCCGTGACGTTCAGCGACGCGGGCTCCACCTTGTTCGCGAGCGAGGACTCCTTGCCGTGGGGGACGTACCGGCCTTACGACCCGCTCGGATACCTGGGATGGGATAATGGCGTCGGTACGTGGTCCTTGCGCGTAGAGGACACTGCGGAAACGAATTTGGGCTCGATTGAGGCTTTCAGCTTGCTCATCAGGTGCCAGCTCGTCGAGGCTTCCAAGCCTGCCGACAAGGGCACGATTTCCGCGTCATCGCTCCCCACCAGCATCCCCTCGTACGCTTGGCGGATCAGGTCGATCACAGTCTCATCCCCTGCGTGTACCGTACGGCGGCTGAGGGTCCAGTTTGACATCGGCCACTCGCGATGGGCAGACATGATCCTCTACATCCAGGCGCCCAGTGGCTTGCAGCGCACTGCCTTCTACAAGGTCGGCGGCACCAGTAACGCGCGTAGTGGCGTCGTAACCCTAGACTCGGACGCGTCCACGAGCGTTCAGTCCAGCTCCTTTCCGCGCGGCACGAGACGTCCTCGGGAACACTTCGGCGACTTTACTGGCGAGGACGCTGTAGGCACGTGGCTGTTCAAGGTCCTCGACACGAGAAGCGGATACGACGGGGCGCTATACGCAGCGAAACTCATTATAGAATGTATGTGATCCCGAACCGAGGGAACTGAGGGAAGTCGGGGGGCAGGGTCGGGTTCGTTCGCGCTGTATACAACAGCTTGGTCAATGTGTCCCAGAAGTCCAGGCTACGGACCCACAACGTCGCTTCGAGGGGATGGGATCTCGCACTGCGCGAGAAAGGCAAAACATCGAGTGCCACGAAGGCGCATGTCTGCACCATCGCGTGCACATAGCGTTGACGTGGCCGCTCATAGGGGGTGTAAGCCCATTCGATGAGGCTGCAAACGACGTCTCGACGTGTCAGGCGCAGACCTCGATGGCCGCAAGAAGGAGCCTGAGTTGCTGAACGCGCTTGAGAGAACTGCAATGTCTGTGTGCGCGGAGAAGAACCTCGCAGCGGCCCGAGTAGCGGGTGACGTAATGAACTTTCAGTCTGACAAACGTGTCAAACCGGAGGTCACAATAACCAAGGAAAGGGGTGGCCGAGAGCAACGACGCGGTGGAGTGACAGCTGGTGGGGATGCGCGGGGGGGCTTGCCTACGAGTACGCCCGACATCTGCCGCAGCTTGCTCACCCTGCGTGCGGGTACTCCATCACGTCGTTGCTGCCGGCCACCCCTCTCCTTGGTCAATGTGTCCTCCGGTTCGATTGTTCATTACAGAAATTGATCTACCATTTCGTTGTGCAGCATGCTGCACGATCCCCTCACCGCGAAGCTGTTTGTGGTCCGCACCGCACCTATGAATTCAAGGCGCCACTTGCACGATGTCTCAAGCGGGTCTCTTCGTCCTGTTTGGGGGGAAAAAGTTGTCCTGGGACGCAGGCGCGCCAAACCTAGTTCTTGCTGAGCGCGGTCGCCGCGCACTTGCCGTTTCCTGACACCACCCACTTGTACGTCATCAGGTTCGGCACGGTCACGGGCCCCCTGGCGTGCAGCTTGCTGTCGCTGAAGCACGCCTCGGACCCGAAACCAAAGTAGCCTGCGTCCGCGAGGCGCGTGGACGCGTTCCAGAACACGCACGCGGACTGCACCGCCTTCTTGAAGGCCGTCGCGGTTTCCTCGTTGTTGGTCAGGATGCAGTCCGTGTGCCCGGACCCGAACTCGTTGATGTGGGCGATGGCGCCCTCCAGGGAGTCCACCACCTCGAGCGTCATCTCCCGCGCGCGGTAGTCGACGCGGGCCGAGGGAGCGGGGGGCAGGCCGAGGACGCGCGTGGCCTCCTCGCCGCCGTTGACGCGCACGCCCGCCTTGACCATGGCCGAGGTGAGCTGCAGGATGCGCCCGTCGTCGACGAGGGCGCGGTGCACCAGCACCTTGTCGACGGCGTTCTCGGCGTCGCTCTTGTCCGTCTTCGCGTCCACGCAGACGTCGATCGCCTGCGCCATGTCGACCGACGCGTCCACGTAGATGTTGCACACCCCCTCGGCTGCGCCCAGCACCGGGGCCTTGGACACCCGCCGGGTGAAGGCCACGAACTCGGGGGTGCCGTGCGGGATCACGAGGTCGATGTTGTCGAGCGCGAGCACGCCGTCGAGCTCCTCCGTGGCGCCCACGAAGGACACCAGCGCGCTCCCGGGCGCCGTGCCCTCCAGCACGGCCGCCATGGTCTTGTGCACGATGGCGTTGCTGCGGGAGGCCTCCTTCCCGCCCTTGATCACGACGGCGCTCCCGGCCTTGATGGCCATCGCGGTCACGACGGGGAGCCACTCCGGGTGCGCCTCCACCACCGCGAGCACCACCCCCACGGGCGCCGACACCTTCTCCAGCGTGACCCCGTCCTCCAGCGTGCGCCGGTCCAGCACCTCGCCGACGCGGGCCTCGCCCGCCGCGATCGCGCGCACCGCCTGCGCCACCTCGCGGATGCGCCCGGGCTTCAGGAAGAGCTGCTGCATGAGCGTGTCGGTCACGCGGCCGTGCGAGCCCGCCATGTCGGCGTTGTTCTCCACGATGATCTCCGCCTCCGCCTCGATCAGCGCGTCGGCGATCGCCTCCAGGATCCTGGAGCGCTCCGCCTCGGACAGCGCCTGCAGGCGCTCCCCGGCCGCGCGCGCGGCCTTGGCCACGTCGCTCGAGGACTGGTGCTCCGTGTCGGCGTGCTGCCCGTACTCGGCCTCCTTCGCGAACACCCGCGCCGCGTCGACGCTCACGAGCGTGCCGATCTGCTGGCCCGCGACCACGCGCAGCACGATGTCCAGGGCCTTGCCGTTGGCGATGACCACGGGGCAGGCCTTGGTGGCGCACTCCCACGCCGCGTCGATCTTGGCGAGCATCCCGCCGCGCCCGCCCGTCGACTTCTGGCCGAACTTGAGCATCGGCATGTGGATCTCCGGGCAGAAGGTGTGGATGATCTTGGACCCGGGCTCCGACGGCGGGCCGGTGTAGAGCGCGTCCACGTCGGTGCACAGCACGAGGAGGTCGGCCTTCAGCACGTCCGCGAGGAGCGCGGCGAGGGAGTCGTTGTCCCAGAACGGCGGGGCGTCGGCGGAGGTGTCCTTCTCCGTGAGCTGGTGCACGGAGATGGCGTCGTTCTCGTTGAAGACGGGCACCACGCCCACGTCCACCAGCTGGTCCACCGTCTCGCGCAGCTGCTGCCGGAAGCCCGTCTGCTGGAAGTCCGCGGTCGTCACCAGGAACTGGGCGCACATGACGTCCATCAGATTGAACAGGTTGTCGTACAGTGACATGAGGCCCGACTGCCCAGCGGCAGCAGCAGCGCGCGACTTCGCCTCCGTCGTGCCGCCGCCCAGGTGCATCTCGAGCGGCGAACGGTTCATGACCTGCGTACAAAGCCATGCGCGTGCCAGCGTTTCGAGCCTGTCCGGACGGCGGGGCGGCGCGGGCAGCGGCGGAGACCAGCGGGTAGTGCACGCAGCGTCTGTCCCTCACCTGCTGGTGCCGCAGCCTCTGACGACCCACACCGACAGACCCGGACGAAACGAGGATCACCTGCGTCCACCCACATGTCCGTTCGTGCCGTCAGGAGCGTGCGCATCGACGGGGAGAACAGCGGCACAGCTCAGGCACAACGCCCGCGCTGCCCGCCGCGTGAAGTTGACTTCCGTGCATGGGATGGCCCTGGTAGGCCTCATGGATGCGAGAGCGGCAGAGAATGAGGCTGGCACGCGCGGCAAGGGGCCTGTCCGCGGGCTTGGTGTGGCTGGTGGCCGAGTCCCGCGCGCCGACGAACGGTCGCGCCGGCGGCGAAAATCTCCCGTGCGTTTGGGCAAGCTAAATCGCTAATGGCCTCTCACCTGGCGCCCCGACCGGACGAGAGCCTCGAGCTGCTCCACGAGCGCCCCAAGCCTGCCGAGTGCAAGCCGACCATCCACGGACCGAGATACCACTGACGTGCCCACTTTCACCACGATGCGGCCCGCCGACACGGCCTCGTGGCGGGACGGGTGCGGCCTGCCGTACATCGACTCGCATTGCGTCACGAATGCATTCTGCAACCGTCGCAAGGCACGGCACAGGATGAGCACCGGCGGCGCCGTCAAAGCCGAGCACATTCAGCGTCGGCGCTGCGGAATCCGCACGTTGCGCGCAAGACCGGTCCGCAGCGCGGCCCCGACCGTCGGTTCGGGGCCGTCTGCCGGGGCCGCGGCGCTGGATCTCCAGAGCAGGAGGCCAGGAGCGCACCTGCATGTGGGACAGCGACATGCTCTGGGGCAGGCCGCCCGTCTGCTGGTAGTTGTTCATGTAAGACATCGTGGCCTGCGGTGCCCTTCCCGGATCGAGACTTCCCCGATCAAGCTGTGTCTGAGCAAACTGCTGGACTGAGTTGGAAGCCTTGGAGACGGGCGTTGAAACGCAGGTGTGGCACAGATTCGACGTGACTGCACCTAGCTCTGCCGGTGGTGGCGGGGGGGGGCGCGGCCTTGGAGCCGCCCCTCGCGCGCGCGGCCGCGGCGCCGAGACGCGCTGGCACGTCAGTCCGTCGGGCCGGAGGTGTCCGGGACCGTCCCGCGGGGGGCCGCGACGGCGCCCCAACGCTGTCGGCTGCCGCGCTCGCGAGCACTGACCAGCGGGAGGGGTTTTCGAGGAGCGGCTCTACACCGGTGCGGGACACAGAGTGACCTGAGAGCGCACCAGGCCGGGCTGGTTCTGGTTCGAGCGGGGCCGGGATAGTTCGCTGGGCGGACGCTGCTGGTGTAGTCGTGGTCGTGGCGCACGGGGCGACTCCGCGCGGTGCCGTGCGTTGGTGCCCTCGGTAGGCGCGGAGGGTCGAGGGGACGGGCCGGGTCCGTGGGCCGAGCTGCCGCGCGATGGCGGACGTGGCCAACAGAGATGAGGCGGTCAAGTGTCTGAGGATCGCGAGCAGAGCGAGGGATGAAGGGAACCTGGATAAGGCTCAGAGGTTCGCCGAGAAGGCGCAAAAGCTCTTTCCGTCACAGCAAGGGGCCAGCCTGCTTCAGGAGGTGCAAAATCTTCGGAGTGGGTCGCAGTCCAACGGAGCGTCCGCGCGTCCAGCGGCCCGCCCCGGCGCAGAGGGCATGCGTCACAGGTGCGGGGGCCTCTTGCGGGCCACAGAGCACTGGGACGCAACCGAGTGCGGACGGGGCGGGGCGCCGAGCTCGCGCTGTCACGTGCACGGGGGGCTCGCCGCCCCGCAGATGATCGACCCAGTGCCTCTTGCTGCGTTGGCCGATCGCGACGCACGGCGCGCGCCTGGCCCCGGTGCTCTGAGCGTGGGCTGTGGGCGATGCCGCCGCCGCCCTCGCGTGCACCCACGAGCAAATACGTCCGGCATCTCCTCGAGTCTGGCGTTGCAGGCACCCTCAGGGGCAGGCGAAGCGCGCGTCCACCGCGCGCAAGAGCACGGAGGCACCGAAGGAGGATCCCAACGCTGGCACTCCGGAGCAGCGCGCGATGGTGCGGAAGATAAGGAGTACGAAGGACTACTACCAGATCCTCGGCGTCGATCGAAGCGCCTCCGACGACGAGATCAAGAAGGCGTACCGCAAGCTCGCGCTGAAGCTGCACCCCGACAAGAACTCCGCCGCTGGGGCCGAGGAGGCGTTCAAGGCGGTGAGCAAGGCGTTCAGCACGCTCCAGGACGCCGACAAGAGGGCCGAGTACGACAGGTGCGAGAACGTGCAGCCCACCCAGGCCTGCGCGCCTCCCCGCGTTCGCTGCGCGTGCGGGTTGACCCGCGCTCCTCCAGGCGCCCCTCGCGTCCCCCCGCGCGCCTCGGCAGTCTGCAGTCCCCGACGCTGCCCAGCCTGGACCTCCAGTTCGGTAGCACGTGGAACATCCTGCCTCTGCTCTGCTTCGACGCAGGTTCGGCCCGGACGGCCCGCCCACGATGGGGAGCATGCGCAGAGGGCCGCGTGCGGGGCCCTCGGGGTTCGGTGGCGGCGACTTCTCGGCGGACGAAGCCGAGATGATCTTCCGCATGTTCTTCGGCGGGGGCGGGCCGTTCGGGGGGGGCATGGGCGGCCCCTTCGGCGGTGCGTTCCACCAAGCGGGCCCGGGGTTCAACGCGCGGCCCGTGCACCGGCGATCCCGCCGCACGCGCGCCGGGCACGTCGTGGACTCGGACGACGACGCGGGCGGCTTCGCGTCCGCGCGCCGGCGCGGGGCGTACTCGCAAGCGCCCCAGGACCCGTTCATGGTGTTGGTGGGGCGCCTGATGGCGTTGCTGCCGCTGCTGCTCCTCGGCCTGATGATGCTCGGCGGAAGGTGCGCCGGCCCCGCCGCAGGACGCCCCGCGCGCGCGCCTCGCCGTCTTGCAGCCGCGACGGCGTGCTCAAGGGCGGTGTGTTGTGCGTCACGTCTGCAGCGGGCCGGAGTACGTGTTGGAGAAGAAGAACGACTACCGCGTGCCGATGGTCACGACGTTCAGTGGGCGCGAGGTCCCCTACTTCGTGAAGGACCGCCTGGCCTTCCGGCGCGAGTTCCCGCCGCACACGCAGAAGTTGGAGCGGCTGGAACTCAACATCGAGAAGGACTACAAGGAGAAGCTCAAGCAGGAGTGCACCAAGCAGAGACAGGTGGGTGTCGCGCGGGCGTCCAGCCCAAGGCGCTGCTGTGCAGCTCGCGCCAGTGCATGGCCCGCCTGGAACCACTCACGTGTGTCTCGCGCCCCGGCTGTCCGCAGGTGCGCGCCCTGCTGACTCGCCAGCGCCGCTACAACGACGCCGCCTCGGTGTCAATGGCGCCGTGCATGACTTACCAAGAGCTCTTCACGGGACCCCCATACCAGCAAAAGCTCAGGCAGCAGCGGGAACGTGAGCAGGAAATAGAGCTGCAGCAGGAGCGGGAGAAGCTGCGCCGCGAGCAGGAACTGCGCCAAGCGATGGAAGAGAGGATGAGAGCGAGCCAGGCAACCGCCTGATCGGCCGCCGACAGGTGCCGAACTGCCGCGCAGGAGGCCCGTCGCCTGGCGAGGGCGGGCCAGGCACGGCGCTGGAACGAGGAGCAGCCGTCGTGCGCAGAGTTCCACAGGCTGTTTCTCGAGCGCGTGAAGCAGCCGTGGGAGATCGTGGCTGAGAACCACGAGAAGGTCCGCAGGGGCGAGGACCCGCATCGACCCTCGAGGTCATCTGTGTAATGAACTTTCAGTCTGACAAATGTGTCAAAACTGGAGGTCACAATAACCAAGGAAAGGGGTGGCCGAGAGCAACGACGCGGTGGAGTACCCGCACGCAGGATGAGCAGGCGGCGGCAAATGTGATGAACTATGACATACGTGTCAGCTGAGGGTCACTGACCCTCAAAGTGGCGCATTCAATGGAAGGGCGGCCGAGAGGTTGGAGTTCAATGTGCCCAAGTTGGGCATGGAAGGGGCGACGAGAGCAACGACAGCGGTGGGGTATCTCGCCCGCCTGCGACTCGCTCACTCGACCGCGTCGATACTCAAGTCTTACATTAGTATAGGAGTCTCAGTGGTGGGAGAAGAGAGATGGTTTCCTGCTCAACTGCACAGTCATTTGAGTGGATTGCCTTCCGTGGGACCAGTGCCTGCCCACAACGCTCGCGCGTTTGTCCAGAGATGGTGCCGCCCGGAGATGACGTCAAGGTGGTGTAGAGAACCGTTTGATGTGCAACGCTGAGAGTACGTACGAAGAGTGGAGTACGCACGTCAACAGTCCTGAGTAGATGATCATGCTGAGCGCATCAGATCCAGCTCCGCCGCCCCCAGGCACGGCAGGCCCGCCGCTGACCACGCCTTCAGCGCTTCTGCGGCAACCTTGCGTGCAGCTGGGACCCCCCCGGGTGCGTCGGCGCGCTCTGCCAGCTTCCACAAGTCTGCGAGGACTCGCCGAAGGGTGTCCTCCGCCGGCTGCCCGTCCGGCGCGGTCATCACGCCATACTTCCCCGTCTCCGCCCCGAGCCGCATCGTTCCAAGGTTCGGGACGTGCGAGTCGCCCGTTGCCTGAGCGGGCCCTTGCGTGAAGGCCCAGCCCAGGGGACTCAACATGGCCTGCCCAAGAGCCCAGGTCACCCGCTGCGACACCGTCAGGCTCGCGTCCTGGGCCTGCTGGACGACCGCCGGCACAGGCTCTGGAGCGGGCTGGGCAGGCTGGGGCGGCTGAGCCGGGGGTGCCAAGGGTGTGGAGGGATTGCCGATCGGGGGCGCTGGGCCTGCTGCAACGGTGGCCTCGCGGGACGGTGCAGCCGCCTGTGGCGCGGGTGGGAGGGACGCGTGGGCCGCAGGCACTGCTGGATTCGCCAGTACGGCCTCAGCATTGAGGTTCTGCGCGTCTGGCGCTGGCGTGGCGGGAACCCCGGGTTGCGCGGTCTGAGGCGAAGGCGTGACGAGTCCAGGCAGGCCCTCGCTCGTCCAGTGTTTGTTGAAAGCCTTCTCGCAGGTCGCAGCGTCCCGACACACGTCCGAATCGGCGTCGTTGTAGGCCCTGCAGTTGCTCCAGACAAGCTCGACCAGCTCCACGACCTGTTCCGGGCTCTGGAGGCCACCTGCCTGAAGCTTGTCCCTCACCGTGCCGAGGTCCATGGGGTGCTTGACGACCTCCAAGTAGTCCGGGGCGGTGTCGAGCGGCACGGGCTCCGTGAACCACCAGGCCGCCTTCAGCTTCAGGACCTTGCCCAGCACGCTCTGAGCGCTGCGAACCCAGTCCTCGGCGTCGTCCTTGCGACCAGCGCGCGAGCCCCGCCCTCCGCCCCTCTTCACGTCTGCTACCATGGCGAGGCGTTCGTCCTGGCCCTGCGCGGCCTCTTCCGGGGGTAGGCCAGCAGTGGCCCACGCTCGTTCGAACGCCACTTGACACAGCCGTGCGTCGACGGTGCAGAAGGACGACCCCGGGTCGTTGTACAAGCGGCAGTTGGCAAACACCAGCCTCACCGCGCGCGCAACGTCCGCGGTGGCCGCGAACGCCCCGCCGACGATGTTCTTACGGATGGTTCCGAGGTCCATCGGGCACTTGACCACTCGGTGGTAGTCGGGTGCCTCGGAGCGCGACACAGGCTCCCGGAAGATCAGCGACTCCGGGCACAGCAGCAGGGCGTCCACCGCGAGCAGACACTTGCGCATTCCTGGCCCGAGCCGCGCGAGCTCGTGCGATCGCGCCGCGGAGGCGCTCTGCAGCGCCGCAATGTCCTGCCCGACGTCGATCAGGTAGCCAGTGCTGTACATCCGGTCGCCCGCGTACTTGACCTCCGCGGGGTGACTGTGCGCGTGGTTCGGGCAATAGAAGCGCGCCAGCATCGCGTCGCCGGCCGCGTACCCGAAGGCGGGGATGAGCGCCATCGGGAGACCGTGCTCGCGCGCACACGCTGGGTGGACCTGGACGGAGCAGAACTTCAGGCGCGGGCCGTCGCTGTCGACGTGGTCGCACACCGCGAGTGCCCCGCGACCCTTGTCGCCGCAGAGGCGACACTTGTACGTGAAAGCGGCCTCTTCGACAGAGTCCTGCAGGCCCGTCACCTCCCCCTGCCCGGTGAAGCTCGCCTGCATCCACGCCGCACAGAGCGTGTGACACCACACCTCGGACGGGTCGAACGCGAACGGGCTGCGGTAGCTCTCCCTGTGGTTGCGCAGCTTCTCCGCGGCCGCCTGACGCATCGCGATGACGCCCGCCGCGCAGTTGGCCTCCATGCGCTTCAGCAGGCCCCCGGACTTCTCGCAGAGCACGCAGACCAGCTGATCTGGCTCGTGGCCCGCGGCACATGCGTCGCAGAGCCACTCATTCGGGTTGGAGGGGTCGACCGAGCTGCTGTTGAACGCACAGTAGAGGTGCGCAGGCACCTTGCAGTGCCCGCACGTCCTCACCTCCCCCAGGACGTCCAGCGGGCCGGAGCCGCGCACCTGGCACACAGTGCAGGGGCGCGAATCGCAACCGTCGCGGGGTTCCTTGGGCGGCAGCCGCACGACCATGTCGGGCTTGTTGAATGCAGTCAGCTGTGTCGTGCAGCCCTGGCACACGTACTGGTCGACCAGGTGCACGTCGTCCGACAGGAGCCCCACGCAGTCCGCGTGGTACAGCTCCCCGCACACGTCGCACGTGACGGCGGCCCGGCTGCGGTCGGTCGAGCGACAGACGCAGACATCCGCTGCTCCACGCTCCCTGCGGTGGATCCCGACCTCCTCCAGGGTCGTCTGGATCGCAGCGCCCACGGAGGGCTTGTCCTTCCTGGCGCGTCGCGGCCCGACGACGACCACCGCCTCCCCCCGCCCCTGGTACTCCTGGATGATGTCGTCCACCCTCCTCCGCTCCCCCGGCGCGCCCGCCTTGTCCAGGCCGTCCTCCAGCGCGCGAGTCACGTGCCGCACGCGCGTCCTCGTGCTGCGCTCCGAGCTGCACTCGCCGCAGCACCACTCGTAGTTCGAGTCGCACCCGGGGAACCCCGCGCAGGCCGCGTGCACGGCGCGGGAGCACGAGCTGCAGCAGAGCCAGCCGCCCTCCCCGCCGTCGACGGGCTCCCCGGGGGCCTTGCCGCAGGTCAGGCACGCCTCGTAGAAGTCGAGGCCGCGCTCCGTCGCGACCGAGGCCCTGCGCCGTGCGCGCTCCTCGAACTCCCGCGTGAACCACATGGGCAGGTCGTAGCTCGGGACCCAGCGGCCCGCGTAGTCGTCCACCAGCCGCTCCACGGCGTCGGACAGCCCGCGGCCGCCACCCTCGAAGTCGACCAGGTACTCGAGCCACCCCCCGCCTTCCGCCACCCTCCTGTCGAGTATGCCCAGAAAGTGAAACACGCCCGCAGCAGAGGCCTCGGGCTTCTTCACCGGGTCCCAGTGCACCGCCATGTCGAGCTCCCGCAGCAGCAGCCCGAGCTGCGACGCGGTCTGCGCCTGGTCCACGCGCGCCAGCCACTGCAGCCGCGGGGACGACTCCAGCCCGTGCTCGGCCTTGCGGTTCTTGTACGACACCCCGGGCACCATCCGCTGCCCGCCCTGGCGCGCCGCGCGCCGCAGCACGAGGGTCGGCAGCGCGGGGCCCGCCCGCGCGCCGCTCCGACGCCGCTGCACGAACTGGAACCCACAGGTGCCCTTGGGGGGCGGGTCCAGCAGCTCGTTCCCGTCCGGACCGTTCAGCTTCCACGAGACGATCGCGTCCTTCTCGTCCATGAGCAGCGTCACCTCCGACCGGCGGTCCGGCGCGGCCGCCTGCGCGCTGGGCTCGGACCCCAGCTGCTTGCGCGGGTCGTCCGGGCGGAAAAACTCCACCGGCCTGCTCCGCCGCCCCGACCTGCGCACGTCGCCCTGGGCCTCCGCGAGCACGTCCGGCGGGATCTCACTGGCGAACTCCGCGGCGGTCTGCAGGCTCGGCCGCGGGGGCACGGCGGGCACGGGCTTGTGCTCCACCACTGTGGACGCTGCCATGTCCGCCGCCGCCATGTCCTGCCGCGCCGCGAGCCGCTTCGACCGCGGCCGGTCGCCGCCCGGCGCGGGGATCCCGAACGAGATCGCCGGCGGCGCGGGCGCCTTCCGCTTCTTGCTCCCGCCGCTCTTCTTGGGGGGGTCCTCCTCCTTCTTGACCAGGCGGTTCTTGCACGCCTGCTTCCAGTGCGGATTCAGGCAGCAGTCGCAGTACCCGCAGCGGTAGCCGTGCACCACCGTGTACCCGTCGGGGGCCTGCAGCTTGACCCGCCGCCCCGCCGCCGCGCCCATCATGCCGCCCATCTTGTGGAAGAGGATCGCGCGCGGCGTCCCGGACGGCATCTCGCTCAGCATCTGCGGGTCCGCCTGGTCGATGTTGCACGCGCTGATGGTCGCGTCCGGCAGCTCGAGGCCCACGATGTCCCACGCGGGGGGCAGCAGCTCGCGCGGCACGGCGGCCTCCAGCTGCGCACAGGCGGCGGCCAGGTGCGACACAGTTGTCGCGCCCCGGACGCTCCGCACCCACTCGCGGCGCCACTCGCCGCCCCTGGCAAGCGCCTCGCGGCCCGCGCCGGGCTCTTGACGGAACTGCCGCAGGGGGTTGTTCTCAGAGAAGCCCCCCCAGCAGCCGCCCAGCACCCCCCACAGCTCGCGCTCCATGCGCATGACCAGCGCGATGAGCGTCGACAGCCGCGGCGACCCGTTGATGCCCCGGCCGTCGTCCTCGGGCGGCGCGAGGGAGTCGTCCGGTACGTCCATCAGGTTGTCGCGCTCCAGGCAAGGCTTCTTGTGCTGCGGGTTGAGGCAGTGCACGCACAGCCCGCACTTGATCGCCGGCTGCCGCACGGGCTGTGCGGGCGCCCTGCCGGGCGGGGCCGGGTACTGGAAGCGGTGGATGGGCAGGGACGCCGGACGCAGGGGTGGCGGGATGTAGGGCGCGTTGCCACGCCCGCGCGACCCCCGGCGAAACTCCTTCTCCAGCTGGTCCACGTGGTCCTGCAGGTGGATGGCGAACGTCACCCAGCTGTTCCTGTAGCGGTTGGCGTACGCCGACGCGCCCACGATCCTCTTGCCCTGCTGCGGGTCCACCATGGCGACCGTCTGCAAGTGGCGCCCGCCGGCGCGGCCGGCACGTACGCGGCGCGCGTCGGACTTGGCCAGCGCGGACAGGGCCGCGCTGCCCTGCAGGAACGCGAATCCCCGGAAGTCGCGGTCAAGCAGCCCCACGCGGTACCCGCGCGCCTCCCATGGCCGCTGAGGGCGATGCATGACGTCTCCGTCGCCCGCGTCGCTGTCGCTGTCAGCGTCGTCGACGACCTGCTCGGTCGCCAGCACGCCCCCGTGGTAGATGATGAAGGAGCGCTGGTCGCCGTCAATGGCGGTGCGGGGCGCGCGCAGGCCCGCCGACTGGTCGCGGCCGCCGAACTCGCACTCCGGGCACTTCCAGTCCCGCTCGTCCGACAGAGCGCGGGGCGTCTCGCCGATGCACCGCATGTGGTACGTGCCCGGACAGAAGTCGCAGCACACCAGGTTGCCCCCCTGCTTGCACAGCACGCACGTCTCGAGGTTCCCGTCCGCCTCGCCAGCAGCGATGCGCGCGCGCCGCTCCCTCCGCTCGTCCTCACTCCACATCCCGTACATGCCGCCCCGCCCGCCCGGCCCACCGAAGAACTTGTGCCCCTTCTCACGCTTCTCCAGCTCCTCGCGCACCGCCCCCATCTCCAACAGGTCGTCCACCACGCCTGCCAGCACCGCCGCCTTCACCCGCGGCGGCAGGCTGTAGTACTCCGCGCGTGCCCGCGCCGTGAGCCCAGACAGCCGCGACTGCCGCAGCCCCGGCAGGTGTGCCTCCAAGGTCGCGGGCGGGTCCTCCTCGGCCTCCGCGGGGTCCGGCAGCCGCGGAACCCCCTCCATGCCGCGCGGGCCCATGTGCCCGCTCGCGAGCAGGGACGGGACCCAGCCGCCCAGGCGGCGCGCGCGGTCGGGCTTCGTCTCCATGCTCCGCACGTTCGGGTCATTCATGATCCGCAGCCAGTCCCACAGGAACTCGGGCCACGTGACCGGGTCCAGCAGGCCCACGTCGATCTTGCGGGCCTTGCGCATCTGGTTGGTGTCGTTGGCAGCAAAGGTGCGCAGCACGCACACGTGGACCTCGTCGACCAGCGTGGACGCCCCCGGGAAGACGACGGCGTCGTACAGGTCCTGGAACGAGAACGGAGAGAGCTTGAGCACCCACGACAGCGCGCGGAGCAGGCCGTAGGCTTGCGCGAGGTCCGCGGTGATCTCTGGGTCCCACTCTGTCCGGTAAGCCGGGAGGCCCTCGGACGCGCGCGCCTTCTCGAACTCGCGCGCAGCCTTCAGGCGCTCCTGGAGGCCCTCGAGCAGCCCCCGGTTCTCATCGTCGCTGCGCGGCAGCCGCGGGCGAACAAGCACGTGGATCAACCGCTCAGTCGAGTGCGGGCGGGGGGTGCGTGTCCTGCGACGGCCCCGCGGACCGTCGACGGGCGGGCGTCGCACCTGTTGTAGTCGTCGTCGCCCCCATCGTCATCGTCAGCGTCGCCGGGCGCGGGAGTTTCACCGCCCCCCGCACTGGCCTCGCCGCGACCCCGCCCGCCCCTCCCGCGCCCGGCGCCTCTGCCACGCCCGCGTCCTCCACGACCGCGACCTGCGTTCTCCGTCGCGGTGGCGAGCCGGTTCGATGGCAGCATCAGGGGCGCAGGAGGCGCCGGCAGGAGTTGTTGACCTTGCGATGCGGGCCGAGCCGACAGCGCACCTCTCCCGCGTCCGCGACCGACTGCCTGCGACGCTGTCTGATCAGGGCTGTCGTCCCCGGTTTCCTCGCGTCCGAAGGAGACGTCCGACTCTTCCGCTAGGCTCAGTGGCTTGGCCTTGCGCTTGGCAGGGGTCACGCCCGAGGACAGCCGCGGACCAGACGGATCGTCGACTGCCAGCGCGCCCTCGGAGCTCTGCATCTATCAAGTATGCACGGGGCGGCGGGAGCAATCGTGAGTGCGCGGGTGCAAGGCGCAGAGCGGCCGCTAAGCCTTGATGAGCAATCCAGCGGCGGCGATCCCGCTGCGCCCCTGGACGGGACCGCAGTGGTGCCGTTCAGACGAGTACGATGCCCGAACACGCTCGCGGCACGGGAACCGCTCTGAAGCGCTGTCATCCAGGGGAAGCGGCGAGGAGTGCAACAACCAAGGTGCTTTGTCGGCTGACCTGACCACCGACCGAAGGCGCCGCCATTGTCAGCGGCTGGCCGTGAGCTCGCGCAAGCACGGCTTGCCGACAGCCTTGCGCTCCTCTGGCGGGCTTGTTCAGCCTCGTGCACCTCGGGCGCTAAAACTGCAGCGGTGAGAATGAACCAGCTTTGACGGGTCTGCCATGCAGCGAGTGCACCGCATTTCGGCAGCGGTGCACTCTCATACGCAGTGCGGACGAGCCAGCAGTCTATTGAGGACTGCTGTGCGGCGTCGAGGGTCTCTCGACTTCTCAACTAAAAGGAGAGACAAGGCGCGGCGCCTCGCGCAGGCGGCCCGTCTCGAGCCCGAAGCGACCTGTGAGACGGTCCACACGCATTCACGCGGGCGCCAAGCGTCAGCACACCCGCACAGCAGCATGGTCCCCGTCTCACCTCGCCTCGCCTGATGGACTGCTGACTAAAGCAGGCTTCTGAGGCCTTTGACGAGACGTTCGAGACCAGAGGATGCAAGGACTATGGGTAAGGTGAGCGGTTGGGCTGCTTCGAAAGTGCCTGCCCGGCATGCGCCGCCATATCGCGATGAACCGCTTCGCCACAGCAAGCGCGCCGCTTTGACGCGATCGCAAACTCCTGTTGGGCACAACACGGCGGCTTGCATCAAATGATGCGAGCCGATTGAGCGCGCGAGCCGGCGGAGCGCTCCGCTTTGTAGGCGGGTCTTCCCAAGGGGGTTACTGAGTGAGGCAGAGGCCGGTCCGACCCGACATGCCCCGGCACGCGCGGAGTGTAGTAACACGCGGCTACATGCAACAGCTACTGTGGCAGGCATCGCCCCCGCCCCCGATCGTACGGACTCTTACTTTGCTGACCTTAGGTAGACTACAAGCACCTTCACCGCGAGGATGCCTGAGCGACCGAAATGGTACGGCAGGCGAGACTCACAAAGTAGTAATTGACCACCCGCGCACGAAACGAAATGCGGGTGTGCTATCGTCCTGATCGGGGCGGCAGACTGACACAGCAGACAAGGCAGACAATGTGAGCAAGATCCTGGCAGCCGACTGCGTGACGTATTTACAACGTGTGTCACCATCGGTGTGTGCCGCTGGAAAAGTCTCTTCGAGGGCGAGAATCCGTTCGCGAAAAAAATGCCTGTACTGTCACTGCGCGCGGCTGCGGGTCTCCGCCTGTGCTCGCCGTGAGGCCGTTGGCGCGGGCATGTCCCCCTCAACGTGTGTGCAGCCCGCCATGCTGCCCTTCCGCATGTAGTACGCGCACCGCAGCGCCCGCGTGTAGCTGTCCGGGTTGTGGTAGCGGCTGATCGACCCGTTGTCCCCGTACGCGCGGCTGCTGGCCAGGATGTCGATCAGAGGGTGGGGACTGTCCATGGCCGCAAGCGCCGCCTCCCACGCGCTCCCGGGGTCGTACTCCTCGACCTCCTCGTCGTCGAGGTCCACAGTCACCTCCGCTACCTCCGGCGGAACGTTCGTGGCCAGCGCACCCCGCACGGGAATCAGGTCCATCATCGACGCCCCATCGCCGCCGACCGCCGTCGCGTACTCGCTCAGGGGGAGGTCGCCGTTCCGCGGGTGCGGCCTGCTCTTCGCGTGCTTGGCCGAAGGGCCCGCCATGGCGCGGTCGATGAGCCCCATCGCCCGCTGCCGCGCCGCGCGCTTGCCGGCGGCGGAGTCGGGCTCGACGATCGTCCAGAGCCCGCCGCCGCGCGGCAGCAGCTCGTGCTCGCCCTCCTCTTCGGCGACGAAGTGCAGGTGCGCTGCGGGCTGCAGGATCATGATCTGCCCGGGGAACGTGAACATAACCGGCTTGCCTGACCGCCGACTGGGCTTCGCGAGCAGCGGGTGCTTCGCGTACGGCCCGCCCCAGCTGAGCATGATGTCGCGCACTGGCGAGTAGTCGCAGAAGAAGGCGCGCGGGACGGCGTCGCGGTGCATCACCACGTTCTTGACCATCGACGGCGGGAGGCCGAACCGCGCGAGGAACGGGCAGTTGTGGCCGCGCGCCGCGTCCTCGGGCGCCACGGGTCCGGGCGCGTCGCCGCCGCGGTCGAGGCGCGTGTCGCAAAACGCCGCAGCGCCGCCGAACGTGTAGACGGGCTCGAGCTGCTCGGGCTTGGCCACGCCGCGGTGGATGGCCATCATCATGAGCGCGGACGACAGCGCGCCGCCGAGCGAGTGTCCGACGAAGCACACGCGCGCGTAGGGCGACGACGACAGGTGGTCGTGCACCAGCGGCACGATGCGCTCATACAGCGACTGCGCGACCTGGTACACGCCCTTGTGGATGGTCACCTCGAGCTTCGGGTCCTCGAAGGGCACCGGCTCGAACGTGAGGTTGGTGATCCACGAGTCCACGTTGTCGCTGCCCTGGATCACCACGTAGCGCGTGCGCGACACGTCGTCGTCGCACACGAACCACTCCGTCGGGATGGGCTCCAGCGCGCGCGCGGACGGGCCCATCACGATCGCCGCCGGGCCGCAGTCCTGCCGCTGCTGCCGCTGCTGCCGCCCGTGGCCCAGCCCCGGCAGCGAGGTCATGACTGCGTCCAGCACGCTCCCGAGGGTGCTCGCGATGGCCCAGTTGCCCGCCGCGCGCGTGAGGAAGTTCTCCTCGCCGCGGTCGGACGCCGCCGCCGCCGCGTCGCCCAGCCGCCGCGCGAGGGTCTCCTCCACCGTCAGGTCCTGCTGCTCATCGGTGCCCAGCCGAAGCATCGCGCGCCGGACGCGCTCCCGTGCCTCCTCCTCCTCGCGCTCCGCGGCGCCGCGCGCGACCGCGCGCTCCTCGCCCCCGGGGGGCAGCTCGTTGTCGGCGCCGAACCCCTCGGCGGACAGCGGGGGCGGCAGGCTGCTGGCCACGTCGACCAGCCCGCCGTCCACGGAGGCGAACGTCGCCATCGCGTCGCCGTACGCGAACACCTCGCCGGGGGGCTCGAAGGGTGCGGCCACCGGGAGGGAGCAGGCGCGCGAGGTGGTGACCAGCTTGAGGTTGTGCACCTGGTCCAGGAACGCGGGCGTGAGGCGCTCCATGCGGTACGTCAGCGACGACAGCGACGACAGGAAGCGGAGGTGCCGCAGCTCGCCTCGCGCCACGGGCGCCAGGTACGGAATGAGGTTCGGCACCCGCCGCGCTGCCTTCTTCTTCGGGGGCTGCGGGGAGCGTCGGCGGGGGGCGGGGCGGGGCGCGGTGAGGGAGGAGGGGCGCGGCGTGTCGCGCGGGCACGAGCAGTGCGCGGCGCGGCGGCGGCGCAGAGCGCGCGCTCCGGGCGCGCGGGCGGCCCGTGGGCCGTGTTGCTGGGGTCGCGAGTTCCGAGGCAGCGCGGCAGGGGCTCCCGCGCGGCCCTCCACGGACCTGTGCCTTCGCCTTGCGCGGGTGCTGCACTTGATCGAGCTCGCCGAGGGTGTGTGCAACGGCCGGCAGGGCCTGCTGGCGGCCTCCCGCGCCGTCGTTCTGTTGCGGTGCCGACCTCTCCGGTGACGATGACCGGGCCCGCCCGCCATTGAAGACCCTGAACACATCAGCTCCCCCGAGCCACGAACCCACCTGCAATCGCGGGATCGATCTCTGGGGCCCGTGGGTGCGGGGCGAAGGGCACCGTGGGACTCGTGCGGCAGGGCCTGCTAGGCTTGCGCGGGGCGCGGGCTCGTGCGCGAACGAGGTGCATCCGTCTTGGGCACACGTCGGTGTCAGTCGCGGTGGGACGAAGCGCCGCGATCGATCGCAGCGGCCCATCCGCGAAACGGCGCGCGCGCGGCGCGTCGTGTCAGCGCCAAGGAGGCAGGGCGCGAGAGGGAGGGGACCAAGTGGCCCGGGCAGCTTGCCGGGCAATCAGTCGCGCGGCAGTCGTTTCGTCGGCGCGGGCGCACGGCTCACCCTTGCACCTCCGCGGCCGGAGCGCTCTCGTCGCCAGCCGAGCCTCTGGTGGCGCGCCACTCTCACCGCGCGCCACCCCTGCAGCGGAGCCCCCCGCTCGAAATGCCCACCCTGCCTTCCATCGCCTCTCAACCCGTGGAGCCCGCACGCGGCAGGACACCTGCACGTCGTCGTCAACAGCGCGGCAGGGCAACGCTTTAGTCCCAGCATGAACTGAACGAGCACGCCGGCGGCAGGACGGGGTATATCGCGCCGTCCCGCTCGAAGCGCCGACCACAGACAGCCTGGAAGGCACGCGGCGCATCCTCGGCACCTACGGGCCGCTGGACGGCGCTCAGCGGGATGCAGCCAACGTGTGCCTTCTGTTCCCTGGTGCTGAGCGCGGGCTGCGAGTACCGTACGTTCCGCGCCGAGTCGCAAGCGGGCGCCGCACAGCGAATTCATGAAATCAGACCACCACAGGGGCGGGCGAAGTGCGTCGACGTGCCTGGGCTGGGCCGCGCCAACCGCGCTGCGCATTTCCTGCAGCTCGAGCAGCTGCTCGCTTCCGAAACTTCGCGCCTGGTTGTCGCTTTCGGTCTTCTCGTGCGTGTACTTTCAAGTACTCGAACGCGCGGCGGCGCCACAGCCTTGCCTCGCGCGTACGCGGCGGGGGTCTCAGCCCGTCTGTTGGAGGCTGACTCGGCACCTCGCCCACAGGTCGACTTGGCCGCGAGCGCCGCGGGACTCGCGCCCCGTCTGCATGCCGGCACCTTGCTCCTCGCGTCAGGCGACGTCGACGCCTTTTGCCGCGTTGAGCGAGCAGACCGTTGGCTGCAATGGCGAGAGACACATGGGCACGCACGGCCGGAATCCCAATGTGCCGTCGGGCAGCACGTCGATCACACGGTGGCACGCACGATGCAGGCGCGCGTCAATGATTCTGGTTGGCGCAGCTGCAGGCCCTCTCTCGCTGGATGTCACTGCCACCAGTAGCGCGCAGCAGCCGTCCTCGCCTACTGCCACTGCGGTGCCCACTGCTGCCCCGCAGCTGGCCGCGCCTGCGGTTGCTGCCAGCCGACTTGCGCAGCGCTCCCCCCGAACCCGGGCTGTTGCCACGCACCTGCGGCAGCAGCCCCCACCATCGGGCCGCCGGTTCCTGCCACGGACCCGCCCTGCTGCCACGGCACGCCATACGGCGGCGTGGCGGGCGGCGCAGCTGGCGCGAGAGCACCGGCGGCGGGTGGGCCGAAGAGAGCCATGATGTCGTCGTTGGTGGGCTTCGATCTCGCCGGCTTCGATCTCGCCGGCTCCGCGCCCAGCTGTTGTGCGCTCGCCGATGGATGGAGCCCGTCGCCGACCTGCGCCGGGGCGGCGTGGTGCGCCTCGCCATTCCACGAGTGGTGTGCCGTATGGTGGGGCACTGCCTGAGGCGCCGCGGGGCTCGCGAACGCTCCGGCAGCCGGGTTTGCGCCTGCTGCTGTACCGAGCCCGCCGAGGGCCCCGCCGGGAGGACCGGTGGCCGCAGAGGGCGCTGGTGTTGGCGGGGTGAAGTTCAAGTCGCCGAACGGGTCTCCAGCCGTCGGACGTTGCGCTGGCTGCGCGCCGGGAGCAAACGTGCCGATGCTGTCCAGGCCGCCGTCTCTTGGCGCGGCCGATGGCGGCTGCTGCTGCACGGGCCCTGCAGTGCAACAGTGACATGCCAACGTGTCGGACGACTGTGCGCGGAGGCAGCCAAAGCCCCGGACGGCACGGCGTGTCGTGTGCCACCCGTCCGCGTCGCGCCCCGCGAACTGAACCAGCGAACAGCGGCGAGTCCCTGCCGCGCTACCAGTAGGGGGGGAGGGTGTACCTGCGAAGGCATCCCAGCCCGCGTCGAAGCTCACGGGAGCCTGTGGGGCCTGGGCGGGCGGCTGCGGTGCTGCTGCTGGCGCGGGGACCGGGTCGTCCAGCCCGAGGAGGTCCACCGGAACAGGCGCAGTTGGCACCGGCGCTGGGGCCGCGGATGGCGGCGCGCGGGGAGCGGCTGGCCGCCCGCCCGGTGCCGCGAGCATGGGGGCGACGGTCCCGCTCGGCGCCGGCGGTGCGTGCGCGGCGGCCGGGGCGGGTTTCTGCTGAGAGGCAGGGGGCGGGTCCATCTCCCCGCGCATGAACCTCTCGATGGTCGGAGGCTTCTCGCTGCTGCGGTACCTTCCCCTGATGTACTTCTGCTCGATGAACGACCGGTCGCAGCTGTCTGGCTTCCGGAAGTTCGCGGGCAAGTTGGCCTCCCAGTACGCATTGGCTTTCGCGTTCCCCATCACCTGCACGGGACCGCGGCGTGGTCGGAGGTGCTCGCGTGACGACGATCTATGGACGCGTCCCGCGCGGTGGTCGCGCACGGACGCGGGGGTCGCGGCGCGCCGGCCCAGCCCCGCAGAGGGGCGCCAAGGGTGACCGTGGCCCGTGATGGCCGGCCGGCCCGGTCGCCGGCCACAAACGATGGAAGTCGGCGACTATGATCTTTCGAGTGCTCTGCACTGCGCGTCGATGCACGGGTGGCACGTGGCAGGGTGCCGAAGGACGCGGGCCCAGGGTAGGGGGAAGGTCGCAGGCTTGCTGTCGTTCGCGGCGGGACCTGACGTTCCCAAAGCCACGTGGTCCGGCAGTGCGTTCGTTCTCGGACATCGGTCCGCCTCGTGTGCCCCCCGGGACGTCCCTGGCGTGGCGTGAGGGCGACCTGAAGAGCCAGGCAGCGAGCCTCACCTGGATGAACTGGACCTGCTCCGGCAACCATGTGTCCATGTCCGTCGACCTCACTTTCGACACGTGTACGCCCATGGATCGGTGCACCCCGGCGCATTCCAGGCACATGAAAACCCCCAAGTTGACGCTGGCCCAGCGCGGACCTCGCGACTTGCAGTCCGCGCACACCTTGTTGTGCTCTTGCTTCAGCAGCGCCGCGAGGATCCTCTTGTGCTCCGCATGCTGCGCAGGCGTGACGCGATTCTTCTCGTTCGCCACCATGGTGCCCGTGCCTGAGGTTGCAAGTGCAGCTCAGCACCACTCTCACGCCTCCATCGGCGCCGGGCGAAGCCAGCGGCGAGCGGCTGGTCGGCTGCAACTGGCTGCGATCTCCCCGAACTCCCGGCCTCGTGGCGCCCCACCAGGTGCGTGTCGTTGCAGTGCGTCAGGGCTTGTTGTACCTCACGTCAGCTGGCGCGATTCGCGCCCAAATCGCCGCGGCAGCGCACGCCCCTCGCGCCAACCCTGCAGCGACCGGCCGCAGCCACGTTCGCAGTTCTCGCGTGTCACCAGAGTGGCACACACCCTCACATGGGGGGGCCGCCTACGCCGCCCGCGTCCCCTCAGCCCCCCGGCGCGGGCAGCTGCGCCGCATGTTCCGCGGCGATCTCCTCCCGCTGCTCCGCCCGCGCCATCCGCTCCAGCTCGCGGTGGTACCCGCCGCGCAGCTCGTCCAGGCAGTCGTCGTACGCTGCCTCCAGTTCCGCCTGCCGCGCGTCCAGCAGCCGCACCACGCCCTGCAGCGCGTCCAGCTCCCGCGCCAGCTCCCGCCGCAGCCCCTCGCACCGTCCCAGCTCCGCCGCCCGCTCCGCGAGCAGCCCGCGCACCCGCCCCTCCAGGTCCCCACGCAGCTCCGCCTCCCGCTTCGCCAGCCGCACCCGCCGCGCCTCCCGCAGGTCCTGCAGTCCGCGCGCCCGCTGCACCGCGCGCCACGCCGCCTCGAACCGCGCCATCTCCCCCGCCAGGCGCTGCTCTGCCAAATCCAGCGCACCCGCCTCGGGCGGCCTGCGAGGCGACGCCGGCGCGTTGCAACCGGCCGCGCCGCCCGTGGAGACACCGGCGAGGATCCGGCGAAGCACGTCCGCCGACTCCGCCTCAGCGCTGCGGGGCGGGCTGGCAGCGAGGGGTGGTGGGTGCGTGACGGTGGTGGCCAGCGCCGGGACGTCCAGGCGCGGTGCGCGTGCCGGTCGGGGCGACCGCGGGGGCGCGACGAGTCGCGGGGGCGACGCGGCGCCGGGGCGGTGTCCCGCGGGCGAGCGCGAGCCCGCCCGCGCCCCGCCCTCGCGCAAACCGTGCTGCCAGTCCTGCGCGCACTGCGCGAGCGGGCGGTGACGGTCCTGCGTCGCTGCAGCCTCCCACCGAGTCGCCGCCTGCGCGTGCACGGGGGAAGCCGGGGCGCGCGAGCGTCACTCGAGGGCGCAAGTCGTGCGCTTGAGTCGAGCTGCACTCACGACCACGCCGGAACGTGACGCACCGTCGCGGCCACCTCGGCAGCCTCTCCCACCCGCCGCGCCGACAGCGCTCGTGCCGCGCGCGGCGAGCGGCGCCCCTCCGCCTGCCCGCGCAGGTCCACGTACTCGACCGTGGCGAGGCCTCCCGCCGTTGGGGCTGCTTGCCGACTCGGCGACGCACCTGCAGCCGCACCGGTGCACTCGCCGACGGTCAGCAGCGCGCCTCCCAGGGCGGCGCAACCTGCGGCGCGGCCGACCCGCTGCCTCCGCACGCACACACACACGCCTCCAGGGCGCACCTGGCGTCCTTGTCCGCGTGGGCGAAGTGTAGGGCATCTTCGCGGTGCCCCGCACGGGGATGGGCGAAGGATGCCGCCAGACTGCGCGCCCAGGCGACCGCGAGGGCGTCCGCTGACGCACGCCGCTCCGCGCTGCCTTGTCCCGCTCCAGCCCCGCCATGGTGGCTGTGATGGCCTTCTGGCTCGCCCTCATCCGCATATTCGCGTCTCTGATCTTCGCCGCTCGCGCCTTCCATGCCTGCGGGGAACGGGACCTCAGGTCGAGCGTCGCCGCGGGCTCCTTCGCAGGCCAGGTGCGTGTGCGTCCTTTGGCCAGGCGAGCGGGCTCCACGCGCGTTGCTGGCATCGACAATCGCGAGGCTTGCCCCGCTGCGAAGACGTCGGTACCTCTATCCGCTTCGCGCTGTCCTCAGCGCGCTCTTTGATCGCCTCCCCGGCGAGCACGAGCGCCCCGCCCGTCTGCTGGTGGGTCGCATCCCACGGGTTGGCGCCGTCGTGGCTCGTCCGGGGCACGCGCGTCGCCCTCCGGGTCGGCGGCGATCGCGAACTGCTTCGAAGCGTTCTGCGCGCGGGTCGCACGACGTCGAGCGGCAGCCCCAGCAAGTCTTCGGAGGCCGTCCCACCTCCCTCGCCGTGCCCGGCGGAAGGAGGCCGCGAATGTATCAGGACGTATGACGGGCCCTTTCGTCGCCCAGGCTGGTCGCCCACCACTGCCATGGCCCTGCAAGCGCGCACGGGTGGTGGCAGGGCCCTCCCGCGGCAATCGCCGTTTGTAAAGCTCCGCAGCTGTTGTCCGCACCGCCACGGCCCGCCGGCCGCGTTCCTGGTCAGGAGTACCGTGTCTGGCGACGTGACGGGTTTGGACGACGGCGCAGGGCATTGTCGGCGCGCCCGCGGGGCGTGAGTGTCACGCAGTGAGGTGTCGGGCAGTGCCAGCCTGAGGCTTGCAACGCCCCGGCGGCCCCAGACTGGCCGCAGCCCGACTCGAGTAGGGGCACCTCGCAGCGCTATCATGACTCGCTCTCTGGATCAACAGCCCGGAGATATCCGCGTGCACTCCAGCTGACGCCGTGCCTGGCGTTCTGGACGGATGCTAGTCGCAGACCTACTCCGCGCCGCGGACAGCGCCGACGCTCAGGCGTCGAGCTCCCTTGTGTCGGAGTCAAGACGCGTCCGCCAGTGGTGCAAGGCGCTGGAGCTGAGTGGCGACGGACGGCTGTGGATCCCCGTTGCCCTGGTGCTCGCACTGGCCGTTCCGAAGGGCGCAGCAGCCTTGAGACAGCTTGCTTACGACCTCATCTTCGCGCTGGTGCTGGACCTGATCTTCGTTGGGACTCTCAAGGCGGCCGTGCGCCGGGGCAGGCCGCCGGGAGGCTTGAAGGACTTCCATGTGGCCGTCGCAGTTGATCGGTTCTCGTTCCCGAGCGGACACGCGTCGCGCTCGTGGCTGATAGCCACTTTCGTCGTCGTCGTCATGCGCGCGGGGGCCTGGTGGTCCGCGGCGGCTGTGGCGTGGGCCTCTATGACGAGCATGTCTCGAGTCGTCCTGGCGCGCCATCACATCAGCGATGTCGCCGTCGGGTCTGCGCTCGGCGTCGCGACCACGCTGCTGGCCACCAGCCCGACTGTCGCAGCTGTGCTGCCCTGGGTTGACGGGGCGCGCCGCGACGTTGGGCGCCCGCAGCTGGACGCGCTGTGGCATGCGGCGCGGGGGCGAGGTGGGTGAGCGCGAGGGGCTGGGTGCAGGGCGGCGCGTCGGCTCGTCGGTCGTCACACGGGCCGGTCGTCAGACGCGGCCGCCCACGACCACGTTGGCCACCATGTAGGTCCGGATGGCCAGGGACCGCGCTCGGCTCATGAGCTGGTCGAAGGGGCTCGAGTGCTGCGGGCCCATGACGACGGTGCCGTTGGCGGAGTCGATCTTGGCGTTCAGGCGGGCGCTGGAGACGAGGTTGACGATCCACTTCTCGGCGTCGTCTTCGTTCATGTTGAGGCGCTCCGAGAGCATCTTGATGTCGATGCACGAGTGCAGGCGGCAGTACGTCTCGAAGATGTACTGGCGCGCGCACTCGAGGAACGCGTCCTTGCAGGCGACGAGGAAGTAGTCCTCCGACATGACCTGCTCGCACTCGCGCAGCATCTCCTGCGCCTTGTCGAAGTCGTGCTCCACGAACAGGCACAGGACGAACTCCGTGATCGCGTCGCGGTACTCGTACTGCTCCTGCTTCAGGACCGTCACCAGCTCGCGCATCGCCGACCGCCGCGCGGACTTGTTGGTCACGATGGCCACGGCCAGGTACCGCAGGAGGTGTGGCGCCAGCGTCTGGATGGCGTTCATGTACTGCTCCTGGAGGAACAGGTCGACGAGCGCGCTGCGGCCGCCGGACACGTTCAGGAGCACGAAGAGCGACCAGTGCATGAGCCACACGCGCTGGGTGACCAGGTTGAGGGCCATCGAGTTGGGCGTCTTGTTGTCGATCGCCTCCTTCAGCCGCCCGAGGTCCTCCTGCGCGGCCTCCCACGACCCCGTGAGCCCCGCCTGCATGATCGACGCCGCCAGCTTCCCCCACAGCGAGCTGAACAGCCTTTCCGTCGACGTGCACAGGGTGATGTACCGGTCCAGAAGCTCGGCCGCCTGCGAGGGGGGCGCGCGGGCGCGGGGGCGCTCGCGACGACGCGCCGCGTGCACGGCGGCGGCGCGCGCGGGCGGCGGCGGGGGACGCGCTGCGGCCGGCTGCTCAGCTCATGTAACGTGAGAAATGGCTGTGATGAATTCATTGCCGTAGCTCGTAGTGAGCTGGGTGAAGCCAATCGTCACTGCAGGGCCCGCAGGCGCTGTCCGAGGCGCGCGACCTCGCGGCGGGGGGGGCGCCCGGCGGCGAGGCGCACCTGCTGGTAGTTGCCGCACTCGTACTGGAACTTGGCGAATTGGTACAGGGCGTCGATCTGCTCCGGGCCGATGGAGAACTCCTCGTGCAGGAACTGCAGGTTGAACGTCTTGTCCTTGCGGAGGCGGCTGACAAGCTCCGCGTTGGACAGGAACTGAATCATCGGCCGCGCCTTCTCCTCCAGCCGCCGCAAGTTTGCGATGACCTCCGGCCTGCTTGCGCACGCAGAACACTCGTGGAACAATGAGTGTTTTGGCAGCATATCTCAGAGGGCGAGGGGCCACACTATTGCTGAGCAAACAGGAGTGCAGACGAGGTGCAAGCGGCACGGAGGCGCGGTCGCCGCGGAACCGTGAGACGCAGAGACAAGCGCGCTACGCGCAGCTGCCGGACACCCTTGCGACGGAAGGAGGTCGTGCGGGCGGTCGCGGCTTGGTGTGCTGAAGCAGGCTTTTGCTGCCCCGCCACTTGCGAAGAGGAAGTGTACATGGCACGCGACGGCCGCGCTGTGCCTGCCGCGCGATGCCCTTGAGGCGCAGCAGCTAACAAAGGGGAAAAACGCCGTGTGGGCCTCGTTGCAGGGAGGAAAAATGCCTTGCAACAGGTCTGTCCCCCTAAACGCCGCAGCGCCTCGCATGCGGATCGCAGCGCAACGCCACGGCCGCCGAAAATGGCGACGAGGAAAAGCAGGTGCCCAGGCGATCCTGCCTTGCGCCCTCCGAGCGGCCACGGGGGACGGCGCGCAACGGCGGCCACTGCGCACGGGCGCTCTCGCCCGCACCTTCGCTTGGTGAGCTCCTGTGGCACCTCATCAGTGTGGTGAAGTTGCTTGTAGAGATCAGCCGCGAAGTCGATCAGGTTGGTTTTCTGCAGCAGCTCTATCTTGCCCTTGGCAACCTCCTCCGCTGCATACGTCCCCTTCAGCTCATGGAACTCCAGGATTGGAAAAATGAGATGCCTGTCTAGGTACTTGGCTAATGTCGGGAACAGGTTGCGGGGCTTCTCATCGCCCGGGGCCATGGTGGCCGAGAGAGCTACACTGGATTGTTCGCTGCCGTGTCCCAGGAACCGTCGCAACCCGCGTAGAGAAACGAATAGTCCACGCGGAACCTCCGCCGACCCATACGCCAACTGCCGATTGCCGCCAGCCGCGCCCCCCAACAGCTGCCCCGGGGCAGCGGGCCTGAAACCTGAGTCAATGCAACAGTGGCTCGGCACGTCACTCCACCCCTGTGCTCGCCCGGCGTCGAGGCGAGGAGGAGGACGTGCGGCCGGTGGCCCATGTGGCCACCTGGCGGCAGTGTTCCCCGTGCGCCTGCTCCCCACCGACCCTCCTGCTGTTTGCCCGCCGCAACGGTTTGCCAGGACGCGTCCCCAAAAGCTGCAGCTCCCAAAGCTATAGACAAACACAAACGCCCGCGCCGGTGGACTGGCTGTCGCATGACCGCAGGAGCGTGGCCTGTCACGTCCCGAGCATGATGCGATCTCAGCGTTGTTGGGCTCCTGACGTTGTGCGCCAGGTGGCCTCCCTGACGCAAACATGCAACTGCGCCGGCGCGAAGCGAGCGCGTGGACTGGCGTGCATGCCACGCTTTGTCTGGCGCCACGCGAGTCAGTGCGTGCGTCACACCGGTTCCCGCCCAGGCCTGTGGTGTCTCGCGACATGAGTCTTGCGCTGCAAGTGCTCGCCCGCCCGCCCACCACCGTGCCTGGAGGAGCACGCGGCCACTTGGGGTCCCCGCTTGCGCCTCGCGGGCGCTGTATCAGGAGGGGCGCAGTGCCCACTCTCACTCGTCCTCGGCCTCCGCAGCGGCCTTGGCCTCCATGATTTCTCTCCGGCGGCGCGCGAACGGGAACTGGTGGTACATGCCCGTGTCCTCGGGCGTGAGACCCTGCGAACGCGGGAAGGTGCTTGCGAGTTGCCATCAATGTGTTGTGTTGCACATCGGATGCGGGGGAGCGCGCCGTGGCCGGCAGCAGGGCGACGACAGGACGCGGCCGGCAAGGGTGCTCGCGTGGACGCACACCAAGGCACTGAGGAGCGCAGGGAGGGCGGCTATGTGTGCCAGCAGGAGACGAGCCGAGGCACACACACCTGCTCACGCAGCTCCGTGATGCGCCTGTTTGCCTCCTTCGCCGCGTACTTAGACATCGTCGTGTGGTTCGGGTTGTTTTCCGGGTCGTACTCGACGAAGTGCACCCAGGCAACGGCGAAGAGGCTGCCAAAGACAGCAAAGTAGTACGGGGCCTCCCAAGTCTCCCACTTCCGCGGGATTCCCGGCGCGGGCGGCGTCTCTCCGTACTTGAACCCTCCTGCTCCTCGAGATTGCGTTCCCTCCGCGAAGAAACCCTCTGCGGCCGGAGTTGAAGGCAGCTTGGTTGCAAGCACGTCCGAAAAACCGCCGAGGCGTGCACAAAACGAGGACGTCGGCCGTCAAGCACATGGCAAACGCGCTCATCATGCAAGCGTGGCGATTCGGGTCAACGACGGTCGACCCAGGGGGAGGCACTGCAAGAGTTCATGCAAGCCAGGCCTTGGATCGCAGCCAACGCCGCGTGGACGCCCGGGCTGTTCGAGCAGTCGCCATGCGTCAGATGCTCTTTTTCAGACTACAGACTGCAGTGGTTGTTGAACGCGTCTGACGTAGCAGGCCGACGCGGCATCGACTCCGATGCCTTCGACGCACCTGGAAGGCCCCAGCCCCAAGGATCCGCCTTCTTTCCGAAGCTGCGCACATGTGTACCACTTTCGGTGCCCGCACCCGCCCCGAACACCTTGCGACAAGCTGCGCCCGCACAGCGACGGACGTTGCCCAACATCATTCCTGCCACGCGAACCGAGAAATACGTGCCCGCACCTAGATATTCCTGGCCCCGGTGACGCTGAAGTCCACCGGGGGGCTGCGCGATCAAACTGCAAGGCCGCGCCAGTGGTGAGGCGATTCCGGCACCGCAGTGGCACTCCTGGGTTGCAGGCCTCGCGCAGGGCTTGACCACACCGCTCGAGTTTGTCTACTGCGCGGTAAACGGCATCTGCTTGCAAGCGCGGTATCAAGTGCGGCCTTGTCGCCCGGGCGGCCCGGCCGGGCCGCCTGTCATGGGTCCATCTGGTCAGGCAGACTTGCTGCAAGCACCCCCAGGGGCTTTCGTGGTGGTCCCTCGCGCGCGCCTGCGTGGTGCGCCTCCAGATGATGTGGCTGGCGCAGGCGGAGTCACGCGGCTACTGCTTCGAGTCAAGTGACATGACAAGCCGCTCACATGGCGAGGCTGACACGGGACAGGGGGTGTGTGCGCTCCGCTGGCGTGCCGATCAGCCCCGGCCGAACAGGAACTTGAGGTCCTCTTCACCGAGCTTGCCCAGCGCGGAGTGGTCCTGCCCGACCGTCGACTCGAACATGAGCTGCTTCTTCTCCTGCAGCTTGAGAATGCGCTCCTCGATGGTTCCGGCGATGATGAAGCGCGTCACGCTGATGGGCTTGTACTGCCCCAGGCGGTGGATGCGGTCTTGCGCCTGCTGCTCCACTGCCGGGTTCCACCAAGGGTCCATCAGCATCACGTGCGAAGCAGCCGTCAGGTTCAGCGCCACGCCGCCCGCCTTCAGAGACATCAAGAAAACGACGACCGACGGGTCGTTGGTGAACTTGTCGATGACAGCGTCGCGCTGCTCGAGGGACATCGAGCCTTGCAGCTTCACGGTCTTCACTCCGCACTGCTGCAAGCGGAACTCGATGATGTCCAAGATGCTCGTGAACTGGGAGAACACGATGCACTTCGCGCTCGGGTCCTGCACGAGCCGTTCAGGCGGGTGTGCAGGAGTGAGAGTGTTTGCGAAGGGCAGGGCAGCAGCTCCCGCATGCGTGCGCGAACTTGCCTTCTGGAGCATCAGGTCGATCTCCTCCCTGAGGGCCTCGATCTTCGTGCTGCTCCGGAAATTCGACTTGTCGATTCTGTTGATGATGGACTTCTGCTTCCGCTTGGACAGCACAGGCGGCTGCGACGATGCATCGAAGAGGGCGCGGAACCGTCAGAGAGCCTCGAGACAAGTGAGGCTCGCGCTGCATGGTTTCATCGTGCAGCGACTCACCGGCGCGGGCTGTTTGCCAGGCGATGCATCTGCGCCGATGCCGAGGTTGACTGTGAGGGGCTTCCCGCACGTGTCCTTCGGGCACAGCGCCCGATCGTCCAGAGATTCCAGATACTCCCCGACGCACAGACGGCAGAACGAGTGCCCGCACTCAGCGGTGACGGGGTCCTCAATCGGATCATGACAAATGCTGCACATGCCCGCCTCCTCTGCGGCGGAGTCCGCTGCACCGGGCGTACCACTGGACGTCGCAGGAGTGCCGGTCAAGGTGGTGTCATCGCCAGCCGGAGCAGCGAGCGCCCGCGACGCGGAATGAATCACCAGGTAGGGATGACAAACGCTCTGCCGCAGACGAATCAGGAGATCGAAAATGTGTGCGAAGTTGTTGACCTGCACTCAAAGACCCGCACCTTGCCGCTGAAAATTGGCATCAGGCGCGACTACAGCGGCACAGCAGCGGCCTAGATGCCGTGCAGCACGTGGGGATGCCTTACCAGCGTGCCAGCCGCAACGTATGAGTCGAATTCCGCCGTGCTTTGTGTGTAGAGCGCCTCGTAAAAGTCCTGCTCGGACGGGTCGAGTCGCTCTTTCCGCAACGTCACCACGCGTGGCGGGAGGGCGAGGTCGTCTGCGCATTGCACCTTCGTCCTGCGAGCAGCAGGGGGCGACGGCCTGGGACCGGTCACGCAGCGGCGCAGTCGACGGGAAGTGCGTCGCGGTGCGCGTTCCCGTGCCAAGACAATCGCCGTGCGAAGCCTCACCTTCGCAACAGGAGCGAGTTCAAAATGTCGTGCCGCAGGCGAAGCAGCGCAGCCCTGCCGCGGCCCCTGTACCCGTGGTAGATGATCGGGTTCGCCACCATGCGGTTCCACCAGCAGAAGTGCTGCATCGGGGAGTGGCCGCAGTGCTCGCACTGCTTCCAGTCCTTCCGGAACGGGTAGTCCAGGCACTTGCACGGGCACTGCTTGCAGTAGTAGTACGCGAAAGGCAGCGGCCGCAGGAAACGGATCTGGGAGTAGAGCTCGTTGACGCGGTTCTGCAGCGGGGTGCCGGACAAGGCCCAGCGGTACTTGGCGTTGAGGGCGAAGACGGCCTGTGCTGTGTTGGTTCGGCGGTCCTTGATCGAATGCGCCTCGTCGAGGATGATGCGCCGCCACAGAATTTTGTGCAGTATGCTCGTGCCGCGGCTCGTCTCGGACTCCTTCAATAGCTCCGCGACTTTGACGTCTTGCTCCGGGTCGTACTCTGCAAGCGCCCAGTGGGGGGAGATGTGGGCATTCAAGAGGCAAGCCGGCGGAAAGCTGCGACCGTTCGTTCGACCTGTCTTCGGCACGGAACAGACATGTGCGGGGCACATCGCTTGCCAAGAGTCACCTTCTGGGTTTTCCTCGCTCCCCTCCGAGCCACTCTCGACTGCCCCGTCGTCCTCGCCGCCTTCGAACTCGGCATCCTCCTCCGCCTCGTCGTGCTCGACGTCGTCCGCCTCGAAGTCAGGATCGTCGCTCCCGCCGCCGCCCGCCTCGTCATCGCTGTGTCCGCCTGTGCGCGCAGGAGTGATCGGGCGCGACCTCGAACGAGCCTTCGACGGGTCGCTTGGTCCTGCCTCGTCCGCGTCCCAGTCGTCCTCCTCTTTCTTCACTGCGGTGCAAAGGAGATCGCGCGCCTGCTTCGACACACTGGAGGTGGGCCAGCAACAACAACACTGCTTCACGCATAGCAGTGTTTGAGCTCGCCTTTCGTGACCCGAGATTTCTTTGCGCGGTCCTGCTTTTTCGCACGTGGAGCGCTCTTGCTCTTTTCTTTCTCCCTGTCCTCCTTGAGGGCTTTATTCTTCATGATCCAGATTTTCTGCGTCTTTTTCTCCTGCTTCGCCAAAGCGTCCGATTTGTGGGCGCCTGGCCCACAGAAGAACTTCAGGTGCACCTTCAGACGATCTGGATAGTACTTCTTGGAGCAGTACGGACACTCCACCTTGAGCGGCATCATGAATCTCCTGTAATCGTTCTCCAGCGTACTGTACGTCGCGAGAACCACATCAGCCTCCTGCAGGTCCTTCGCGGTCACTCCGCCGCGCTTCGGTCCGTGATACGTGACGACCTGCAGCAGGATGGATCCGAGATGAAGAGCCTTACGTCTGGGCTGAACTTGCCCCTCACGGGCGGCCCAAGCATGCGCGCTGGCGCCCGACGCACCTTCAGCGTCCCGGGTTTGACGAAGCGCGCGATTTCCTGCCTCCACTGGATGACGGCCACGACCGGGCAGAGCACGAGAGTCGCTCTGCAGGGTTGCTGCCCATCGCAGCCATCTTCAATCAGCCGCGGGTGCTCGACCTCCCAGTGGCTCATCTTCGGCTTCTTTGGCTTGCCCTTCGAGTCATACTGTATTTCCGGCTTCGCTTCCTTCAGCGGCGGAAGCGGCTCCGGCGCGAAATCGGCGTACTGGTCGTCAGTCCTGTGGCTGACGATGACGGAGACCGCCTGAATAGTCTTTCCCATGCCCATCTCGTCGCACAGGAGGCCGCCTTGGAACGGACCCTTCTCCTGAGTCATCGCCCACCACAGGAATTCCTTCTGGTACGGCAGGAGGGGCATCAGGATTTCCTGTGGAGGTTCCACTTCCTGCACGGTCGCAGGTTCCGGACGTGCGGCGACGGTCGCGGGTCCTGGTCGAAGGCAACTTGCAGTGCGCGCAGAGGGTTCTGCGCCCCTTGCGGGCACCCGCAAACTTGCCTTGAGCTCTCTCTCGGGGAAGAAAAAGTCTGCAGGGTCTTCATCGCTCTCGAGCTCGTAGGGGTCGCCGTCCTCCTCCGTCTGGGGTCGCACACCGTTCTTCTTGTCCTCCAGGAGCTGGTCCAGCGCAGCCTCGCTGAGGACGGTCGTGTTCGCGCCCTCGAGCGAAGTGAGGTGCTCCGAGGACGTCTCGGCAGCGACCACTGCGCAGCAAGCGCATTCGAGCAGGGCTACCGGTCGCTTCGTGGCACGTCATGACCCTTCTTGTTATGCACGTAGAGCGCGCGCTGCCGCTGCTGACGCGCACCTGCCGCCTCCCTGATCACCCATCGTCCAAACACATGTTCAGCAGACTCTTTGATAGCCGCCTTGATGGCCGCCTTCGTGCTGCCTTGCGCGATTTCCGTCCCCGCGAACGCGTCCGTCGCCTTGCCCATCTTGAGCTGAGGGTTGGTCGCCACGAACTCGAGCAGGGCTGCAAGGACGTGCGGCTGGAGCCTCGACTTGCCCTTGCCCTTCCGCCCCCCGCCCTGCGGACGGTCCGCCTGCTCGTCGTCAGACAGCGCCTCGCCTCGGGCCGCCTGCACAGGCAAGCGTCGGAGCCGGCAGGTTGTGATTAAACGGAAAGGGCGGCACCTGCCCCACTGTGGCCGCAGCACGTCGAAGACATCGAGCATGGCACAGCGCACGGCTTGCTCGCCTTGTATGCCTTCATCTCCGCTTCGTAGCGCTCGCGGTCCTTGGCCGCCTGTTCCTCGTATGGTTTGCGATCGTCACCCGCACACTCCTTCCAGAGGCGGGCGAGCTCGCGGGACACCTCTGGAAGCTTCCAATCTGCGCACGACACATGGGACGTGACAGTGCGGACCCGATCTTCACCCAGCCGAAGGAACTATGGACTGCCTATGACAAGAGCACTGTTTGGTCCATCGCGAGGTTGGAGGCACGCCCAGCTGACTCACCCGGATGCGCCTGCTTGACGCTCGGCCGTCGCTCGGCGCTGAATATGACGTACGCACTTCGCGCCCGCTTCGGTGCGTTGGGGTCCTTGCGCTTGGTGCGCTTTTTGCCCGCCTGAGCCGCTTCAGCAGGCTCTGCTCCACCCTCTTCAGCACCATTGTGGGCATCCTGTGCGTCGTCGTCCGCTCGCGGGTCTGAGCCGCCGTCGTCACGCCTCCGCTTCACACCGGACGAGCCAGATGGTCCAGGCCTCGCAGCGCGTTCCTCCACGATCTGCGTCGACGCCGCGCGGAGTCGCCGGAGCGACGACGTGTCGGTCGCGTCTAGGCGCGATGGCGCAGCACAGCGACGCGTGGACGTCGGGCCGCGGCGCACACCGGACGTGCACTGCAGGGCAAGGGTTCCCGCAAGAGCGCTGCCTCGCACCTCGACGTCATCGCTGTCGCTCTCGAGAATGATCGCACGGAGCTGGGCGAGTCGTTCCCGTTCCTCGTCTGTCCGTTCGCGGGCGCCGCCCGCAGGCCCCGCTCGTTTCTTTGGCGCCATCAGGAGGCACGCTCATGCGCCCCGCGACGCCGCCCCTCAAGAACCAGGCGCCTGCCGTGGCCAGCGGTGCCCCAGTGCCCCGCGTCGACGCCGCGCCGCTGCCCGAAGTGCGCCGGGCGGGCTCCCGCGGCGCCGGGCGGACTCCACTTTGTGTGTGTGGCGCAGTCGCCCCCCCCGCCCCCCACACCTCCCGTCGCCAGCGAGGGGCCGCACTCATGGACGCGGCGCCGCGCCCGCCACGGGGCAGACATCAAGCGAGACGTCATGTTGTCCAGCGTGAGTGCGCGGTCGCAGGTGAAGGTGCCGGTGGGGCGGGGCCATGCGCGACCCTGCCAGGCTCGGGCTCCGGCGCGGCGCACCGTGTTGGTGCGCGCCGCGTCGGACGATGACGACGACGACTTCGAGGAGCGGATCAGGCGGCTGAAGCTGGCGAAGGGCCAGACGCCGATGGGGGAGGGGAAGAAGAAGGCGAGGCCCGCTGGTCCCTGGCAGAGAACTCGCCCGCCCCTGCCGCGCCGCGCCGTCGCGTCACTGCACCGAACAGCACGCCGCGCGCCACGTTTCCGTCGAGCAGCCGTCATCGCGCCACCGCACTTGCTCCGCCGCGGGGAATCGAGGCGCGGGGCGCCCTGTCCGCTGGTTGCACGCGGAAGCTGTCGTGCCGCTCGAGGCTGGAGGCCCGCGATCGCAGCGCCAGCGTGCCTGCCGACCGTCACCGGATGTAGTCGAGCTGGCACGGGCATCGTTCGCAGCCTGACCGTGGCGAGCGAGACGCAAACCTCCTTCCAAGGTCTGCAGGAGGGTACGTCCGGTCCGAAGACCGCGAAGAAAGCCCCCAAGAAGGTGTACGACTATTCGAACGAGAAGCTCCACTACGAGGGGCCGCCGCACAGGTGAGAGCTCGGCCGGCCATGCAGCTCGCGCCGCGCGCTCGAACGCACGAGACGCTGCATCCATGGCGGGTCTCGGACGCCCCCCCGGCACGCGGGACGGCTTGCGGAGCGCTGTCGCTGGCTCCCGTCACGCTGCGGTGCGATGGTTGCACTGCGCCCCGCAGGGGTGACTTGGCCGTCAACATTGCGCTGACGCCAACACTGGTGTGGCTTCCGCTCACCTTCGCGGCCATCGGTCGCGCCGCTTTCGTCAAGTACAAGTTCACGGACCGCCGGATTTCCGTCATCACCACTGCTCCGTGGAAGAACGACCAGCTCGACGTGCCGTACCAGGTGGGCCCCAGCAGCCCGTCACACACAGCCCTGTCGAACGCACGCCGCCGCCCGCCCTCACCCTGGCGCCCGCGGCCGACGGTCTGGGCCGCAACTAAGGCGGCGAGCGTGGGCCTGTCGCGGCGGTGTGCAGGAGGTGAAGAACGTGCAGGTCATTGGGCGCGGCGTGGGCCTGTGGGGCGACATGGTCATCACGCTCGCGGACAACTCCAAGGTGGAGCTCCGCGCGCTCGACAAATTCATCGAGCTCAGGGACTACATCAACGACAGGAGGAAGGTGCGCACGACGGCCCGTCCTCCCCCCCTGTGTGCACGAGGGGCCCTAGGTCCGGTGCGTGCCCGTCACGCCCCGACCCGCGCTCGTTCCGACGTCGCCCGCAGGAACTCGGCGGCAGCGCGTCGTCGTCGCCGTCTCGCGCGGCTGCGGACACCGCGGGGTTCTCGTGACACTGTGGGGTTGACAAATCCATAGTGTGACCTCTGTGCCGTCCTCTGCACCACTGGCGCGGACAGCCTCGCTCGCCCACCAGACCCTACCCCCGGTCGCGCAGCCCGCGGCCTCACCTGGCTATGACACGACGCACAGGCTTGGCGCCACTCCAGAAAAAGTGTCACCTGTCCGCACGCCGCCGCAGTGCGGCTCTGGTCGGTGCGCAGTGCGGACCGTGTGCGCGAGGGCGTCGCCCGGCGGTACGCGCCCGGGCCCCGTACGCGCTGCCACGAATTCGTCGAATGTGCCGGGGCCGGGGAGGGTAGAAGCATGTGTGTGCTGTGCGCCCCGGTCAGGGACCGCGCACGCCGGCGGGACGTGATTGCCGCACGCCACCTCTGTCGCCCTCCCTTTCGTAGCAGCCCATCAGTCGCAGCCATGGAGGTGCGCAGTCGCCCGAGGCGGCCAACTGGCCGCCACGACCACCAGCGAGCGGCCCGCGTGCTCGCGCAACCGCATGCGCCGCACATGCTGGGCGCGGCACGCGCGATGTCGCATCCTTCTCGACCAAACCCGTCGCCGTCGTGCGTTTTTGGCGAGCGAGGCTCACAGTTCGGCATCTCCCCCCATCGTGCTTGCAGGACGCGAAGGCCGCCGTTCAGACTTTCGGCCGGAAGGTGCGTTCCCCCGGTTACGACACGCGACGGCATCCGGCGGGCGTGGCACCGGCGCCCCGGGCACGCACTGCCAGGGCGCCCGGAAGCCCGGCTCACCGGCCCCGGCGCGTGCTGGCGCTCTCTGGCAGCTCGTTCGCCGCACGAGGAAGCACTTCTGTCCGGCAGATATCTGAGCCGCTCAGCTTGTGCCTGTTTGTCTGCGCAGAAGACCGCGGTCGCGGTGGCGCACTGCAAGAAGGGGAAGGGGCTCATCAAGATCAATGGTGCGCGCTGTCGTATCGGTTCAGCACTGACCGAATACCTCTGCGTCTGTTTCTCGCGCCATTGCGCGACCTCGGGCTCCGTCGTCGCGGTTTGGCACGGCTGCTCGTCGGCGCCTGCCCGCCCAGCCGCGCGTCGAGGCCCATGTGCGATGTACTCACCGCGGGAGCGCTCCACGACATTTTTTGTGCCGAGCATGCCTGGTGCCGCGCCCCGCGGTGTCGGTGACGGCGCCCTTTTGCGGTGTTTCTGCATGTGCATTCGTTTGCCTCGCCTGAGGCGCTGACGTGCGGGCAGTTCCGGGGCAGCTGCCGGACGGACGGAGGCCGTCGAGCTCTCCGCGCGTCCGCGACGTCTCCCCGCCCATGTCGTGCGCTCACTTGCGCCGGACGTCGCCAAGGCTGGCTGCTGCACTGCGCTGGCGTCTGGCGTGCCGCTGCGCCGCGAAGCGGCTAGGTTTCTCAGGTCGGCACGGCCACGTCACATGAGCGCGACCCCCTGGACTCGTGCAGGCGCTCCTCTGGACTTGGTGGAGCCGGAGACGCTGCGCTGGAAGGTCTACGAGCCCATCAACCTGCTCGGGCGGGCGCGGTTTGCCGACCTGGACATCCGCGTGCGCGTGAAGGGCGGTGGTCGCGTGTCGCAGATCTACGCCATCCGCCAGGCCATCGCCAAGGCCGTGGTTGCGTTCTACCAGAAGTACGTGGACGAGTCGGCCAAGCAGGAGATCAAGGGGCGCGCCCGCCGCCGCCCGCTGACCGCCGCGCCGCCCGCGCGACGCCCGCCGGCACGCCGCCGTGCGGCACGTCGCCAGCGCCGCGCCGAGCGCCCGTCCGCCCCCTCTCTGGTGCGTTCCTGCAGGACGTGCTGCTGTCGTACGACCGCTCGCTGCTCGTCGCCGACCCGCGTCGCTGCGAGCCCAAGAAGTTCGGTGGTAAGGGTGCGCGCGCGCGGTTCCAGAAGTCGTACCGGTAGACGCTTGTGACACATCGCACCGCGTGGCGGCGCCGCGGCGCCGGATTAGCGAAGCCACGCCCTGCCGCGGCGAGAGCCGTGATGCGCGGACGTCACGCCCAGGCCATTTCGGTCGCTCCGGCATCCTCGCGGTGAGGGTGCTCGTAGGTCAGCAAAGAACTAGGCCAGCGGACAGCACCCGCACTGCTGTTGTGTTTCCGCAGTTGGGTGTTTGACGAGCACGTCCACGCCTGACCTGAAGCCACCGCCTGAAGCACTGCTGCCGGCATGCGTACGCGGCGTGCCCAGGACCTGGCTGGTGACCGCATCTGAGGTTCGTCTCCGTCTGACACCACGCTGCATGGCGCAGTGGTGACGTATTGCGACGCAGACCGCCCGGCGCCCGACGACAAGGCTGCATGCCGGCAGGCCGGGAGCCACTGCAGTGATCGTAGAGGGCGTTGCCGAAGTTAGGTTGAGGGGAACGGCGTTAGGCTCGCCGCGAGGGACCACTCGTCTCCGAGGAGCTCGGAGCCAGTGCACGGCTAACCGCTGCGTCGCGAGCGCAGTCCAACCGTGTTTCGCCACCCGTAGCGAGCGTAACCTACCGTAGCCGAGGGACCGACTCGCGCCACTGCAGCCGAACGCTTCAAGCGCGGCGCCGCAGTTCCCTGAGGCAGGTGAGCAGTGCGTCTTCGAAGCGCGTCAGAACAGGCAGCCACGGCTTCCACGCTTGTGTCTCCGACGATGATGCACCGTGTGTGCCGGGTCCATTCGGTTATCGCGTATCCTGCGTGACGCGACACAAGCGTCCGAGCGCGCGATTCAAGCTGGGTGCCCTGGGAATGTGGGTGCCACATCCTGGCGCGCAGGCCATGCCAATCCAGTGTCCGCGCGACCTACTCTCATTGTCACTCCAGACTGCATCTGTTTCAGTGCGAACTCCGCGTGCCCACAATGTGACGCTGCTGCTCGGTGTCCGCGATACAGAGGCAGGAACGTGTGGCCCCTCGGAACGACCACTGCGGCGCGACCAACGGGAGTTATAGTGTGCGGAAAAGTAGGACATCGCTCCGCATTCACCGCGGGATGACGACCGCCCAGGATCAAACATCGACGGGCGCGGCGCCACCGCCCCAGCTGGCGCCACTCCCAGCTGGCGCGGGTGCCACGCTGCCCCCACTCAGGCCGTCCTCCGGCGCGCCCATGCGGCAGCGCCTGCTGAACCCAAGCTTCAACGCGGGTGCGCCACCAAGCGCGACGGAGCAAGCAGCACAAGGCCTCGGCACGTCTCCGCAAACCACTGTTGCTGCCGCCGCCAGCTCGCCGTCGCTCGCACCCTCCGGCACGCCGCGTGCTGGGGTCGCTGGCCCAGGAGCTGCCGCGGAGCCTCCGTCGGCCCGGCTCCGAGACGCGCCGGCGACGCCGAGTCATCAAGCTGACACGACTGATCAGGCCCAGCTGCACGCCCCCGCGCCTGGCCTGCAAGGTGGGCCGGCGCCTGAGGTGCCATCGACCGGCGCAGCGATCCCTGCAGCGGGCGCGGGGAAACCATCGAGACGTGGACAGCCGGCGGCAGGCCAGGGTTCACGGCGCCAGCTCGACTTGCCGCACCCGCCACAGGGAGGGCAGCGCCGCGAACTGCCAGTCCCGGCCCTGCAAGCCGCCGGTGCGCAAGAGGGCGGGCTGCGCGGGACTGGTGCGGCCAAAGAGTACGTGGAGAATTACTCCACGGGGCAGTTCTACCGGGTGTGTGCACTTTTGCAGCCGCTGCTGTGCTTCGCGTGGCCCGCCGCCGAGCTTCATCGCAGTGCCGACAGTGCTCGCCTCGCTACACGTGCAGGTGAAAGGCGGGACGCGCAAACCACCAGCGAGCAAATCCCTGGACAGGGCTTTCGCAGGCGAAGAGCAAGGGGACGTCGCAGCGCTTGTCCCGGCGGACGGCCTGCAGCGCGCCGTGCACGCGTCGAACAGGACGGCTGGGAGAGTCTCCGAGGGGCTGCTTGCGGGCCTCGCCATCGCCATGCTCCTGTGGGTGTACATTTTGGACTCGAGCAGCTCCCTGCCGACTGCCCTGTCGTCCTTCCTGTCCCAAGTATGCACCCCCGACCGTGACTGCCACGTAGCAGTGTGGCGCAACACACAGGGCGGCGCTGAACGTCTCGCGCCTCGCCCGGATGCGCTGCAGTACTCGGAGGGTGCGGTTGCAGTGAGTGCAAGTTTCTTCCTGCTGCTCGTCATGGCTGTCAGTCACACGAGCTATGACCTCCTGTGCGCGCGAGGCCGCCGTCACAGGCTGCGGGCCAAGGGGGCAGCGCCAACAGCTGTCCGAGCTGCGCTGACGATCGCACTTGTCTGCTACATGCTGGCCTTCCTCTCCAGCACCATCATCGTTCCCCTCGAGGTGCGCTGGGCCTTCCGACAGGAAGCCGACTCGTCGTTCTTCACGTCGCTCTCCGACTCTGACGAGGGAGTGCTGACCCTGTGGCACGTTGGCAACGTTGTGCGCAACGCCTTGGCCTTGCTCGGCTGGGGCGTTCGCGCTGCGATGCCGGTTCTGGGCGATGGATGACGCAGCCAGACTCTCGCGAGCCGCCGTGTCGGGCCGTCTCCCCTGGCGCATGGCCTCTGTCATGCTGATCTTTGTCACACTGTGCACGGCACCTAGGTGGGGTCCACTGCCTCGCCGCTTTGCGCACAGCTTCGCTGCGTGGACATGTGACAGCATCCTCCGCAGCCTAAAACCTCGCGTCGCAGTCTCCTGCGGCCTCTCTGTCGATGCCATGTTGGCTTGCCCTGGGAACAGGCAGGCAGTTCATGCCGGCCGTGCTTGGGTCTCCGGAAATCATCAGACGACTCGCACAACGCCAAATCGTGCCATCCAGCGCAGGATAAAATGAAATGCACCAATTACGAACTCAATCATGTAGCAACAATAAAACAGTAGAAGAGCAAAAGGAGGCGAAATCGCTTCTGGCGCGACGCTTGACAGAAGATAGAAAGATGAGCCAACCAGAAGCACTTTGGCTGGTACAGTGGCCTCCTCCTAGATCCCACTGATGCAGAACGAGCTCGGCACTCCCGCGATTGCGTCGCAGTACGTCGTGCAGTAGTAGCTCCCCGCAACATTCGTGCACCGCTGCGTCTCGGCGCACGTGTGCGTGCTGTGCGTGCACTCGTCAACGTCGTTGCATGGCACGAAGGGCCCGACGTCGTCCGTTGCCCCCGACGGCGTGCCATCGACGGTGTAGCCACTCGGACAGCTGCACTTGTACGAGCGCGTCTCTGGCTGGTCTGAGCACACGGTGTTGGCGCCGCAACCGTCCGAGCCCTCGACGCATTCGTTCTCCCATCCCACGGAACAGTTCCACTTCGGCGCCTCCATTGTACAGTTGCCCGGTGCCGAGCTTCCCAGTGTCAGGCGAACGACCTCGGGCAACGACCCCACGGCAACCAACAGGTCCCCGTTCCCCGCGCTGTCCAGCCCCATGGGACCCGAGTACACGGGATTCAGCGTCGCGTTCGCAGGTGGCTCCACGAGACCCAGCTGCCCGGAGGTCGCGATGGTCGACACGGTGCCGCCCAGGTTGACCCGCCTAACGCGCCGGCCGCGCTCCTCGGTCACGATCAGCGCGCCGTCCGCGAGGATGATCCCGTGCGGGCCGTCGAAGCGCGCGCACCTGCGGAAGCCGTCTGCGTACCCGGCTGCGCCCTGGACGGACCCCGCGAACGTCCACAAGTGCGTCCCATTCAGCACGCGCACGGCGTTGTTGCCCTTGTCCGCCACGTACGTGCGGTTCGAAGACGGATCAAACGCCACGCCCGTCGGTGCATTTAAGCGTGCGGCGACACCGACGGCGTCCAGCAGCCCCGGACTGCCCGCCGCGCCGGCCAGGACCACCAGCGTCGACCCCGTGAAGTGGAGGATGCGGTGGTTCCCCGTGTCGGCGATGAGCAGGCCCGTGCCGTCGCGGTCGAGTGCAAGGCCTTCGGGGGCGTTCAGACGGCCCGTGGTCGCGTCGGTCGGCGCGCCGACGGCCGTGCCCGCGGCCCCGTTCAGTGCGCCAACCACCACCGTCATGCTCGTGCCGGTCACCTTGACGACGACGTTGGCCCCCGCGTCCGCGATGAAGATCGAACCGGAAGCATCCTGCACGGCGGCCGCAGGTGTGTGCAACCGCGCCACAGACCGCACGTCGCCCGTCGCCAATGCGGCTGCCGCAGTCGGTATGCCTGCAACAGGGTCCGACTGAATGTGCTGCCCGGTCGGCTTGAGCATCCGCACCTGGTGCCCCGCACCATCCGCAACCAGCGTATCACCCGAAACGTGCGCCACATCACGCGGCTGCGATAACAGTGGGGGCACGTCCGCGATGCCGCCGGAAGCGAAGCGCCTGGTCGTCAACGTGAACTCAGAAACGCCCACGTTCGCGGAGCCAGACACCAGGGTCAGCTGAAACCGCTTGAACACCCTCTGTTGCACCGGCGCGACGTTGACCTGGTACGTTCCACCTGGAGCGTTTCCGGTGGACGACGACAGCAGCATCCAGATGACCTCGTCGTTAGTGCCCTCCAGGGTCCAGTCCTGGTTCTCACCGATTGCCGCAGTGGCGACCTTGTACGATGTGACCACAACTCCCGCCGGCATGTCGTAGATGAGTTTCGCCGACGCCGCTCCGATGTCCGTCCATGCGGTTCCCGCATCACCGTCGAACGCCGCTGACGTAGATGACTGGCCCTCGATCCACGCAGTGACGCCCGTGAAAATATTGATGTTTTTGGTAGCGTCCGAGGGGTCCACAACCAACGCCGCGGTCTCGGACGCCGGTCCGAGCAAGAGGGCCTGCGCGGCCAAGTCTGCCGTGGGCACGATCTTCGACGAAGCCCATGCAGCTGCGCAAGGATGTGTGACGTTCGCGCACACGTGGCCGCCCGCCGCCGCCGGTACGTTGAGGCACGTGAGCCCCCCCGCACATCGCCCAGGGTCATCGCAGGGCTCAACCAGGTGGGGGGAGGGCTCTGGCGTCCACGGCGGCACGACGCAGCTCGCGTTGGCCTGGGGAGGCGCGGAGCAGGGGGTGGCACCGCGCTGCAGGTACTTGATCGACGAACCCACGGTCCCGGGCTCGAGCACGAGCATCGTCATGTCGTTGAGGCCCGGCGCCAGGATGGCTCCCTCTCGAACCCGCGCCAGCAAGCCGACCCCGTCGAGGTCACCGGGATCGTCCGACCCGGCGACCGGCACTAGCTGGTTGTCGCGAATCTGCATGACCCTGCCCGCCGTAGCGTCCGTGACGTAGACGTCCGCTCCGCTGACACTCGCCGAAAGAGACGCAGGCTTGATCTGCGCACAACTCCCCGTTCCGATCTTGAAGCCGCCGCTATAGGAACCCGACCCAATGAGCGTCGAGACCACGCCGTTGGGGTCGATGAGGCGCACGCGATAGTTGCCCTGGTCTGCCACGTAGACGTTTCCAGCAGAGTCGGCCGCCACGCTGACCGGACTGTTGAACATGGCCACGCTTCCCGGGCCGTCACGAAACCCGATCTCGCCGTTACCGGCCAGGACGAGAACCGTGTCCGTCGCCGCCATGTACCGGACGACCTTGTTACCCACCTGCTCGCACACCACCAAGTCGCTCGTGCCCGGGACTATGGCGATGTCGCTTGGACGTGCGAGCTGCTTCGGGTCGCTCTGGCCGCTGCCGAACCCCGCAGAGAACGGGCCCGTGGTCACCGCGCCGCTGGTGGAGATGGTCCGAATCTTGCTCTGGCTGTACTCCGCCACGTACAGCGTCCCGTCCGGGGCCACGGCCATGGCGCGCGGGTCGTCGAACTGGGCCTGGAGCGGGTCCGCGTGGTCAACGTAGCCCTGCGTCGACCCGGCGTAAGTCGTGAGCGTCGTGAGGCCCTGGGAGGTCGTGTCGAATTTGCGGACCTTGAAGCCCTCTGTGAAGTACACGGCCGCGTTCGACCGGACCGCGATGCCCTTGGGTGCGTTTAGGCTGGATGCGGTCCCGGTGCCCCCGTCCGAGCCCCACGCAAGGCCTGTCCCAGCCTGCGTGTTGACGCTCCACACCTCCTCGCAGGAGGCGGTGCTCAGGTCGGTGGGCCGGCAGTAGTGGCCCGCGTCGGCCTCGACGCACGTCGTTCCCGCCGGGCAAGACGACCCAGAGCAGTCGATGCGATTGTGCTCCCGGCCGCACAGCGACCCTGTCGAGGCTGGGCGGATGTGCGCGGGACAGGCCGGTCCAGTGCGCTCCAAAGAAAGCACGGTGTCCGACCCCCTCTCCACGAGCAGCACTTTTCCGCTGGTGGGCTCAAGGGCCAGGTAATGAATCGCCTTTAACGTGACAATGTCTGCCGGTCCGGACATCGGGCCGGGTTTGTTCACCGCCGTTTGCAAGGGGAACGCTGACCGCAGCCCGCCAGCGGCGATCTCGACGCTGCCACCAGCGGTGGTGCGCATGATCCTGTGCTCGCCCGAGCCGAACGTCGAGAAGAAGATCTCGCCGTTGTGTGCCGTGATGCCATACACAGTCCCCACGCTGGCGCACGATCCGAACCCTCCTTGAGCCCCTTCGTTCCCGGACGCACCCGCGATGGTCTTCACGAACCCGTCGGGGGCGATCTGTCGCACGCCGCGTGCATCCCAGTCGCCCACAAAGGTGAGCTGCGTCACGTGGTCGTGAGCAATGTCCCACAGCGAGCCGAACGACGCTTCCGTTCCCGGACCGTCTCGAATGCCCTTCAGTCCTGTTCCGGCGAGCGTCGAGACCGCACCCGATGACGGGTTGTAAATCCGCACCCTGCGGCCAACCGCCTCCACGAAGAGCACCCGCCCAGACGCGTCCGAGTCCATGCCGAGCACGTGCTCGAACTTGACGCTGGTGTGCACTGCGTTCAGACCCGTCGTACCACTGCCGCTTCCGATGATCGCCTTGCTGCTGAATGTAGAGGGGTCGTTGATGTCCGTGAAAGAGTACCGCGAAAAGGTGTAGCTCAGCTCGACATAGTTGTTCGGATAGTAACTACCCACGTACAGGTCATTTGCCACCACGGCGACGCTGTAGGGGCAGTTCATGTACGCGAGATCTGATTCGACAACGTAATCCTCCACAGTCGCCAGCCCCGCGCCACTGAGCCGCGACACCCTCCCGCCGTTGCACTGCGTTACGAAGGCGACGCCGCCACTGCGCAGCGCATGGATGCCCACGGGCCCGGAGAGCCACGCGCCCTTGCCGGCTCCGCTCCTGGCCTGGAACAGCAAGTCCGTTTGGGTCATTCCGTCTACGTTTCCGGCCACGAGCGACACCGTGTAGTTCGCCGCGCACGTCAGCGGCTCCACAGGGTCCCCGCAGGCGTGTCCGAGCTCGTGGTCGCGGCACTGCTGCGAGTTTGGGCAGCTGCCAATGTCGCTGCACGCCTGCCGCGAGTGCGGACAGGAGGTGACCCCGCCCGGAGGTGTGGCGCAAGCCGCATGGCCTCCCACGTGGTCCGCCCGCGGCGCATCCGCCCCGGTGTACGGGACCACGCGCCGCACGTGCCCCGCACTGTCCGACCACTGGCCGATGAAGGCAACGTCGACGCCAGAGCTCTCCTCGAGCAGCAGTCCATTCCAGGCGCCAGTGAATTGCGCGCCGCTCGCGGGCCCGTCTACGTAGCCCGAAGAGCCCGTGCCGGCAATGGTGGCCACGTTACCAGTGGCGGCATCGATGTAGCGGAGGCCGTTCTGTCCGTCCGTCACGTACACGTTGCCCGAGCTGTCCAGCTTGATGTCCGAGGGCCAATGGAAGGTGGCGCACGTGCGGAAGCCGTCCGTGCGACCCTGGCCGCTCCCGGCGAAAGTCGTCACCTGCCCGGAGGCGATCCTTCTGATGCGGTGGTTCTTGAAGTCGGTGACGAAGATCGCGCTGTTCGAGGCATCCCAGGCCAGTGCCAGCGGTGCGTTGAACGTCGCCTCTGCGACCGGGCCGTCGTGATTGCCCCTGAACCCGGCCACTCCAGCGACCAGCTCGACATTCGAACTCGAGAGTGTCAGCCGCAGGATCCGGTGGTTGTCCTTGTCCGCGATGAGCAGCCGATCCGACGTCTCGAGCGCCAGGCCCGTGGGCCAAAGCAGCCTAGTGGCCGACGCGGAGCCGATTGCTGTGCCCGACGTGGCCGACGCACCGACGACGACCGGAAGTGACGAGAACGCGAGCGGCCCAGCCTGAGTCAGGTCGGCACTGCGGATGGTGTGGTCGGCAGACGCTGCCAGGTACGCGATGTTGCCCTGAACCGCGATGGAGACGGCGTCTGGGATGTCCCTGATGAAAGTCTCCGCTTTGCCGCTCTGCAGGCTCGTGATCCTGTACACGCGGTCGTCTGACATCGAGGACACGTACATGTTGCCTCCGTGCATGGCCAGGAACCCAGCTCCGACGTTCTGCGCGACGGTCTCCACCACGTGCGCATCTGCGCACGTCGCGGTCGCATCGTTGGGCACGCAGTGCGGGGCGGCGTCCGTCATGACGCACCGCGCCGTCCCGGCCGGGCACGCTTGGCGCTCCGCTGCCGTGCACGCGCGCTGTGCCTCCTTGCAGACGAACTGGTAGGCACGCACGCCATCAGCAGTGGCCACGCCGATGAGGCCGTCCTCGCCGACCGTCAGAGCCCTGGCCGAGAAGTCCACATCCTCCAACCCGAGGGCCGTCGGGGGCACGCTGGTCTTCAACTCCCACGTGTTGGTAAGTGCACTGAGCCTCTGCTCGTTCTGATAGACCTGCAGCCCGTCCGAGGGTGACAGGACGTACAGCGTCGCGCCGTCGTCAACGATGGCCACGGACGCACCGTACTCGTCAGCCGTGATCCCCGCCGGGAAAGCCGTCGAGAAGAGCTGGTTCTGGTAGTCTGACAGCGCTGTCCCGCCCTTGTAGAGGGACCAGTAGTGAGGGCCACCTACGTTCTTCGGGTCGGCCTCCTCCAAAGCCGTGCTCGAGGTCAGCCTGTACGTATGGACGCTGCCACTGTGCGCGCCAGTGACGCCTCGGCACCCAAGCACGACCTGTTTGTAATTGAACTTGACGTTGAGCGCGCAGGCCCGATTCGAAGGGAAGTGCGTCGACTGAACCATCGTCAACGAGTGCGCCCACTGCTGCGGGGCGGCGAAGTTGGTGACACGAAACAGCATCACGCGTTCGTCAGTGGCTGCAGACACGGTGTTTCCAGCGGCCACCATGCCCCACTTCGCGTCGAGCGCGAGAGAGTCGGGAGACGGAGCGAGGGCACCGGGAACGGCCGAGGCCACGCGGCTGCCCAGGCTGAACGCGTTTGCCGGGGAGACGCGCGTGTAGAAGTAAATTGCCCCTGGCGTTGGCGAGCTGAAAACGAGCGTCTCCGCAGCCACGTCCATCGCCACCGCGCTGCCGAGAGCCGTGTCTGTCGTCCCGCCGGAGCGCACCAGCATGTCCATCTGCTCGTACGGCCCAGCGATGCCTGCTGTGGTGCGGAACAAGAACACTGCTCCGTCGCCGTTCAAGTGGCCGGGCGCGCCCGCCGCCACCCACCCGGACCCCGCAGCGACGGACGATCCGAGGCGCGATCCCGCAGCGGTGTTCTGCGACGTCAGTATCGCGACGGTCTCCCACGCGTCCGTCGATGCGTTGAAAGCCACGATGGAGACCTTGCCCGCATCCGCCGCCACGGTGTCGTCGTACTGCTCTCCGACGAACAAGGCGCCCCCGCTGGACACGATGACGGGCTTCCGGTCGTCGAGAAGTTCCGTGTCGAGAGGGGAGCCCATGGGCCCCATGCAGGGACGGATGCTGTTCTGGAACGCTGTGGCCGCCGCGCTCGGGTAGAAGGCGTACTGGACGCGCTCGCCGCCGCCGTACTCGGTCAGTGCGATGTCGATGGTGTTGGTGCCCTCTTTGAGGGGCACGTTCCTGCGGTGAAAGCCGCCGTTGCTCCACCCCCAGTTGTAGCCCAGCAGAGTGTCCTCCTCACCCACATGGTCGGTGCCGACGTCGACCCACATGTCCATGCGCCGCTGCGTGAGCTTCGCCGTCGTCGTCTCGGCATCTGCCAGCCATTTCGACGCGGCGTAGACGCCATTCACGTAGAGCGTGCACTGGTCGTCGCAGTTCAGCATGATCTTCAAAGAACCCGGAACGCCGCCCGCCGGGACCTCGAATGTCGTGCGTGCGACGAAGAAGTGGTTGTCGACGCTCGGGAACGGCAGGGTGTGGAAGTTCACGGCCGCCCCTAACGCGGCGTTCGTGCGCGAGACTGTGCTCAGCGAGGTGTGGCAGGCGCTGGCATGGTGAGCCCACGACGTGCTGGGAACCACGTTGCTGCGGAACTTGTCCTCCGCCAGATACGGCGCCTCGTCGGTGTTGTGGAGCCACGGTAGAAGGACCGCGGCAGGATCGGCGATGTTGTCCCGCGGGCTCGTGCGCTGGAACGTCACCGGGTCCACGAGCGTCGGCGCTCCTGCGTACCTGTACACGCGCCAGTACATCCCGCACCCGGTCGTGGGCAGCCTGCAGCTGGCGCGCCCGGACGTCCAGGGATAGGCGAGGCCCTGGTCCACCACCGCCGAGGCCGCTGCGGCGCACCCTGGGGCTCGCGACGGAAACAGGCCGTCGACGCAGGCCTCGGCACCCGAGCCGGGGCTGAGCTTGCGGATGTGGGAGCCCCCCATGCTTGTGAGGTACACGTCGCCCGTCGCCGGGTCGACAGCAGGGCCGCCTGGGTTCTGAAGCGTTGCCGAGGCCGCGTTGCCGTCGGAGGTGCCCGAAACGAACGACTGCCCCGCGACGAGTGCCAGCGTGCCACCGCCCGGTCCGTAGCCGAGGGCCTTCACCATGTGGAGCCGGTGGTCAACGTCGCTCGGCACATAGAGGAAGCCATTGTACATGCCCAGGGCCCATGAGTGGGTCCACTCCGCGGTCGAACCGAACGCATCCGCGGCATGATAGAGATTCCGGTGCGATCGGGTGCCCGCGAGGGTCCTGATGAAGCCGTCCGGGTACAGCACACGGATGCGGGTGCTGTAATAATTGCCCGTCCCGAGAGACTCCGAGAAGTACGCGAGACCGGTGACGTGATCGCAGACCACGCCGTACGCAAACGTGATGGTCGACGTCCCGAACGGCCCGTCCTTGCCGTACTCCGTGGGACCAGTCGCATCAGTTGGGTGTTTGAGTGTTGTGATCCCCGCCACATGCGTGAGCGTGTTCAACGCAGGGTCGTAGCGCAAGACGCGATGTAACGATTTGTCCATGATGAGCACGCGGTCGTCCCGATCGACGCAGATGCCCTCGGGATGTCTCAGTCGTCCCGTGTTGTCGGTGCTCAGCGGAGGATTCAGCGGAGAAGTTTCAGTCGCAAGAGTTCCCGTCGGCGGGCCGCCGCTGGTGGCGCCGACCACCGTCGTGATGGACGACAGGTCCGGTGGCATCTTCCTCAGCGCGTGGTTGTAGAATCCGGCAACATACAGCGACCCGTCCCGAGCAAAGGCCAGGCCCGTCGGGACGTCGATCTGAGCCGGGGACGGGGCCGCGCCGTCGACGAACCCGGGGGAGTTGACAGTCCCGAGGACGCGCTCCGTTGTGCCGGTCAGTGAGGCCCTGCGAACGACATGCGTGTGAGTCGTTTCGCTCCAGTACAGCTTGCCGTCGGGGCCGAAGATCGAGTAGTGTGCCACGGGGCCGATGCGCACACTGGACCCCGTGCCTTCCTGGCTAGGCTGGCTTGTGTCGCCGTTGCCGAGGAACATGGACACGGTCCAATGGCTCGTGCACGCCCCCCCCACGGCCGCGTCCGTTGCGAGCTGCGGGCAACACACGCGACGGGTATCGGTCGAGACACGCAGCTCGAGGGGCCTGGGCTCTTTGCTGCCCCTCGACGCGAAGTACGATACACGCAGCTCAGGAAGGCAGGGAATGCAAACGCAGCGGGCGCGTGCATGGCATGGGGGCCCAGCGCAGTGCCACGTGCGAGTGTGAGGCCGCACCGTTTGCCGACGCGCAGCAAGGTCTGCACCAGCCGCCGTGTCGTTCCCCAGGCCGGGCTCGCTGTACAGACCGATGGCATCCAGCTGCGCCTCGGCGGCCGTGGCGGTGCACAGGGGCACGGCAAGGAGCACTGCCAGGACGCTCGCGAAGCAGCCCCACCGGGGCGGAGCATGCCGCGGCATATTCGAACACCTGCGATCACGACGGGGCGATGAAGGGGCAGTTCGTGCAACCTGCTGCGCCGCAGCGCCGCGCGCATCGGGGCTGCTGCACGCCAGGGTGCGAAATCAGCAGCGGCGGGTCACGGAGGCCGTTTCCACGCGGAAACGGCAGAAGAACCCTACAGGATCTGTGAGGACGGTCGCGGCACGACGCCGACGTGCGTCCGCTGCGTCCCGGATCCGGGGCCCGAGGGCACGGTGCAAGGAAGCATCCTGTGCTACGACGTCTCCGGGCGCGCCAGCGCGGGAAAAAGAATCAGTTGACCGCCATGTGCAACGATGATCTCACGTGACTTGAGGAACGCGCAACTGTCCGACGCGAAGGTCTTTGGGCGTGGAGATACAGAGACCAACGGGCCGTGGTCAGCATTCCGCTGTCGCAAGCAGCAGCAGTCCACTGTGCGTCCGAGGGACAGCGCTATGCTCACCTGCCCAGGAACACACCGGGCGGCCGAATCTCACGGCTCCATGCGCACGGAAAGAGCGTGTCGTGCGCAAAGTGTGGCCCCAGCAGTGATGAAAGAAACCGACCGAAGGCCGCGTCCCGATGAACACCGCTCTGAGTTGACGTAGAAGTGCACTTCTCGGCGGATGCAAGTGCGGTGCGCCCGCCGTGCGGCGCGGCACTGGGTCGAGAGAGACCGGCTGCCAGGTAGTACAGGCTGTTATCCTCTGTAAGGCCGTTAGAGGCTCAGAGTACAATAGCAGACACTCGGTGTGGGCGTGACACTGTCGTACCGACTCGGACAGTCCGACTTGGACAGTCCGGGACACCGCGGTTGCGTCATTCGAACACTGGCTCGGCGAACCTTGGTACTCAAATCCCACACAGGAAGCCGGCTTCACGGACACCAGCGAGAAGGATCTGTATCGGGCACCGCGGGCATGCCGCACTGCGCTGCGGGAGCTCGTCAGCTTGCGCGACCCAGGGGTGGTTGCGCGACCTGGTGGATTCCGCAAGCTTCCTAGTCGCCTCGACTGTGGCGCCCAGACCGGGCGAGGGCAGCCGACAGCGCGCGGGGCTCCGCGGCGACCGTTCGGCCCGCCGCTCCGAGCACCGGGGCACAGCGTCGCGGGCTGCCAGTCCCGGCCTGGGGAGGCTCCGGTGCGCAGCCAAGTAGCCCGCAGAGCCGTCGCTCCACGGCGCAGTGCTACCATGTACGTGCAGCGGCGAGGCCTGCTGCCTGCACGCCACCGGGTGCGTGATACCGGCGCGCTCCGAAGCAGCCAAATCACATCGGAGAGACGACAGACGTGTGCTTCGGAGGCGAAAGGCACTAGTGTTGCAAACGCGCGCTGCAAACGCGGCCGCTCGCATCCGAAGCGGGGCGTTCCGTCCAGCGTTGGCCGCTGCGCGGTCGCCCAGCTTCGCGGGGAGTCGAGTGTCTCCGTTTGTTCTGCACCTCACCACCGGTGTTGGCGGCCAACAGCTGCCGCCTGGCGACTGTGACGCGCGAGCTGCGCAGCGCTCACTTGTGCTCCATGATGGCCTTGCGCAGGGGGGGCTCGGCTGCGCCCACGACCTCCGCCACGGGCGCCTTGTTCTTGTAGAGCTGCGCGGGCGCGGGCGCGGGCGCGGAGCTCTCGGTGGGCCGCCGCGCGCGCGCGAAAGCTGCGGGTGCGACGGCGTATTACGGCAGGGGCCGGCCCGCGCAGCGACGGAGAGCGACGCCTCGCGCAGGTGGGTGCGGGAGCTGCGCGACATGTGCGAGTGCGCGAGGCTCACCTTGAAGGTGGGCATGGCGCTGATGCCGGCTTCTTGCGCCACCTGCTCCGCGGTGTCGACGTCGACCTTCAGGAACACGCAGTCGGCGAACTCGACCGACATGGCCTCGAACTTGGGCGCGATCATGCGGCACGGGCCACACCAGTTCTGCAACGCGGTGCGCGGGGACCGGCGACTTGAGGCGCGGGGTGTGTGTTGGACGTGCCGCCATGTCTGGGCATGCTGAGGCGCCCGGTGGCCGGCGAGCGTGCGCGCGCACGACCAGGAGTCCTTGCACGGAGTGTGCAGCTCGCGGCCCAGCCGCACTGGAGAGCAACTCCGCACCAAACGGCTCGGCGACAACGGGGATCCGGCTCTGGATGTACGCCGCAGATGCGAGGGGAGCCGCGAAGGGGGCCGCGAACTGTTCTCGCACCGCCTGGCGCGGTTGGAGGCTGGTTCCGGCGTCGCGCACAAGGTCGGCGCTCTGAGGCGCGCAGGCGGCCGTGTATCGCGAGGGGAGTGGTCGACATCATGCGCTGCATCGCAGAATCGGCGTCGGGCCCGCAGCGAACGCGGCGCCGTGCATCAGGTCATGCAGGTGGGGGAGCGCACCGCCCAGAAGTCCACGACGACGAGCTTGTCCCCCGCGGCCTCCAGCGCTGCCACAAACTCCTCCTTGGTCTTGATCTCCTTGATGTTTCCGCCCATTTTGTCCGACACTCGGCGGGCGTGAAGCACTGCTACACAAGTGGGGCTTCTAGGGCCGTGGAATTCACGATTCACTGCCTCTGCGACACGGTGCTGCTGTCCGGACGAAGTGGGCGCGCAGGCAGGCGCGCTGAAGTATCCAGCGGCGACGGCGTGCTGCGGCGCCGCCGGCGCCGGCCTGAGGGACTCGGAGGGGGTGCGAGGGCCATGGCGGGCAGTGCCACTGCGCGGCTGATTGCGCACGGGCGGCCGCGGTCGTCGGCACGAGCCATCTCAGCGAACAGGGACAGCACGCATCGGATTTCCACGCCGCTGCTCGTTCCCCTGCGCACAGGGACGGCGCACTGGGAACCTGCGCACACAGCGCGCGTCTGCGGCAACTCGCGGGGCCACCTCCGTGCCGTTCCGGGGCCCCGCCAGCGCGGTCAATACCGAGACATCATTCACACGCGACGATTCGTAGCCCAGAAGCGACGTACGCGTGGGTGTCAGATGAGAGCTGGGCGGTGAACTTGAATTGCCATCAAGCAGTTTCGGCTTCGGCGCGCCTTGGAGCGGTCAGGGTCGACGTCTGTGGTCGCCTCCCGGTATTCCGTAGTCGCGCCTATCGGCAGACAGCGCGCGGCTAGGTTTCGAGTACCAGGCAGCCTTCAGGATGGCTCTTTCACCAGAGGTGGGCTCCTCCGGGACGCCAGCTTCGCCGCCGCCGAGCCTGCGCAGCAGACGGCGCCCGAGCGTGCTTGCTGACATCAGTGTTTCGCTTCTGAACAGCGAGCGGAGGTCGCCGGCGGCCAAGCCTCTGGAACTGGACGAGGTAAGCGTCCCGGGCAACAACATGGCCTGCTGTAGCTGGTCGCGCGTCGCAGCCTGCGTCTACGTTCTCGGTCCCGGCTGTCCTGGAGCGTTTCCCTCAGATTCGATCTCGCGCCTAGGCAGTCCGATGGCACTCACGGCCCACCCGAGGGCGACGCGCGAGCACGGTGCAGGAGCACTTGGGATCACTGGTCCACTCGCTGGCCGACGGCGGCCCCGGCGGCTCGAACCTTGCGTTCGGAGGTTTCGAGATGTCGCCATTGCGCGGGCCGGCGGACGAGCCGCCTCGCTTTGGCAGCGGTGGGTGCGAGCACGGCCAGAAGCAACAGAGCTCGACGACGGGGTCCAAAACGAAGCGCGAGGCCTGTCGTCCGACGGCGGACCAGGATGCTGCCAGCCGCGTGTCTGTCGGGGCAGATGACGCGAGCCCGGGCTGCGCCTCACGCCGCGAGGACGGCGCCGTCGTGGCTGGGGCGCGGCAGGGCGCAACGGGAAGATGCGCCAGCGACGTGGCATCGGCGGCCTTCGCCCTCCTGTTCTCGCCGACAGGAGTCCCCCAAGGAGCCGATGACGAGAACGAGCAAGGCGGGACACCCAGGTGCGTTTGCCGTGCCAAGGCTGTGCCAAGAGCTCGCTGCGAAACAAGTTTCCAAACTATCTCGGGCTGGACGCGACCTGCAGGTCTGCCGCGCCCGATCATCCGAGGGCTCCGAACGGCGCGCGTGCGAACGAGGACGCAGAGCGAAACGCGAAAGAGGTGGGCAAGCAGTTGCTTGAGATGCGCAGTGGCATGTGCGGCCGTACGAGTGTGGACTCCTCCGCCTGCGCCCACGTCACCGCGCGCCCGCCGCACGTCGCGCCGCTGCAGGCGACACCGTCATTCAGCTTCGGAGTGCGCCCATCGCCGGCCACAGCAGCAATCACGTCCAGTGCAGCGCATTCTACACCTGGACTGCGGCTCGGGCAGCCTGTCCTGGCTCAAGACGCACCACAGAGCAGCACGGGGAGCGTCGCGGGCGGCAGGGGCCTGAGTGGGCCGGTTCGCGCCTGCTCCGATGCGTCCTCTGATTCTGGTGGAACAGGCGCCCCGGAGCCCCCGTCGCCGAAGGGGGACACTCTTGGCGCTCCTGTCGAGAGCGAGGACGACCGTCCAGCATCCACCGAGGAGCGCATCGCTCCGCTCGCTGCCGATGCCAGCATCTCACATCGCCAGATGCCAGCGGACGGAGGCGAGGGCTGCCTGCAGATGATGACCAACGAGTTGTTCTCGCCCCACGCTTCGGACGACACGAGCGGTGCAGGTGGTATGAAACGGTCGGTGGCGTTGAGCCCGCCCGCTGTCCAAGTCGTCGCATGTCGAGCCTTCGGGGCGCTGACCGTTTCCATCCCCGGGGACAACGACGACACCAACGGCAAGTCGGTAGCCAGTGGATCCGGCGGTGGCGACTCGCCTGATCTTCGTCCGCGGCGTCGGTCTCCTGAAGCGGAGGAGTCGGTTCCAATGTCGTTGTCGACGTTGTCCGCCTCCGCGCAGGGCGATTCTGCAGGCCCATCACAGCGCGCAGACGTGATCGTCGACGAGCAGTCGCGTTCAGTACAGCCCAGGGCCGTCCATGACCTCGAAGAACGAATTGCCAGCATGCAAGAGCAGCACTGGAAGGTAAACACGCACCGCGCGTACATCCATCGCACTTCACAATTGCTGGCAAAACCGAGGCCGTGGCGTCGAAGAGGATTTGTGCTCGCTGCAACTTGTCTGCAGGAGCGTGAGAAATTGCTTCAAGAGGCTCGCGCGCATCGGCACCATGCTTCAAACCTAGATGCCGAGCTTGCTCGTGAACGCGCGCGCCGGCCGACTGACCGCGAGATGGAGCGGTGTCGTGAGGCACGCGTGGAGGAGCTTGAGTCCGCGCTGACAACGTCGCGCGGCATCGCGGAGGCCGCCGAGGTAGAAATCCAAGGCCTGAAGCAAGAACTGCAAAAACTCCACGTCAGACTTTTGGATGCGGATTGCGCACGTCGCACAGCTGAGAGGCAACTTCGAGCGCTGGAAGCCGAGCGAGCAAGCTTTTCGGAGGAGCGACGCGCGTACGAGGAGCGCATGGTCGAGATGCAGGCCTTGCTGAATCAGTTGGCCCAGGACGTAGAGCGCGAGCAACGGCTGGCGACGCAGCAGACCGGGCAAGCGTCTGCGGTGGTCGTTGCGGGAGGCGTACGCCCTCGCGAAGCGACCGAGCGCCAGTTGCGGCTCGACCGGGGACGGAGCTCTCCCCCGTCCGAGCCTGGGTCCCCTGACAGCCGAGTAGGCGTTGCCCCGATCGGAAAAGCGCTGGTCCGCGTCGTGCACCTGCAGCGCGAGAACGCGAGGCTGTCTGACGAGGCCGGTCAACAACAGCGCAGCGTGGTCAAGCTGACCGCCCATTGCCACCAGCTGCAGTTGGCCCTCGACGACGCGTGGCGGGATGCCGCGGCTCATCGCGACGCAGCGATCGCCGCTAGTGCCGAGTGTCGCGAACTCACCGCCGCTCTGGCGAGGCGGTCCTTCGAAGTGTCGTCTCTCGAGCAGCGCTACGAGGCATCTGTTGGCGCTGCATCACGGCGCGAGGCGGACCTCAAAGCGACAATCGACGAAGCTTCGCGCGCACTGGAGGACTGTCGACGTGCAGGTAGGGGACCACCTCTCTGTGGCCAGCGGTCAAGCTCGACCCGGTGGAGCACGCGTGCACACCTGATCCGCACTTTGAAATGTCTGCAGCGGACGAGGCGCGCACCCGATGCGAAGAGACCGAGTTTGAGCGCGCGCGCGCGCTCAGGGAGACCGTGCTCCTCGCGGAGCGACTTCAGGGACAGTGCGCCGACGTCGCGGAGCTGAAGGTGCGCACCATCAGGACCAGACATGATGCCGGTGCCGCACCTCTCTGACCGACGCTTGACGTGCGGCTGGTCGACATTCGATGCGCGCGCAGGCGGTGCAGCATGCGCTGGAACGCGCCCTCGAGCGTCAGCGTCCCCTCGGAGCCCTGGTAGACCAGCAACACGAGCAGGAGAGAGTGGCCATGGAACGTGCCGCTCGTTTGGCGGAAGCTCGGCTTTCCGAGGCGGAAGCGCGGATCGCCTGGCTGCTTGAAGAGCGCGAGGGTCTTCAGAACGAGGCACAGTCGCATGCACACGCCGCAAGCCTTGCGACGGCCGAAGTTGCGCGAGCCAAAAGAGAGATCCAGGACCTGCATCAGCAAGTGGACCAGGCTGCGCGCCGTCTCCAGTGCTCGCTGGAGCAGGAGCGTGCGCTGCACGCCCGCAATGCCGAGCTCACGGCGCAGCTTCAGGTCGCGGTATCGGACGTCTCATGTGCTCGGGCGGCAGCCGAGAAGGAGAGTTCGGACAAGGGGTTGGAGCTAGCAGAACAGCTCGATCGTTTCCGAAGCGAGCTCTCCGCGGCCGCTACCTCGCACGTCGCAGCGGAACATCTCGCGGAGCGCATAGAGCTGAGGTTGACGGAGTTCGAGGAAAAGGTTTCCCAGCAAATCGCGCAGCCTGCATCGCTTCCAGGGCCCGAGACCGCCCGCGTTGAGGCGTGCACGATGACCTCGCTGGACCATTCGGGGACGTGTTCCGACGCAGGCGACGGCGGGGACGGCGTTGAAAATAGACCGGCACACATCGACGTACCGCGCGCAGCCGAACTGACAGCAGGCAATGTTGGTCCTTCGCGCATTGCTCCTGGTCGCGGCGATGCTCGTGACGTTCCAGCGATCATCGGCGCCCTGGGTCAGGTTTGTACCGTCCTCGGCTGTCAAATGGATGACGGCGTCGAGCCACTCGACGCCATCGAACAACTGCACAGATGCGCTCACGCTTCTCAACAACGAGCCGAATCGTCCAGGCAAGAAGTCGAGGCGATTCGCCAGGAACTGGACAACGTCAGGCAGAAGATGCAGGCTCTGGTACAGGTATGCCTGTGGTCAAAAGATGGAAGATGAGGGCAGCAGCGATGTCAGCGCTCTAGTCTCATTTTACCGACCTCCGACCTCTTGCAGACCGAAGGTCAGGCTGCCGATCGAGTAGTCGAGGAGAACGAGATGGCGCGCAAGCGCATCAAGGCGCTTGAGGAAGAGGTTGAACAAGCACACTCGGCGCTCGATGCGACCAAGATGTCACTCAAGACCTGTCAGCAAGAACTTGAAACCGCACGGAGGCAGACCGAGCAGCGCCGGGAACGGGCGGCCCCTGCCCTCGCTGGCATCGAGAAGCGGCGTCAGGATTCGCGCGGCGCCCGGGAAGCGGTGGACGCTGCCTTGCACGTATCGCAGGCCGACACGCTCCAACAGGAGCAGTTGAAGGCAGAGGTCGCCGCGTTACGAGGGCAACTGAACGACGCAGGTAGTTCGCATCGAGCCTTGTTCCGTGCCGCGGCCGGAAGCCGAATCAAAGAAGACTCACAACATGGCATTGCTGGACATGCTGTGCAGGCAAGCGAGAAGCGTCGCTTGCTGCGGACCTGACCTCTGTTCAGCGGGAGAAGCGAGAGTTGACGTCCACAGTTCGCGTGCTACTAGCTCGCTGCGAGGCACTGGCGTCGCGAGACGACGGCGAGGCCGAACAAGCCGAGACGGCAAACGCTGGCAGCGAGGCCTGCACATCTTGCGCTGACTTGGCAAGAGACAAGCAACGCCTCAAGCAAGTGATCGAGCACGTCAACCGGGAGCAGCGCGGCCTCATGAACGACTTGAAAGCGCAGCGCGGGCGCGAAGCCGAGGTGCATCGGAACGAAGTGCAGCACCTACAGCAGCGGGTCCAAGAGCTGGAGAAAGGAGCGTCTGAGGCAATGCAACTTGCGGATCGCATCAAGGACGACAGCGAGAGAGAACTTCGGAGCTCAGTGGCGGCCGCAATCGCAGCAGAGAGGAAGGCTGCTCGACTCGAGCAGGAAAACAGCGATCTCTCTGCAGCCTGCCACGAGATGCGCATCGCTGTGCGAGAGGCCGACGAGCAGATCGCCCGCATGCAGCTGCAAGCGCAGCACTTTCAAAGCGAGCATGAAACTGCGGTTCGGCAGGTGCGTTGCCACGTGCCTCATGCAGCTCATATTAACAACGGTCGTGGTGCTCTGCTGTTGACTGATGCGGCGTGGCTGAGTCGAGTGTGCGCTCCGTGCAAGGCGCAGGCTCGCGACGCCGAGGAGAACCTAGCGAAGCTGCAGAAGGCATCCAGGAGTCAGGATAGTGAGATTGCAAAATCCCGTGCAGCTGCTCGCACGGCCATCGAACAGGCCAGGGCCGCGCGAGAACAACTCGACGCCCAGGTTGCCTCAAGAAAGGCCGCCGAGGAAATCAGGGCAACGATCGAGGTGAGACAAGCGGAGGTTCGCCAGTGAGCTGACGGTCCAGAGGTTTGCCTACTGTGTTGAACCTTATATCCCCCAGTCAACTGCGCCCTGATTCCATGCTCCGCAGGAAAAGCTGCGCGCAGCTGAGGATCAGATAAGGGTCCTCGAGGGCGAGCTTGAGCGCATGGACGAGGCCAGGGCCGCGAACGCCGGGGATGGCTGCAAGGGATGTGCAGAGCTGAGCGAGGCGATGGACGCACTGGAGGCAGACGTCAGCAATAAACTGGATAGGTCCGGACAGAGACATTGCCGCACACATGACGGGAGCGGTCGGACTGATGCATGTGCAGCATTTCACCTGCATCAAAATCACGTTGTCTCCTCGCAGGGCATCGGCGATGATTGAAGGCCTGCGGCAGCAAAACATGAAGCTTCATCTGCAGAACGCAAAAGCATCCAGCAGGGTGGGCTCGAGTTCTCGTGATGCGACACAGCGCGCAGCTGCACAGGGCAACGCAGCACACACCAGGGCGCAGAAGCGGTCCTCGTCCGTGCCGCGCTACCCCGACAGCGAGCCAGCGGATCGGACGAACGAGTCTGCGGAGCGACGACGCCGACTGTCCGTGGCCGGCCTGCCGACCCGCGAGTGCTGTTCAGGAGCGTTGCAGCTTGCACCTGTCGAGGACAAGCGGATCGTCATGCCCGACGACGGCTGCACGGAGCCGCCCAAGGCAGGTCTCGTTGCGCGTGAACACTACACGCGAGTCCTGAGCCTCGCGATGGCGCATGCGGCGCGAGCGAAGAAGTACAAAGCTCGGCTCCATGCGCTCGCGAATGAGCAGCAGGGCCTCGACATGCACGACGATCGAGGTGATGGCGGGGAAGCACGCGTGTCTGCCCGCCTCGCGGCGCTCCGGGACGAAATCCAGGATCTGCTTCGGGCGGTCGAGTCGGACCAGATGTGTCTGCAGTCCACAGATGGTCGCACAGGGCTGCGGAAGCGCATCGCCCGCCTTGGGCGACTGGTTCATCTCGTGGCGAAGCCAGATGCTGCAGCAGTCCTCGAGCGTGAGCCGGGCATTTGGCAGGGCATCACTGCAAATACTTGTGGGCATCTCCAGGTGCAAGGCCATATCTCAAGTGTGTCAACAGAGCCTTCGCGGCGCGCGGCGTCAGCGAAAGGCCGCAGCGACAGCGAGGGCCCACGCGGAGGGGGGCAGGGCGAGCCTACCGGGGGATGCAACGGCTTGACAGGGTCGCCCTTGAGAGGTGGATCACACGTCGTGAGGAAATCTGGCACGCTGCCCGTTGCCACGGGAGGCTTCAGTGGCAGTGCGCTTCGCGTTACGCGGTAGGTTCTTGCGGGCCTGTAGACTGACAGCTTCTGCTGACCTGACTGAGGGCACACTCCCGGCACTGAACGAAGCACAGCTGTACCAGGGGCTCGGCGCGAAACCCGCGGGGCGCGGCTCACTGTGACGAGAAACGACGCGTTTCGATCGCCACCGTCCACAAGATCCGTCCGCGCGACGAGCAATGATTATCTCTTCTGTACTTTTCTAGGTGGTTGCGGCTGCAGGTCCTTGCCTCGCGCGTGCACGTTCTCGTTGTTGCCTCTCTTTCTATCCAGAGTTCCACCGCACTTCGCGGAACCACAGAGGCACCTGACTGTTTCTCCGGACAGCGCCCCGAAATGCTCGAACATGTAATTGTACGTCAGCTCTTCACCTTTCTTGATATCCTCCATAGCGAAAATTCCCACACGTGTCTCTGAATCTGACGTGTTGGTCCACTTCTGCAGCTTCGGATGACATGACCAGCCGCATTGGAGTCGCTTTCAGGAGTCTGGCGCAATGCGTGCATGGCTGGAACCGTGCATCAGCTGTCCTGGAATCGCGGTGTGGGAGAATCTCACCTGCGTGACGCAGTTTGGGTCGCAGGAGGAATTCAGGAACCTGGCCCAGCTCCCCTTGACCTTTGCGTCGATGATCACGTCATCCGACACCATCATCATGTAGAAAGTCGGATCGCCCTTCCGCTTGGCCTCTCTCAGCCGTTCCTCCGCCACCTCGTTGCAGATGATCTCGCCGGCGTACTCTACGACGAATGAACCAGACCGAATGTCCTGCAGGAGAGCTTTGCGCACCGCTTTTCAGCATGATGCACTGGAAAGCAGGAGCACACAACAGCAGCTGCCGTCGTCAGCGCAGGCCCGCGCGCCACATCACAGTCGATCGGTCACCCGGGCAGGTCTGACAAAGAGCAGGGCGTTGGAGACCAGGGCATCGGAGAGTCGCGTCAGTGCCATCAGTAGCTCCGTGATTTCGTTTCTCAAGAGGCCCCGACGCCCCACGTACCTCGGCAGCAAATGCTCCCCAGCCGCGCTGTGTCCCAGTCCACTTGATGTGCATCCCAGGAATCTCGCGTAACTCGAAGGGCTTGTTCTGGCAAGCTGAGCCAGCTGGACATACGCGTGGGTCGCACAGTAGGCTTGAAACGCGATTGATGCAGCCCTGCAAAGCATCGTTGGAATGCGATTCGGGTTGGTCGAGCGTCAGCTGGCCGCCATGCCCGATGTTCGAGGAACACTGGCAACACCGTCGCGCGGCGCAACGCGTACACCGCCCTCACCTCGCCACATGCATCCATCTGCGTGCACACGCATGCGTCGACTTCTTGCAACGAGAGTTTACGCGGGGCTGCGCTTCCGGCTAGCTCGGGACGCCACAGGTTCTTCCTGACTCGCTGGAACTTCGGGTTGTCCGCGTCCTTGCTCTTGATTATGCGAGGCCCGCGACCGGCCTGCCGGCGAGCACTGTCGACAGCATCTTGAGGCCGCGGCATCGCGAGCGTGGACCGGTCGCAGCCACAATCGCAAGCGCCGGTGGAGAGCGTGGAAGACTGGCGGGGCAGTCCGCTTCGCAGAGCTCGCGGCCCTATGACCTGCATGCACATTGTACGCAGCGCGATGCGACATCGACAACTGCAGGTCTTGCTCACTTTCCTTGCAATTGTCTTCATTGCACACACCTTGCAGGATGAGCAGGCGGTGGATGAATTTCCGTGGCGGGTTTTCGAAATCAAGCGGATGCTTTGCTCGCATATCCCCGCGTCAAAGCGCGAAGCTTCCACGCGGCAGCTGCCCCTCTCGAGAGCAGGAACTGCCAACCAAAGTTTCAGCGGCAGCTCTGTGGTGGGCGCAACGTTCCCGCGAGTGGACTTCGTCGCGGACCTGACAGTGTTTTTCGGCCCGCGGCAAGGCCGAACGCAAGAAAGCGTGGCTCAGCCCTCCGTCCGGCCCCTAGAGGTGATGGAGTGTTGCCGGGGCAGCTGGAGCTCGAAACGCTCGCCCGTACCGCGACCTGGGACCTGTCGCTTCCTCGACCCTGTGGGGACCGCGCGTGGCTACCTCGATGCACGGCTGCCTCAGTACCGACGTGTTCGTCCTGCTTGCAGTACCCCGTTCAACGAACGTCCGTACGGCAAGCCGCACAGAAGTGTCTTCACGCCCTGCCCAGGATGCGCAGATTGGTGGTATGCGCCGTGAGTCGTTTCGGGCAGACGCGAGGTCGCGAGGACTCATGTAGAGAGTCGTGCCAAAGGCTTGCAGTTGCCCCAAAAGGGCCCAGTCCCCGGCGTCGAGCCCACGTTGTATCGCTGAGCCTCCAGAAGGAAACGCCGGCGCGGTGCGTGCGCATAGGCTTGTTCCGCACTCCGCAAGGTCGCCTGCCACTTTCGCCGTTGTCTGTGCGGTGCAGCCAAGCCTCGAGCGAGAGGGCATCGTGTGGCCTAGACTGGGGCTCGCATAGCTGTGCGAGCGGCGTCGCCAGCTTGTAGACAGGCAGATGAGTGCAATCCGCAGCCAAGTACCCGTGTCACACGGGTCAGCGTGGTGCACGCAGCGGACCCCTTTCCGCCCTCTCTGCCAAGCCAGCAGACGACCGCTTGCGCGGGCGAAACCGGACGAGAATGAACCACCCTGCGGCCAACCTACTTCCGAGGACGGAATGAATGTGCAGGCATGCCCCCCCGACCGGCAAGCGCGGGTTCAGCGGCTGCTGTTTGTGCACGTACCAGACTACACATGAAGCGCCGTGTTGTCGTAGACAGCGCTTTCGACTGAAGAGCCTCGACAGGCGGCGAGGATCGGACGACATGTCGGCCCCGAGGATCGCCAGTTGGGCGAAGCGGGCGGTCGGAACCTCCTTGCAAGCATGCCTCTTCTCAGATGCTCCAGCGCGTAGCCTCGCCTGGGGCAGGCGAGCGCCCGTACGACCCGGAGTTTCTAGATGGCTTGGAATTCGACGAGGGCGCCTCGGGTGACATCGAGAGACTTCGCCTCGATGTCCTACGGCGTGCTCTCAAGGTGAGCGGAATGAGAACGCCCACCTGAAGTTTCAAGCGCATGATTTCTCAGACGTTCTTCAGCGAGACGAATCGTTGCTAAAGACTTGCGCTTCCCTGGATGACTTGCAGAAGGTTCCCACGAGTGGTTGGTCGCGGGCTGTGCTGAGCGAAGCAGCGCATGAAGCAGGCATGTCCGCTGCATCCGCGGGGCTACTAGGAGCTCGCCCGGAAGGCCAGCTTGTAGGATTCTTCGCTGAGAGGTGAGTCACGTTCGGATGACACTTGACACGGCGCTCCATGTGCCGCGCTCGTCCAAGGAGCACCCTGGCAGGCACACAGTCGCTTTCGAAGCACTGCGCCATCAGATAAGACTTATTTTAGTTCCACAAGTATGCAGATGCAATGAACGCCGGTCGAGTACATTGACGAATGCCATCCGAGAAGCACCTGACGACTCCAAGCTCTTCACCTGCGTCAAAACACGATTGAACGTGCGCCTCTCGCCCACGCGCACGTCGCATTGCGATCGCCCGCAGACGCCCTGTCCGCGTGCGAGATTTCAATCGCAGCGCCGCCTTTTCTGTTGGTGTTGACTCCGCAGATGAGCGCACCTCATGTAGCATCCGGGACGTGGGCACGAACGATGGCGATCATTGCCCGGCCCAAAAACGTGTCGACCTTGCTGCGCCAGCAACACGGGATGGTGCCGAACCGCGTTGTCCGCCACGAGGCGGACGACGCGGTCTTCGGCCTGGAGGTGCTCGAGAGCATGATGACAACACCGCGCAACGCCTTGAGCTTTTCGCCGTGCCCCGCGTCGACCATCTTCGCGAGCACCTCCAGGCCGAAGACCGCGTTGTCCGCCACGAGGAGGACGACGCGGTCCGGCACCGCAGGCGCGGACAGCTCGTCCAGCTTCTCCACGAAGATGTCGCCCGAGCGCCGCGCCAGGCTGTACGAGGCTGCACGGGACAAGCTGACGGTGCGCGACCTCTTCACGAACGTCGAGAAGAGGTCGCGCACCGTCACCTTGTCCCGTGCAGCCGCGTACATCCTGGCGCGGTCCTCGGGCGACATCTTCGCCGCCTCCACCGCCCCCGGGCCGCCCTCGCCGTCCTCTGGCTTGACGTGTCAAACATCGCCGTGGGCTTGACCGTCGCCGGCCAGCACCGCGGCGAGCCCCCCGGGGCACAGCACGGACGCGGATCCGGGCGCACTCCGCTCCGCTTCGGGGATCTCCTTAAGGAGCGCCTCTGCGTCGCTGCTCCAGCCCCCCCCCTGGCAGGGCCCAGAACAGGGCAGCCAGCCGCGGGAAGGCAGCACCGTCGGCGAGCTGCGCCGGGGTCTCCCGGATCTCGCGGACTGTCTGCGCCACTGCGTCCCGCTCCTCGACCCGCGACGCCGGCGTCGACCCAGGCTGTTTGTCGAGCAGCCAGAGCGCGAGCTTCCGCACCGTCTCCGGCATCTTGACGAATTGCCGACGGCCCTCCGCGTCGTGCTCGTACGCGTAGACGCGGGCTGCGCATCTTCGCGTACGTGCACGACGAGGAGGGGCGACGGCAGTTCGTGCCGATGCCCGAGACGGTGCGGAAGCTCGCGCCCTGGCTGCTCGACAAACAGCCTGGGTCGACGTCGACGTCGCAGGCCAAGGAGTCATGGTGGGATGCCACCCTTTGGCGACGACGGCGTGACAAGAGACACTCACTTTGATCCCGAGATGCTCCAGCCCGCTTCCCTCGCCTACGCGGCCGCAGTCTGTCACCCGCGACGGTCAGTGACCTGGTCAGGTCGGGACTAGCTCAAACAACATTCCCCCCCGCCTTTCGTCCCGCTGACAGACAGAATGACGCATCTGCGATGTGACCCGTGGTCCTCTGCCCGAGAGTCGAGATGGGGTGGAAATATAGCCAGCCGTTGCAGCAACTTCGCGTCGCGCAGGTGAATGTACGACATGACTGCTTTGAAGAATGTGACACCTCACCTCATTGTCTGCCCTGTCTGCTGTGTGAGTCTCGCCTGCCGCACCATTTCGGTCGCTCAGGCATCCTCGCGGTGAGGGTGCTTGTAGGTCAGCGAAGTACAAACTTCGCTCGCTACACGCCGACGTCGCAGAGCCCCGCAAGGGCCCTGACGTGCCCGTGACCTATTATGGCGGCGTCGTGGGCTCGTGTGCGGCGTCACGCACCAGCGAGATCTTCTCTCGGAGACGGAGATCTTCTGCTGCGCTATCTGATGTGACCCATCAGGCAGACACAGATATACGGGCGCCCTCGGGCCGCGGGTCGGGCGCTGCGATGCACGTACGGCGCCATCGGTGCCCGAGCCGCGCTCTCCGGGACGCCTGGCGCGCACGTGCGGCAGTTCCGAACAGCAGGTACGTTCACATGCCTTTCGGCTTCTCATCACCTCAGTTTTCGAGCAACGGAGAGTTCTTTGGTCCCTCCTGGCGGCAGCGTGCGCCAGGGTCGGAGCGTCCCGGAGCGTCCCGGGAGCGCGGAGCTTTACTGAGCGTAGGCGCGCCTGGAGTGTTGCGCGCACCACGGCGACTTTGTGGCCCTTCAGCAACCTCAGGCTCCCGTCCTCGATGGCCCAGACCGCTGCTTGCGGCTTGCGGAAGCAGCCCACTGAAACACAACTATAGCAGCCCGCACACGAAGAAACTGCTGC